GTCTCTGAGGACATTCCTAAAAAAAATTTGATTTTTCCCATAGGAATGCATGGAGTTGGGGTTAGGGTTAGGGTTGGAGCTAGGGTTAGGGTTAGGGTTGGGGTTGGAGTTAGGGTTAGTGTTGGAGCTAGGGTTAGGGTTGGGCTTGGAGCTAGGATTTTTCTGAGTGCAATGAACCAACTCCCGAGTCTCTAGGACGTTCCTAAAAAAATTTGATTTTTTCCCATAGGAATGCATGGGTTAGGGTTAGGGTTAGGGTTGGAGCTAGGGTTAGGGTTAGGGTTAGGGTTGGAGTTAGGGTTAGTGTTGGAGCTAGGGTTAGGGTTGGGCTTGGAGCTAGGATTTTTCTGAGTGCACTGAACCAACTCCCGAGTCTCTAGGACGTTCCTAAAAAAATTTGATTTTTTTCCCATAGGAATGCATGGGTTAGGGTTATGGTTAGGGTTGGAGCTAGGGTTAGGGTTAGGGTTAGGGTTGGAGTTAGGGTTAGTGTTGGAGCTAGGGTTAGGGTTGGGCTTGGAGCTAGGATTTTTCTGAGTGCACTGAACCAACTCCCGAGTCTCTAGGACGTTCCTAAAAAAATTTGATTTTTTCCCATAGGAATGCATGGGTTAGGGTTAGGGTTAGGGTTGGAGCTAGGGTTAGGGTTAGGGTTAGGGTTGGAGTTAGGGTTAGTGTTGGAGCTAGGGTTAGGGTTGGGCTTGGAGCTAGGATTTTTCTGAGTGCACTGAACCAACTCCCGAGTCTCTAGGACGTTCCTAAAAAAAAATTTGATTTTTTCCCATAGGAAATGCATGGGTTAGGGTTAGGGTTAGGGTTGGAGCTAGGGTTAGGGTTAGGGTTAGGGTTGGAGTTAGGGTTAGTGTTGGAGCTAGGGTTAGGGTTGGGCTTGGAGCTAGGATTTTTCTGAGTGCACTGAACCAACTCCCGAGTCTCTAGGACATTCCTAAAAAAATTTGATTTTTTCCCATAGGAATGCATGGGTTAGGGTTATGGTTGGGGTTAGGGTTGGAGCTAGGGTTAGGGTTAGGGTTAGGGTTGGAGTTAGGGTTAGTGTTGGAGCTAGGGTTAGGGTTGGGCTTGGAGCTAGGATTTTTCTGAGTGCACTGAACCAACTCCCGAGTCTCTAGGACATTCCTAAAAAAAATTGATTTTTTCCCATAGGAATGCATGGGTTAGGGTTATGGTTAGGGTTAGGGTTGGAGCTAGGGTTAGGGTTAGGGTTAGGGTTGGAGTTAGGGTTAGTGTTGGAGCTAGGGTTAGGGTTGGGCTTGGAGCTAGGATTTTTCTGAGTGCACTGAACCAACTCCCGAGTCTCTAGGACATTCCTAAAAAAATTTGATTTTTCCCATAGGAATGCATGGGTTAGGGTTAGGGTTAGGGTTGGAGCTAGGGTTAGGGTTAGGGTTAGGGTTGGAGTTAGGGTTAGTGTTGGAGCTAGGGTTAGGGTTGGGCTTGGAGCTAGGATTTTTCTGAGTGCACTGAACCAACTCCCGAGTCTCTAGGACATTCCTAAAAAAATTTGATTTTTTCCCATAGGAATGCATGGGTTAGGGTTAGGGTTAGGGTTGGAGCTAGGGTTAGGGTTAGGGTTAGGGTTGGAGTTAGGGTTAGTGTTGGAGCTAGGGTTAGGGTTGGGCTTGGAGCTAGGATTTTTCTGAGTGCACTGAACCAACTCCCGAGTCTCTAGGACATTCCTAAAAAAATTTGATTTTTCCCATAGGAATGCATGGGTTAGGGTTATGGTTAGTTAGGGTTGGAGCTAGGGTTAGGGTTAGGGTTAGGGTTGGAGTTAGGGTTAGTGTTGGAGCTAGGGTTAGGGTTGGGCTTGGAGCTAGGATTTTTCTGAGTGCAATGAACCAACTCCCGAGTCTCTAGGACGTTCCTAAAAAAATTTGATTTTTTTCCCATAGGAATGCATGGGTTAGGGTTAGGGTTAGGGTTAGGGTTGGAGCTAGGGTTAGGGTTAGGGTTAGGGTTGGAGTTAGGGTTAGTGTTGGAGCTAGGGTTAGGGTTGGGCTTGGAGCTAGGATTTTTCTGAGTGCAATGAACCAACTCCCGAGTCTCTAGGACGTTCCTAAAAAAATTTGATTTTTTCCCATAGGAATGCATGGGTTAGGGTTATGGTTAGGGTTAGGGTTGGAGCTAGGGTTAGGGTTAGGGTTAGGGTTGGAGTTAGGGTTAGTGTTGGAGCTAGGGTTAGGGTTGGGCTTGGAGCTAGGATTTTCTGAGTGCAATGAACCAACTCCCGAGTCTCTAGGACGTTCCTAAAAAAATTTGATTTTTTCCCATAGGAATGCATGGGTTAGGGTTAGGGTTAGGGTTGGAGCTAGGGTTAGGGTTAGGGTTAGGGTTGGAGTTAGGGTTAGTGTTGGAGCTAGGGTTAGGGTTGGGCTTGGAGCTAGGATTTTTCTGAGTGCAATGAACCAACTCCCGAGTCTCTAGGACGTTCCTAAAAAATTTGATTTTTTCCCATAGGAATGCATGGGTTAGGGTTAGGGTTAGGGTTAGGGTTGGAGCTAGGGTTAGGGTTAGGGTTAGGGTTGGAGTTAGGGTTAGTGTTGGAGCTAGGGTTAGGGTTGGGCTTGGAGCTAGGATTTTCTGAGTGCACTGAACCAACTCCCGAGTCTCTAGGACATTCCTAAAAAAATTTGATTTTTTCCCATAGGAATGCATGGGTTAGGGTTAGGGTTAGGGTTAGGGTTGGAGCTAGGGTTAGGGTTAGGGTTAGGGTTGGAGTTAGGGTTAGTGTTGGAGCTAGGGTTAGGGTTGGGCTTGGAGCTAGGATTTTTCTGAGTGCACTGAACCAACTCCCGAGTCTCTAGGACATTCCTAAAAAAATTTGATTTTTCCCATAGGAATGCATGGGTTAGGGTTAGGGTTAGGGTTGGAGCTAGGGTTAGGGTTAGGGTTGGAGTTAGGGTTAGTGTTGGAGCTAGGGTTAGGGTTGGGCTTGGAGCTAGGATTTTTCTGAGTGCAATGAACCAACTCCCGAGTCTCTAGGACGTTCCTAAAAAATTTGATTTTTTCCCATAGGAATGCATGGGTTAGGGTTAGGGTTAGGGTTGGAGCTAGGGTTAGGGTTAGGGTTAGGGTTGGAGTTAGGGTTAGTGTTGGAGCTAGGGTTAGGGTTGGGCTTGGAGCTAGGATTTTTCTGAGTGCACTGAACCAACTCCCGAGTCTCTAGGACGTTCCTAAAAAAATTTGATTTTTTCCCATAGGAATGCATGGGTTAGGGTTAGGGTTAGGGTTAGGGTTGGAGCTAGGGTTAGGGTTAGGGTTAGGGTTGGAGTTAGGGTTAGTGTTGGAGCTAGGGTTAGGGTTGGGCTTGGAGCTAGGATTTTTCTGAGTGCACTGAACCAACTCCCGAGTCTCTCTAGGAGGCGTTCCTAAAAAATTTGATTTTTTCCCATAGGAATGCATGGGTTAGGGTTAGGGTTAGGGTTAGGGTTGGAGCTAGGGTTAGGGTTAGGGTTAGGGTTGGAGTTAGGGTTAGTGTTGGAGCTAGGGTTAGGGTTGGGCTTGGAGCTAGGATTTTTCTGAGTGCAATGAACCAACTCCCGAGTCTCTTGGACGTTCCTAAAAAAATTTGATTTTTTTCCCATAGGAATGCATGGGTTAGGGTTAGGGTTAGGGTTGGAGCTAGGGTTAGGGTTAGGGTTAGGGTTGGAGTTAGGGTTAGTGTTGGAGCTAGGGTTAGGGTTGGGCTTGGAGCTAGGATTTTTCTGAGTGCACTGAACCAACTCCCGAGTCTCTAGGACATTCCTAAAAAAATTTGATTTTTTCCCATAGGAATGCATGGGTTAGGGTTAGGGTTAGGGTTGGAGCTAGGGTTAGGGTTAGGGTTAGGGTTGGAGTTAGGGTTAGTGTTGGAGCTAGGGTTAGGGTTGGGCTTGGAGCTAGGATTTTTCTGAGTGCACTGAACCAACTCCCGAGTCTCTAGGACATTCCTAAAAAAATTTGATTTTTTCCCATAGGAATGCATGGGTTAGGGTTATGGTTAGGGTTAGGGTTGGAGCTAGGGTTAGGGTTAGGGTTAGGGTTGGAGTTAGGGTTAGTGTTGGAGCTAGGGTTAGGGTTGGGCTTGGAGCTAGGATTTTTCTGAGTGCACTGAACCAACTCCCGAGTCTCTAGGACGTTCCTAAAAAATTTGATTTTTTCCCATAGGAATGCATGGGTTAGGGTTATGGTTAGGGTTAGGGTTGGAGCTAGGGTTAGGGTTAGGGTTAGGGTTGGAGTTAGGGTTAGTGTTGGAGCTAGGGTTAGGGTTGGGCTTGGAGCTAGGATTTTTCTGAGTGCACTGAACCAACTCCCGAGTCTCTAGGACATTCCTAAAAAAATTTGATTTTTTTCCCATAGGAATGCATGGGTTAGGGTTAGGGTTAGGGTTGGAGCTAGGGTTAGGGTTAGGGTTAGGGTTGGAGTTAGGGTTAGTGTTGGAGCTAGGGTTAGGGTTGGGCTTGGAGCTAGGATTTTTCTGAGTGCACTGAACCAACTCCCGAGTCTCTAGGACATTCCTAAAAAAAAATTTGATTTTTTCCCATAGGAATGCATGGGTTAGGGTTATGGTTAGGGTTAGGGTTGGAGCTAGGGTTAGGGTTAGGGTTAGGGTTGGAGTTAGGGTTAGTGTTGGAGCTAGGGTTAGGGTTGGGCTTGGAGCTAGGATTTTTCTGAGTGCACTGAACCAACTCCCGAGTCTCTAGGACATTCCTAAAAAAAAATTGATTTTTTCCCATAGGAATGCATGGGTTAGGGTTATGGTTAGGGTTAGGGTTGGAGCTAGGGTTAGGGTTAGGGTTAGGGTTGGAGTTAGGGTTAGTGTTGGAGCTAGGGTTAGGGTTGGGCTTGGAGCTAGGATTTTTCTGAGTGCAATGAACCAACTCCCGAGTCTCTAGGACATTCCTAAAAAAATTTGATTTTTTCCCATAGGAATGCATGGGTTAGGGTTAGGGTTAGGGTTGGAGCTAGGGTTAGGGTTAGGGTTGGGTTGGAGTTAGGGTTAGTGTTGGAGCTAGGGTTAGGGTTGGGCTTGGAGCTAGGATTTTTCTGAGTGCAATGAACCAACTCCCGAGTCTCTAGGACATTCCTAAAAAAATTTGATTTTTTCCCATAGGAATGCATGGGTTAGGGTTAGGGTTAGGGTTGGAGCTAGGGTTAGGGTTAGGGTTAGGGTTGGAGTTAGGGTTAGTGTTGGAGCTAGGGTTAGGGTTGGGCTTGGAGCTAGGATTTTTCTGAGTGCAATGAACCAACTCCCGAGTCTCTAGGACATTCCTAAAAAAAAATTTGATTTTTTCCCATAGGAATGCATGGGTTAGGGTTATGGTTAGGGTTAGGGTTGGAGCTAGGGTTAGGGTTAGGGTTAGGGTTGGAGTTAGGGTTAGTGTTGGAGCTAGGGTTAGGGTTGGGCTTGGAGCTAGGATTTTTCTGAGTGCAATGAACCAACTCCCGAGTCTCTAGGACGTTCTAAAAAAAATTTGATTTTTTCCCATAGGAATGCATGGGTTAGGGTTATGGTTAGGGTTAGGGTTGGAGCTAGGGTTAGGGTTAGGGTTAGGGTTGGAGTTAGGGTTAGTGTTGGAGCTAGGGTTAGGGTTGGGCTTGGAGCTAGGATTTTTCTGAGTGCAATGAACCAACTCCCGAGTCTCTAGGACGTTCCTAAAAAAATTTGATTTTTTCCCATAGGAATGCATGGGTTAGGGTTAGGGTTAGGGTTGGAGCTAGGGTTAGGGTTAGGGTTAGGGTTGGAGTTAGGGTTAGTGTTGGAGCTAGGGTTAGGGTTGGGCTTGGAGCTAGGATTTTTCTGAGTGCAATGAACCAACTCCCGAGTCTCTAGGACGTTCCTAAAAAAAAATTTGATTTTTTCCCATAGGAATGCATGGGTTAGGGTTAGGGTTAGGGTTGGAGCTAGGGTTAGGGTTAGGGTTAGGGTTGGAGTTAGGGTTAGTGTTGGAGCCAGGGTTAGGGTTGGGCTTGGAGCTAGGATTTTTCTGAGTGCACTGAACCAACTCCCGAGTCTCTAGGACATTCCTAAAAAATTTGATTTTTTTCCCATAGGAATGCATGGGTTAGGGTTAGTGGTTAGGGTTAGGGTTGGAGCTAGGGTTAGGGTTAGGGTTAGGGTTGGAGTTAGGGTTAGTGTTGGAGCTAGGGTTAGGGTTGGGCTTGGAGCTAGGATTTTTCTGAGTGCAATGAACCAACCCCCGAGTCTCTAGGACGTTCCTAAAAAAATTTGATTTTTTCCCTATAGGAATGCATGGGTTAGGGTTAGGGTTAGGGTTGGAGCTAGGGTTAGGGTTAGGGTTAGGGTTGGAGTTAGGGTTAGTGTTGGAGCTAGGGTTAGGGTTGGGCTTGGAGCTAGGATTTTTCTGAGTGCAATGAACCAACTCCCGAGTCTCTAGGACGTTCCTAAAAAAATTTGATTTTTTCCCATAGGAATGCATGGGTTAGGGTTAGGGTTAGGGTTGGAGCTAGGGTTAGGGTTAGGGTTAGGGTTGGAGTTAGGGTTAGTGTTGGAGCTAGGGTTAGGGTTGGGCTTGGAGCTAGGTTTTTCTGAGGGTGCACTGAACCAACTCCCGAGTCTCTAGGACATTCCTAAAAAAATTTGATTTTTTCCCATAGGAATGCATGGGTTAGGGTTATGGTTAGGGTTGGAGCTAGGGTTAGGGTTAGGGTTAGGGTTGGAGTTAGGGTTAGTGTTGGAGCTAGGGTTAGGGTTGGGCTTGGAGCTAGGATTTTTCTGAGTGCACTGAACCAACTCCCGAGTCTCTAGGACATTCCTAAAAAAATTTGATTTTTTCCCATAGGAATGCATGGGTTAGGGTTAGGGTTAGGGTTGGAGCTAGGGTTAGGGTTAGGGTTAGGGTTGGAGTTAGGGTTAGTGTTGGAGCTAGGGTTAGGGTTGGGCTTGGAGCTAGGATTTTTCTGAGTGCACTGAACCAACTCCCGAGTCTCTAGGACATTCCTAAAAAAATTTGATTTTTCCCATAGGAATGCATGGGTTAGGGTTATGGTTAGGGTTAGGGTTGGAGCTAGGGTTAGGGTTAGGGTTAGGGTTGGAGTTAGGGTTAGTGTTGGAGCTAGGGTTAGGGTTGGGCTTGGAGCTAGGATTTTTCTGAGTGCACTGAACCAACTCCCGAGTCTCTAGGACATTCCTAAAAAAATTTGATTTTTTTCCCATAGGAATGCATGGGTTAGGGTTAGGGTTATGGTTAGGGTTAGGGTTAGGGTTAGGGTTAGGGTTGGAGTTAGGGTTAGTGTTGGAGCTAGGGTTAGGGTTGGGCTTGGAGCTAGGATTTTTCTGAGTGCACTGAACCAACTCCCGGGTCTCTAGGACATTCCTAAAAAAATTTGATTTTTTCCCATAGGAATGCATGGGTTAGGGTTAGGGTTAGGGTTGGAGCTAGGGTTAGGGTTAGGGTTAGGGTTGGAGTTAGGGTTAGTGTTGGAGCTAGGGTTAGGGTTGGGCTTGGAGCTAGGATTTTTCTGAGTGCAATGAACCAACTCCCGAGTCTCTAGGACATTCCTAAAAAAATTTGATTTTTTCCCATAGGAATGCATGGGTTAGGGTTAGGGTTAGGGTTGGAGCTAGGGTTAGGGTTAGGGTTAGGGTTGGAGTTAGGGTTAGTGTTGGAGCTAGGGTTAGGGTTGGGCTTGGAGCTAGGATTTTTCTGAGTGCACTGAACCAACTCCCGAGTCTCTAGGACATTCCTAAAAAAATTTGATTTTTTTCCCATAGGAATGCATGGGTTAGGGTTATGGTTAGGGTTAGGGTTGGAGCTAGGGTTAGGGTTAGGGTTAGGGTTGGAGTTAGGGTTAGTGTTGGAGCTAGGGTTAGGGTTGGGCTTGGAGCTAGGATTTTTCTGAGTGCAATGAACCAACCCCCGAGTCTCTAGGACGTTCCTAAAAAAATTTGATTTTTTCCCATAGGAATGCATGGGTTAGGGTTATGGTTAGGGTTGGAGCTAGGGTTAGGGTTAGGGTTAGGGTTGGAGTTAGGGTTAGTGTTGGAGCTAGGGTTAGGGTTGGGCTTGGAGCTAGGATTTTTCTGAGTGCAATGAACCAACTCCCGAGTCTCTAGGACGTTCCTAAAAAATTTGATTTTTTCCCATAGGAATGCATGGGTTAGGGTTAGGGTTAGGGTTGGAGCTAGGGTTAGGGTTAGGGTTAGGGTTGGAGTTAGGGTTAGTGTTGGAGCTAGGGTTAGGGTTGGGCTTGGAGCTAGGATTTTTCTGAGTGCACTGAACCAACTCCCGAGTCTCTAGGACGTTCCTAAAAAAATTTGATTTTTTCCCATAGGAATGCATGGGTTAGGGTTATGGTTAGGGTTAGGGTTAGGGTTGGAGTTAGGGTTAGTGTTGGAGCTAGGGTTAGGGTTGGGCTTGGAGCTAGGATTTTTCTGAGTGCACTGAACCAACTCCCGAGTCTCTAGGACATTCCTAAAAAAATTTGATTTTTTCCCATAGGAATGCATGGGTTAGGGTTAGGGTTAGGGTTGGAGCTAGGGTTAGGGTTAGGGTTAGGGTTGGAGTTAGGGTTAGTGTTGGAGCTAGGGTTAGGGTTGGGCTTGGAGCTAGGATTTTTCTGAGTGCACTGAACCAACTCCCGAGTCTCTAGGACATTCCTAAAAAAATTTGATTTTTTCCTATAGGAATGCATGGGTTAGGGTTATGGTTAGGGTTAGGGTTGGAGCTAGGGTTAGGGTTAGGGTTAGGGTTGGAGTTAGGGTTAGTGTTGGAGCTAGGGTTAGGGTTGGGCTTGGAGCTAGGATTTTTCTGAGTGCACTGAACCAACTCCCGAGTCTCTAGGACATTCCTAAAAAAATTTGATTTTTTCCCATAGGAATGCATGGGTTAGGGTTAGGGTTAGGGTTGGAGCTAGGGTTAGGGTTAGGGTTAGGGTTGGAGTTAGGGTTAGTGTTGGAGCTAGGGTTAGGGTTGGGCTTGGAGCTAGGATTTTTCTGAGTGCACTGAACCAACTCCCGAGTCTCTAGGACATTCCTAAAAAAATTTGATTTTTTCCTATAGGAATGCATGGGTTAGGGTTATGGTTAGGGTTAGGGTTGGAGCTAGGGTTAGGGTTAGGGTTAGGGTTGGAGTTAGGGTTAGTGTTGGAGCTAGGGTTAGGGTTGGGCTTGGAGCTAGGATTTTTCTGAGTGCACTGAACCAACTCCCGAGTCTCTAGGACATTCCTAAAAAAATTTGATTTTTTCCCATAGGAATGCATGGGTTAGGGTTATGGTTAGGGTAAGGGTTGGAGCTAGGGTTAGGGTTAGGGTTAGGGTTGGAGTTAGGGTTAGTGTTGGAGCTAGGGTTAGGGTTGGGCTTGGAGCTAGGATTTTTCTGAGTGCAATGAACCAACTCCCGAGTCTCTAGGACGTTCCTAAAAAAATTTGATTTTTTCCCATAGGAATGCATGGGTTAGGGTTAGGGTTAGGGTTGGAGCTAGTGTTAGGGTTAGGGATAGGGTTGGAGTTAAGGTTAGTGTTGGAGCTAGGGTTAGGGTTGGGCTTGGAGCTAGGATTTTTCTGAGTGCACTGAACCAACTCCCGAGTCTCTAGGACGTTCCTAAAAAAATTTGATTTTTTCCCATAGGAATGCATGGGTTAGGGTTATGGTTAGGGTTGGAGCTAGGGTTAGGGTTAGGGTTAGGGTTGGAGTTAGGGTTAGTGTTGGAGCTAGGGTTAGGGTTGGGCTTGGAGCTAGGATTTTTCTGAGTGCAATGAACCAACTCCCGAGTCTCTAGGACGTTCCTAAAAAAATTTGATTTTTTCCCATAGGAATGCATGGGTTAGGGTTAGGGTTAGGGTTGGAGCTAGGGTTAGGGTTAGGGTTAGGGTTGGAGTTAGGGTTAGTGTTGGAGCTAGGGTTAGGGTTGGGCTTGGAGCTAGGATTTTTCTGAGTGCACTGAACCAACTCCCGAGTCTCTAGGACGTTCCTAAAAAAATTTGATTTTTTCCCATAGGAATGCATGGGTTAGGGTTAGGGTTAGGGTTAGGGTTGGAGCTAGGGTTAGGGTTAGGGTTAGGGTTGGAGTTAGGGTTGGGCTTGGAGCTAGGGTTAGGGTTGGGCTTGGAGCTAGGATTTTTCTGAGTGCAATGAACCAACCCCGAGTCTCTAGGACGTTCCTAAAAAATCTGATTTTTTCCCATAGGAATGCATGGGTTAGGGTTATGGTTAGGGTTAGGGTTGGAGCTAGGGTTAGGGTTAGGGTTAGGGTTGGAGTTAGGGTTAGTGTTGGAGCTAGGGTTAGGCTTGGGCTTGGAGCTAGGATTTTTCTGAGTGCAATGAACCAACTCCCGAGTCTCTAGGACGTTCCTAAAAAAATTTGATTTTTTCCCATAGGAATGCATGGGTTAGGGTTAGGGTTAGGGTTGGAGCTAGGGTTAGGGTTAGGGTTAGGGTTGGAGTTAGGGTTAGTGTTGGAGCTAGGGTTAGGGTTGGGCTTGGAGCTAGGATTTTTCTGAGTGCACTGAACCAACTCCCGAGTCTCTAGGACATTCCTAAAAAAATTTGATTTTTTCCCATAGGAATGCATGGGTTAGGGTTAGGGTTAGGGTTGGAGCTAGGGTTAGGGTTAGGGTTAGGGTTGGAGTTAGGGTTAGTGTTGGAGCTAGGGTTAGGGTTGGGCTTGGAGCTAGGATTTTTCTGAGTGCACTGAACCAACTCCCGAGTCTCTAGGACATTCCTAAAAAATTTGATTTTTTCCCATAGGAATGCATGGGTTAGGGTTATGGTTAGGGTTAGGGTTGGAGCTAGGGTTAGGGTTAGGGTTAGGGTTGGAGTTAGGGTTAGTGTTGGAGCTAGGGTTAGGGTTGGGCTTGGAGCTAGGATTTTTCTGAGTGCAATGAACCAACTCCCGAGTCTCTTGGACGTTCCTAAAAAAATTTGATTTTTTTCCCATAGGAATGCATGGGTTAGGGTTAGGGTTAGGGTTGGAGCTAGGGTTAGGGTTAGGGTTAGGGTTGGAGTTAGGGTTAGTGTTGGAGCTAGGGTTAGGGTTGGGCTTGGAGCTAGGATTTTTCTGAGTGCACTGAACCAACTCCCGAGTCTCTAGGACATTCCTAAAAAAATTTGATTTTTTCCCATAGGAATGCATGGGTTAGGGTTAGGGTTAGGGTTGGAGCTAGGGTTAGGGTTAGGGTTAGGGTTGGAGTTAGGGTTAGTGTTGGAGCTAGGGTTAGGGTTGGGCTTGGAGCTAGGATTTTTCTGAGTGCACTGAACCAACTCCCGAGTCTCTAGGACATTCCTAAAAAAATTTGATTTTTTCCCATAGGAATGCATGGGTTAGGGTTATGGTTAGGGTTAGGGTTGGAGCTAGGGTTAGGGTTAGGGTTAGGGTTGGAGTTAGGGTTAGTGTTGGAGCTAGGGTTAGGGTTGGGCTTGGAGCTAGGATTTTTCTGAGTGCACTGAACCAACTCCCGAGTCTCTAGGACATTCCTAAAAAAATTTGATTTTTTCCCATAGGAATGCATGGGTTAGGGTTAGGGTTAGGGTTGGAGCTAGGGTTAGGGTTAGGGTTAGGGTTGGAGTTAGGGTTAGTGTTGGAGCTAGGGTTAGGGTTGGGCTTGGAGCTAGGATTTTTCTGAGTGCACTGAACCAACTCCCGAGTCTCTAGGACATTCCTAAAAAAATTTGATTTTTTCCCATAGGAATGCATGGGTTAGGGTTATGGTTAGGGTTAGGGTTGGAGCTAGGGTTAGGGTTAGGGTTAGGGTTGGAGTTAGGGTTAGTGTTGGAGCTAGGGTTAGGGTTGGGCTTGGAGCTAGGATTTTTCTGAGTGCAATGAACCAACTCCCGAGTCTCTTGGACGTTCCTAAAAAAATTTGATTTTTTCCCATAGGAATGCATGGGTTAGGGTTAGGGTTAGGGTTGGAGCTAGGGTTAGGGTTAGGGTTAGGGTTGGAGTTAGGGTTAGTGTTGGAGCTAGGGTTAGGGTTGGGCTTGGAGCTAGGATTTTTCTGAGTGCACTGAACCAACTCCCGAGTCTCTAGGACATTCCTAAAAAAATTTGATTTTTTCCCATAGGAATGCATGGGTTAGGGTTAGGGTTAGGGTTGGAGCTAGGGTTAGGGTTAGGGTTAGGGTTGGAGTTAGGGTTAGTGTTGGAGCTAGGGTTAGGGTTGGGCTTGGAGCTAGGATTTTTCTGAGTGCAATGAACCAACTCCCGAGTCTCTTGGACGTTCCTAAAAAAATTTGATTTTTTCCCATAGGAATGCATGGGTTAGGGTTAGGGTTAGGGTTGGAGCTAGGGTTAGGGTTAGGGTTAGGGTTGGAGTTAGGGTTAGTGTTGGAGCTAGGGTAGGGTTGGGCTTGGAGCTAGGATTTTTCTGAGTGCAATGAACCAACTCCCGAGTCTCTTGGACGTTCCTAAAAAAATTTGATTTTTTCCCATAGGAATGCATGGGTTAGGGTTAGGGTTAGGGTTGGAGCTAGGGTTAGGGTTAGGGTTAGGGTTGGAGTTAGGGTTAGTGTTGGAGCTAGGGTTAGGGTTGGGCTTGGAGCTAGGATTTTTCTGAGTGCAATGAACCAACTCCCGGGTCTCTAGGACGTTCCTAAAAAAATTTGATTTTTTCCCATAGGAATGCATGGGTAAGGGTTAGGGTTAGGGTTGGAGCTAGGATTAGGGTTAGGGTTAGGGTTGGAGTTAAGGTTAGTGTTGGAGCTAGGGTTAGGGTTGGGCTTGGAGCTAGGATTTTTCTGAGTGCAATGAACCAACTCCCGAGTCTCTAGGACGTTCCTAAAAAAATTTGATTTTTTCCCATAGGAATGCATGGGTTAGGGTTATGGTTAGGGTTAGGGTTGGAGCTAGGGTTAGGGTTAGGGTTAGGGTTGGAGTTAGGGTTAGTGTTGGAGCTAGGGTTAGGGTTGGGCTTGGAGCTAGGATTTTTCTGAGTGCAATGAACCAACCCCCGAGTCTCTAGGACGTTCCTAAAAAATTTGATTTTTTCCCATAGGAATGCATGGGTTAGGGTTATGGTTAGGGTTAGGGTTGGAGCTAGGGTTAGGGTTAGGGTTAGGGTTGGAGTTAGGGTTAGTGTTGGAGCTAGGGTTAGGGTTGGGCTTGGAGCTAGGATTTTTCTGAGTGCAATGAACCAACTCCCGAGTCTCTAGGACGTTCCTAAAAAAATTTGATTTTTTCCCATAGGAATGCATGGGTTAGGGTTAGGGTTAGGGTTGGAGCTAGGGTTAGGGTTAGGGTTAGGGTTGGAGTTAGGGTTAGTGTTGGAGCTAGGGTTAGGGTTGGGCTTGGAGCTAGGATTTTTCTGAGTGCACTGAACCAACTCCCGAGTCTCTAGGACATTCCTAAAAAAATTTGATTTTTTCCCATAGGAATGCATGGGTTAGGGTTAGGGTTAGGGTTGGAGCTAGGGTTAGGGTTAGGGTTAGGGTTGGAGTTAGGGTTAGTGTTGGAGCTAGGGTTAGGGTTGGGCTTGGAGCTAGGATTTTTCTGAGTGCACTGAACCAACTCCCGAGTCTCTAGGACATTCCTAAAAAAATTTGATTTTTTCCTATAGGAATGCATGGGTTAGGGTTATGGTTAGGGTTAGGGTTGGAGCTAGGGTTAGGGTTAGGGTTAGGGTTGGAGTTAGGGTTAGTGTTGGAGCTAGGGTTAGGGTTGGGCTTGGAGCTAGGATTTTTCTGAGTGCACTGAACCAACTCCCGAGTCTCTAGGACATTCCTAAAAAAATTTGATTTTTTCCCATAGGAATGCATGGGTTAGGGTTAGGGTTAGGGTTGGAGCTAGGGTTAGGGTTAGGGTTAGGGTTGGAGTTAGGGTTAGTGTTGGAGCTAGGGTTAGGGTTGGGCTTGGAGCTAGGATTTTTCTGAGTGCACTGAACCAACTCCCGAGTCTCTAGGACATTCCTAAAAAAATTTGATTTTTTCCTATAGGAATGCATGGGTTAGGGTTATGGTTAGGGTTAGGGTTGGAGCTAGGGTTAGGGTTAGGGTTAGGGTTGGAGTTAGGGTTAGTGTTGGAGCTAGGGTTAGGGTTGGGCTTGGAGCTAGGATTTTTCTGAGTGCACTGAACCAACTCCCGAGTCTCTAGGACATTCCTAAAAAAATTTGATTTTTTCCCATAGGAATGCATGGGTTAGGGTTATGGTTAGGGTAAGGGTTGGAGCTAGGGTTAGGGTTAGGGTTAGGGTTGGAGTTAGGGTTAGTGTTGGAGCTAGGGTTAGGGTTGGGCTTGGAGCTAGGATTTTTCTGAGTGCAATGAACCAACTCCCGAGTCTCTAGGACGTTCCTAAAAAAATTTGATTTTTTCCCATAGGAATGCATGGGTTAGGGTTAGGGTTAGGGTTGGAGCTAGTGTTAGGGTTAGGGATAGGGTTGGAGTTAAGGTTAGTGTTGGAGCTAGGGTTAGGGTTGGGCTTGGAGCTAGGATTTTTCTGAGTGCAATGAACCAACTCCCGAGTCTCTAGGACGTTCCTAAAAAAATTTGATTTTTTCCCATAGGAATGCATGGGTTAGGGTTATGGTTAGGGTAAGGGTTGGAGCTAGGGTTAGGGTTAGGGTTAGGGTTGGAGTTAGGGTTAGTGTTGGAGCTAGGGTTAGGGTTGGGCTTGGAGCTAGGATTTTTCTGAGTGCAATGAACCAACTCCCGAGTCTCTAGGACGTTCCTAAAAAAATTTGATTTTTTCCCATAGGAATGCATGGGTTAGGGTTAGGGTTAGGGTTGGAGCTAGGGTTAGGGTTAGGGATAGGGTTGGAGTTAAGGTTAGTGTTGGAGCTAGGGTTAGGGTTGGGCTTGGAGCTAGGATTTTTCTGAGTGCACTGAACCAACTCCCGAGTCTCTAGGACGTTCCTAAAAAAATTTGATTTTTTCCCATAGGAATGCATGGGTTAGGGTTAGGGTTAGGGTTAGGGTTGGAGCTAGGGTTAGGGTTAGGGTTAGGGTTGGAGTTAGGGTTGGGCTTGGAGCTAGGGTTAGGGTTGGGCTTGGAGCTAGGATTTTTCTGAGTGCAATGAACCAACCCCCGAGTCTCTAGGACGTTCCTAAAAAAATCTGATTTTTTCCCATAGGAATGCATGGGTTAGGGTTATGGTTAGGGTTAGGGTTGGAGCTAGGGTTAGGGTTAGGGTTAGGGTTGGAGTTAGGGTTAGTGTTGGAGCTAGGGTTAGGCTTGGGCTTGGAGCTAGGATTTTTCTGAGTGCAATGAACCAACTCCCGAGTCTCTAGGACGTTCCTAAAAAAATTTGATTTTTTCCCATAGGAATGCATGGGTTAGGGTTAGGGTTAGGGTTGGAGCTAGGGTTAGGGTTAGGGTTAGGGTTGGAGTTAGGGTTAGTGTTGGAGCTAGGGTTAGGGTTGGGCTTGGAGCTAGGATTTTTCTGAGTGCACTGAACCAACTCCCGAGTCTCTAGGACATTCCTAAAAAAATTTGATTTTTTCCCATTGGAATGCATGGGTTAGGGTTAGGGTTAGGGTTGGAGCTAGGGTTAGGGTTAGGGTTAGGGTTGGAGTTAGGGTTAGTGTTGGAGCTAGGGTTAGGGTTGGGCTTGGAGCTAGGATTTTTCTGAGTGCACTGAACCAACTCCCGAGTCTCTAGGACATTCCTAAAAAAATTTGATTTTTTCCCATAGGAATGCATGGGTTAGGGTTATGGTTAGGGTTAGGGTTGGAGCTAGGGTTAGGGTTAGGGTTAGGGTTGGAGTTAGGGTTAGTGTTGGAGCTAGGGTTAGGGTTGGGCTTGGAGCTAGGATTTTTCTGAGTGCAATGAACCAACTCCCGAGTCTCTTGGACGTTCCTAAAAAAATTTGATTTTTTCCCATAGGAATGCATGGGTTAGGGTTAGGGTTAGGGTTGGAGCTAGGGTTAGGGTTAGGGTTAGGGTTGGAGTTAGGGTTAGTGTTGGAGCTAGGGTTAGGGTTGGGCTTGGAGCTAGGATTTTTCTGAGTGCACTGAACCAACTCCCGAGTCTCTAGGACATTCCTAAAAAAATTTGATTTTTTCCCATAGGAATGCATGGGTTAGGGTTAGGGTTAGGGTTGGAGCTAGGGTTAGGGTTAGGGTTAGGGTTGGAGTTAGGGTTAGTGTTGGAGCTAGGGTTAGGGTTGGGCTTGGAGCTAGGATTTTTCTGAGTGCACTGAACCAACTCCCGAGTCTCTAGGACATTCCTAAAAAAATTTGATTTTTTCCCATAGGAATGCATGGGTTAGGGTTATGGTTAGGGTTAGGGTTGGAGCTAGGGTTAGGGTTAGGGTTAGGGTTGGAGTTAGGGTTAGTGTTGGAGCTAGGGTTAGGGTTGGGCTTGGAGCTAGGATTTTTCTGAGTGCACTGAACCAACTCCCGAGTCTCTAGGACATTCCTAAAAAAATTTGATTTTTTCCCATAGGAATGCATGGGTTAGGGTTAGGGTTAGGGTTGGAGCTAGGGTTAGGGTTAGGGTTAGGGTTGGAGTTAGGGTTAGTGTTGGAGCTAGGGTTAGGGTTGGGCTTGGAGCTAGGATTTTTCTGAGTGCACTGAACCAACTCCCGAGTCTCTAGGACATTCCTAAAAAAATTTGATTTTTTCCCATAGGAATGCATGGGTTAGGGTTATGGTTAGGGTTAGGGTTGGAGCTAGGGTTAGGGTTAGGGTTAGGGTTGGAGTTAGGGTTAGTGTTGGAGCTAGGGTTAGGGTTGGGCTTGGAGCTAGGATTTTTCTGAGTGCAATGAACCAACTCCCGAGTCTCTTGGACGTTCCTAAAAAAATTTGATTTTTTCCCATAGGAATGCATGGGTTAGGGTTAGGGTTAGGGTTGGAGCTAGGGTTAGGGTTAGGGTTAGGGTTGGAGTTAGGGTTAGTGTTGGAGCTAGGGTTAGGGTTGGGCTTGGAGCTAGGATTTTTCTGAGTGCACTGAACCAACTCCCGAGTCTCTAGGACATTCCTAAAAAAATTTGATTTTTTCCCATAGGAATGCATGGGTTAGGGTTAGGGTTAGGGTTGGAGCTAGGGTTAGGGTTAGGGTTAGGGTTGGAGTTAGGGTTAGTGTTGGAGCTAGGGTTAGGGTTGGGCTTGGAGCTAGGATTTTTCTGAGTGCAATGAACCAACTCCCGAGTCTCTTGGACGTTCCTAAAAAAATTTGATTTTTTCCCATAGGAATGCATGGGTTAGGGTTAGGGTTAGGGTTGGAGCTAGGGTTAGGGTTAGGGTTAGGGTTGGAGTTAGGGTTAGTGTTGGAGCTAGGGATAGGGTTGGGCTTGGAGCTAGGATTTTTCTGAGTGCAATGAACCAACTCCCGAGTCTCTTGGACGTTCCTAAAAAAATTTGATTTTTTCCCATAGGAATGCATGGGTTAGGGTTAGGGTTAGGGTTGGAGCTAGGGTTAGGGTTAGGGTTAGGGTTGGAGTTAGGGTTAGTGTTGGAGCTAGGGTTAGGGTTGGGCTTGGAGCTAGGATTTTTCTGAGTGCAATGAACCAACTCCCGGGTCTCTAGGACGTTCCTAAAAAAATTTGATTTTTTCCCATAGGAATGCATGGGTAAGGGTTAGGGTTAGGGTTGGAGCTAGGATTAGGGTTAGGGTTAGGGTTGGAGTTAAGGTTAGTGTTGGAGCTAGGGTTAGGGTTGGGCTTGGAGCTAGGATTTTTCTGAGTGCAATGAACCAACTCCCGAGTCTCTAGGACGTTCCTAAAAAAATTTGATTTTTTCCCATAGGAATGCATGGGTTAGGGTTATGGTTAGGGTTAGGGTTGGAGCTAGGGTTAGGGTTAGGGTTAGGGTTGGAGTTAGGGTTAGTGTTGGAGCTAGGGTTAGGGTTGGGCTTGGAGCTAGGATTTTTCTGAGTGCAATGAACCAACCCCCGAGTCTCTAGGACGTTCCTAAAAAATTTGATTTTTTCCCATAGGAATGCATGGGTTAGGGTTATGGTTAGGGTTAGGGTTGGAGCTAGGGTTAGGGTTAGGGTTAGGGTTGGAGTTAGGGTTAGTGTTGGAGCTAGGGTTAGGGTTGGGCTTGGAGCTAGGATTTTTCTGAGTGCAATGAACCAACTCCCGAGTCTCTAGGACGTTCCTAAAAAATTTGATTTTTTCCCATAGGAATGCATGGGTTAGGGTTAGGGTTAGGGTTGGAGCTAGGGTTAGGGTTAGGGTTAGGGTTGGAGTTAGGGTTAGTGTTGGAGCTAGGGTTAGGGTTGGGCTTGGAGCTAGGATTTTTCTTAGTGCAGTGAACCAACTCCCGAGTCTCTAGGACATTCCTAAAAAATTTGATTTTTTCCCATAGGAATGCATGGGTTAGGGTTAGGGTTAGGGTTGGAGCTAGGGTTAGGGTTAGGGTTAGGGTTGGAGTTAGGGTTAGTGTTGGAGCTAGGGTTAGGGTTGGGCTTGGAGCTAGGATTTTTCTGAGTGCACTGAACCAACTCCCGAGTCTCTAGGACATTCCTAAAAAAATTTGATTTTTTCCCATAGGAATGCATGGGTTAGGGTTATGGTTAGGGTTAGGGTTGGAGCTAGGGTTAGGGTTAGGGTTAGGGTTGGAGTTAGGGTTAGTGTTGGAGCTAGGGTTAGGGTTGGGCTTGGAGCTAGGATTTTTCTGAGTGCAATGAACCAACTCCCGAGTCTCTTGGACGTTCCTAAAAAAATTTGATTTTTTCCCATAGGAATGCATGGGTTAGGGTTAGGGTTAGGGTTGGAGCTAGGGTTAGGGTTAGGGTTAGGGTTGGAGTTAGGGTTAGTGTTGGAGCTAGGGTTAGGGTTGGGCTTGGAGCTAGGATTTTTCTGAGTGCACTGAACCAACTCCCGAGTCTCTAGGACATTCCTAAAAAAATTTGATTTTTTCCCATAGGAATGCATGGGTTAGGGTTAGGGTTAGGGTTGGAGCTAGGGTTAGGGTTAGGGTTAGGGTTGGAGTTAGGGTTAGTGTTGGAGCTAGGGTTAGGGTTGGGCTTGGAGCTAGGATTTTTCTGAGTGCACTGAACCAACTCCCGAGTCTCTAGGACATTCCTAAAAAAATTTGATTTTTTCCCATAGGAATGCATGGGTTAGGGTTATGGTTAGGGTTAGGGTTGGAGCTAGGGTTAGGGTTAGGGTTAGGGTTGGAGTTAGGGTTAGTGTTGGAGCTAGGGTTAGGGTTGGGCTTGGAGCTAGGATTTTTCTGAGTGCAATGAACCAACTCCCGAGTCTCTTGGACGTTCCTAAAAAAATGTGATTTTTTCCCATAGGAATGCATGGGTTAGGGTTAGGGTTAGGGTTGGAGCTAGGGTTAGGGTTAGGGTTAGGGTTGGAGTTAGGGTTAGTGTTGGAGCTAGGGTTAGGGTTGGGCTTGGAGCTAGGATTTTTCTGAGTGCACTGAACCAACTCCCGAGTCTCTAGGACATTCCTAAAAAAATTTGATTTTTTCCCATAGGAATGCATGGGTTAGGGTTAGGGTTAGGGTTGGAGCTAGGGTTAGGGTTAGGGTTAGGGTTGGAGTTAGGGTTAGTGTTGGAGCTAGGGTTAGGGTTGGGCTTGGAGCTAGGATTTTTCTGAGTGCACTGAACCAACTCCCGAGTCTCTAGGACATTCCTAAAAAAATTTGATTTTTTCCCATAGGAATGCATGGGTTAGGGTTATGGTTAGGGTTAGGGTTGGAGCTAGGGTTAGGGTTAGGGTTAGGGTTGGAGTTAGGGTTAGTGTTGGAGCTAGGGTTAGGGTTGGGCTTGGAGCTAGGATTTTTCTGAGTGCAATGAACCAACTCCCGAGTCTCTTGGACGTTCCTAAAAAAATTTGATTTTTTCCCATAGGAATGCATGGGTTAGGGTTAGGGTTAGGGTTGGAGCTAGGGTTAGGGTTAGGGTTAGGGTTGGAGTTAGGGTTAGTGTTGGAGCTAGGGTTAGGGTTGGGCTTGGAACTAGGATTTTTCTGAGTGCAATGAACCAACTCCCGAGTCTCTAGGACGTTCCTAAAAAAATTTGATTTTTTCCCATAGGAATGCATGGGTTAGGGTTAGGGTTAGGGTTGGAGCTAGGGTTAGGGTTAGGGTTAGGGTTGGAGTTAAGGTTAGTGTTGGAGCTAGGGTTAGGGTTGGGCTTGGAGCTAGGATTTTTCTGAGTGCAATGAACCAACTCCCGAGTCTCTAGGACGTTCCTAAAAAAATTTGATTTTTTCCCATAGGAATGCATGGGTTAGGGTTATGGTTAGGGTTAGGGTTGGAGCTAGGGTTAGGGTAAGGGTTAGGGTTGGAGTTAGGGTTAGTGTTGGAGCTAGGGTTAGGGTTGGGCTTGGAGCTAGGATTTTTCTGAGTGCAATGAACCAACCCCCGAGTCTCTAGGACGTTCCTAAAAAAATTTGATTTTTTCCCATAGGAATGCATGGGTTAGGGTTATGGTTAGGGTTAGGGTTGGAGCTAGGGTTAGGGTTAGGGTTGGAGTTAGGGTTAGTGTTGGAGCTAGGGTTAGGGTTGGGCTTGGAGCTAGGATTTTTCTGAGTGCAATGAACCAACTCCCGAGTCTCTAGGACATTCCTAAAAAAATTTGATTTTTTTCCCATAGGAATGCATGGGTTAGGGTTAGGGTTAGGGTTGGAGCTAGGGTTAGGGTTAGGGTTAGGGTTGGAGTTAGGGTTAGTGTTGGAGCTAGGGTTAGGGTTGGGCTTGGAGCTAGGATTTTTCTGAGTGCAATGAACCAACTCCCGAGTCTCTAGGACGTTCCTAAAAAAATTTGATTTTTTCCCATAGGAATGCATGGGTTAGGGTTAGGGTTAGGGTTGGAGCTAGGGTTAGGGTTAGGGTTAGGGTTGGAGTTAGGGTTAGTGTTGGAGCTAGGGTTAGGGTTGGGCTTGGAGCTAGGATTTTTCTGAGTGCACTGAACCAACTCCTGAGTCTCTAGGACATTCCTAAAAAAATTGATTTTTTCCCATAGGAATGCATGGGTTAGGGTTAGGGTTAGGGTTGGAGCTAGGGTTAGGGTTAGGGTTAGGGTTGGAGTTAGGGTTAGTGTTGGAGCTAGGGTTAGGGTTGGGCTTGGAGCTAGGATTTTTCTGAGTGCACTGAACCAACTCCCGAGTCTCTAGGACATTCCTAAAAAAATTTGATTTTTTCCCATAGGAATGCATGGGTTAGGGTTAGGGTTAGGGTTGGAGCTAGGGTTAGGGTTAGGGTTAGGGTTGGAGTTAGGGTTAGTGTTGGAGCTAGGGTTAGGGTTGGGCTTGGAGCTAGGATTTTTCTGGGTGCAATGAACCAACTCCCGAGTCTCTTGGACGTTCCTAAAAAATTTGATTTTTTCCCATTGCAATGCATTTGTTAGGGTTAGGGTTAGGGTTAGGGTTAGGGTTGGAGCTAGGGTTAGGGTTAGGGTTAGGGTTGGAGTTAGGGTTAGTGTTGGAGCTAGGGTTAGGGTTGGGCTTGGAGCTAGGATTTTTCTGAGTGCAATGAACCAACTCCCGAGTCTCTAGGACGTTCCTAAAAAAATTTGATTTTTTCCCATAGGAATGCATGGGTTAGGGTTATGGTTAGGGTTAGGGTTGGAGCTAGGGTTAGGGTTAGGGTTAGGGTTGGAGTTAGGGTTAGTGTTGGAGCTAGGGTTAGGGTTGGGCTTGGAGCTAGGATTTTTCTGAGTGCAATGAACCAACCCCCGAGTCTCTAGGACGTTCCTAAAAAAATTTGATTTTTTCCCATAGGAATGCATGGGTTAGGGTTATGGTTAGGGTTAGGGTTGGAGCTAGGGTTAGGGTTAGGGTTAGGGTTGGAGTTAGGGTTAGTGTTGGAGCTAGGGTTAGGGTTGGGCTTGGAGCTAGGATTTTTCTGAGTGCAATGAACCAACTCCCGAGTCTCTAGGACGTTCCTAAAAAAATTTGATTTTTTCCCATAGGAATGCATGGGTTAGGGTTAGGGTTAGGGTTGGAGCTAGGGTTAGGGTTAGGGTTAGGGTTGGAGTTAGGGTTAGTGTTGGAGCTAGGGTTAGGGTTGGGCTTGGAGCTAGGATTTTTCTGAGTGCAATGAACCAACTCCCGAATCTCTAGGACATTCCTAAAAAAATTTGATTTTTTCCCATAGGAATGCATGGGTTAGGGTTAGGGTTAGGGTTGGAGCTAGGGTTAGGGTTAGGGTTAGGGTTGGAGTTAGGGTTAGTGTTGGAGCTAGGGTTAGGGTTGGGCTTGGAGCTAGGATTTTTCTGAGTGCACTGAACCAACTCCCGAGTCTCTAGGACATTCCAAAAAAAATTTGATTTTTTCCCATAGGAATGCATGGGTTAGGGTTATGGTTAGGGTTAGGGTTGGAGCTAGGGTTAGGGTTAGGGTTAGGGTTGGAGTTAGGGTTAGTGTTGGAGCTAGGGTTAGGGTTGGGCTTGGAGCTAGGATTTTTCTGAGTGCAATGAACCAACTCCCGAGTCTCTTGGACGTTCCTAAAAAAATTTGAATTTTTCCAATAGGAATGCATGGGTTAGGGTTAGGGTTAGGGTTGGAGCTAGGGTTAGGGTTAGGGTTAGGGTTGGAGTTAGGGTTAGTGTTGGAGCTAGGGTTAGGGTTGGGCTTGGAGCTAGGATTTTTCTGAGTGCACTGAACCAACTCCCGAGTCTCTAGGACGTTCCTAAAAAAATTTGATTTTTTCCCATAGGAATGCATGGGTTAGGGTTAGGGTTAGGGTTGGAGCTAGGGTTAGGGTTAGGGTTAGGGTTGGAGTTAGGGTTAGTGTTGGAGCTAGGGTTAGGGTTGGGCTTGGAGCTAGGATTTTTCTGAGTGCACTGAACCAACTCCTGAGTCTCTAGGACATTCCTAAAAAAATTGATTTTTTCCCATAGGAATGCATGGGTTAGGGTTAGGGTTAGGGTTGGAGCTAGGGTTAGGGTTAGGGTTAGGGTTGGAGTTAGGGTTAGTGTTGGAGCTAGGGTTAGGGTTGGGCTTGGAGCTAGGATTTTTCTGAGTGCACTGAACCAACTCCCGAGTCTCTAGGACATTCCTAAAAAAAATTGATTTTTTCCCATAGGAATGCATGGGTTAGGGTTAGGGTTAGGGTTGGAGCTAGGGTTAGGGTTAGGGTTAGGGTTGGAGTTAGGGTTAGTGTTGGAGCTAGGGTTAGGGTTGGGCTTGGAGCTAGGATTTTTCTGAGTGCACTGAACCAACTCCCGAGTCTCTAGGACATTCCTAAAAAAATTTGATTTTTTCCCATAGGAATGCATGGGTTAGGGTTATGGTTAGGGTTAGGGTTAGGGTTGGAGTTAGGGTTAGTGTTGGAGCTAGGGTTAGGGTTGGGCTTGGAGCTAGGATTTTTCTGAGTGCAATGAACCAACTCCCGAGTCTCTTGGACGTTCCTAAAAAAAATTGATTTTTTCCCATAGGAATGCATGGGTTAGGGTTAGGGTTAGGGTTGGAGCTAGGGTTAGGGTTAGGGTTAGGGTTGGAGTTAGGGTTAGTGTTGGAGCTAGGGTTAGGGTTGGGCTTGGAGCTAGGATTTTTCTGAGTGCAATGAACCAACTCCCGAGTCTCTAGGACGTTCCTAAAAAATTTGATTTTTTCCCATAGGAATGCATGGGTTAGGGTTAGGGTTAGGGTTGGAGCTAGGGTTAGGGTTAGGGTTAGGGTTCGAGTTAAGGTTAGTGTTGGAGCTAGGGTTAGGGTTGGGCTTGGAGCTAGGATTTTTCTGAGTGCAATGAACCAACTCCCGAGTCTCTAGGACGTTCCTAAAAAAATTTGATTTTTTCCCATAGGAATGCATGGGTTAGGGTTATGGTTAGGGTTAGGGTTGGAGCTAGGGTTAGGGTTAGGGTTAGGGTTGGAGTAAGGGTTAGTGTTGGAGCTAGGGTTAGGGTTGGGCTTGGAGCTAGGATTTTTCTGAGTGCAATGAACCAACCCCCGAGTCTCTAGGACGTTCCTAAAAAATTTGATTTTTTCCCATAGGAATGCATGGATTAGGGTTAGGGTTAGGGTTGGAGCTAGGGTTAGGGTTAGGGTTAGGGTTGGAGTTAGGGTTAGTGTTGGAGCTAGGGTTAGGGTTGGGCTTGGAGCTAGGATTTTTCTGAGTGCAATGAACCAACTCCCGAGTCTCTAGGACGTTCCTAAAAAAATTTGATTTTTTCCCATAGGAATGCATGGGTTAGGGTTAGGGTTAGGGTTGGAGCTAGGGTTAGGGTTAGGGTTAGGGTTGGAGTTAGGGTTAGTGTTGGAGCTAGGGTTAGGGTTGGGCTTGGAGCTAGGATTTTTCTGAGTGCACTGAACCAACTCCCGAGTCTCTAGGACATTCCTAAAAAAATTTGATTTTTTCCCATAGGAATGCATGGGTTAGGGTTAGGGTTAGGGTTGGAGCTAGGGTTAGGGTTAGGGTTAGGGTTGGAGTTAGGGTTAGTGTTGGAGCTAGGGTTAGGGTTGGGCTTGGAGCTAGGATTTTTCTGAGTGCACTGAACCAACTCCCGAGTCTCTAGGACATTCCTAAAAAATTTGATTTTTTCCCATAGGAATGCATGGGTTAGGGTTAGGGTTAGGGTTGGAGCTAGGGTTAGGGTTAGGGTTAGGGTTGGAGTTAGGGTTAGTGTTGGAGCTAGGGTTAGGGTTGGGCTTGGAGCTAGGATTTTTCTGAGTGCAATGAACCAACCCCCGAGTCTCTAGGACGTCCCAAAAAAAATTTGATTTTTTCCCATAGGAATGCATGGGTTAGGGTTATGGTAAGGGTTAGGGTTGGAGCTAGGGTTAGGGTTAGGGTTAGGGTTGGAGTTAGGGTTAGTGTTGGAGCTAGGGTTAGGGTTGGGCTTGGAGCTAGGATTTTTCTGAGTGCAATGAACCAACTCCCGAGTCTCTAGGACATTCCTAAAAAAATTTGATTTTTTCCCATAGGAATGCATGGGTTAGGGTTAGGGTTAGGGTTGGAGCTAGGGTTAGGGTTAGGGTTAGGGTTGGAGTTAGGGTTAGTGTTGGAGCTAGGGTTAGGGTTGGGCTTGGAGCTAGGATTTTTCTGAGTGCAATGAACCAACTCCCGAGTCTCTTGGACGTTCCTAAAAAAATTTGATTTTTTCCCATAGGAATGCATGGGTTAGGGTTAGGGTTAGGGTTGGAGCTAGGGTTAGGGTTAGGGTTAGGGTTGGAGTTAGGGTTAGTGTTGGAGCTAGGGTTAGGGTTGGGCTTGGAGCTAGGATTTTTCTGAGTGCACTGAACCAACTCCCGAGTCTCTAGGACATTCCTAAAAAAATTTGATTTTTTCCCATAGGAATGCATGGGTTAGGGTTATGGTTAGGGTTAGGGTTGGAGCTAGGGTTAGGGTTAGGGTTAGGGTTGGAGTTAGGGTTAGTGTTGGAGCTAGGGTTAGGGTTGGGCTTGGAGCTAGGATTTTTCTGAGTGCAATGAACCAACTCCCGAGTCTCTTGGACGTTCCTAAAAAAATTTGATTTTTTTCCATAGGAATGCATGGGTTAGGGTTAGGGTTAGGGTTGGAGCTAGGGTTAGGGTTAGGGTTAGGGTTGGAGTTAGGGTTAGTGTTGGAGCTAGGGTTAGGGTTGGGCTTGGAGCTAGGATTTTTCTGAGTGCACTGAACCAACTCCCGAGTCTCTAGGACATTCCTAAAAAAATTTGATTTTTTCCCATAGGAATGCATGGGTTAGGGTTAGGGTTAGGGTTGGAGCTAGGGTTAGGGTTAGGGTTAGGGTTGGAGTTAGGGTTAGTGTTGGAGCTAGGGTTAGGGTTGGGCTTGGAGCTAGGATTTTTCTGAGTGCACTGAACCAACTCTCGAGTCTCTAGGACATTCCTAAAAAAATTTGATTTTTTCCCATAGGAATGCATGGGTTAGGGTTAGGGTTAGTGTTGGAGCTAGGGTTAGGGTTGGGCTTGGAGCTAGGATTTTTCTGAGTGCAATGAACCAACTCCCGAGTCTCTAGGACGTTCCTAAAAAAATTTGATTTTTTCCCATAGGAATGCATGGGTTAGGGTTAGGGTTAGGGTTGGAGCTAGGGTTAGGGTTAGGGTTAGGGTTCGAGTTAAGGTTAGTGTTGGAGCTAGGGTTAGGGTTGGGCTTGGAGCTAGGATTTTTCTGAGTGCAATGAACCAACTCCCGAGTCTCTAGGACGTTCCTAAAAAAATTTGATTTTTTCCCATAGGAATGCATGGGTTAGGGTTATGGTTAGGGTTAGGGTTGGAGCTAGGGTTAGGGTTAGGGTTAGGGTTGGAGTAAGGGTTAGTGTTGGAGCTAGGGTTAGGGTTGGGCTTGGAGCTAGGATTTTTCTGAGTGCAATGAACCAACTCCCGAGTCTCTAGGACGTTCCTAAAAAAATTTGATTTTTTCCCATAGGAATGCATGGATTAGGGTTAGGGTTAGGGTTGGAGCTAGGGTTAGGGTTAGGGTTAGGGTTGGAGTTAGGGTTAGTGTTGGAGCTAGGGTTAGGGTTGGGCTTGGAGCTAGGATTTTTCTGAGTGCAATGAACCAACTCCCGAGTCTCTAGGACGTTCCTAAAAAAATTTGATTTTTTCCCATAGGAATGCATGGGTTAGGGTTAGGGTTAGGGTTGGAGCTAGGGTTAGGGTTAGGGTTAGGGTTGGAGTTAGGGTTAGTGTTGGAGCTAGGGTTAGGGTTGGGCTTGGAGCTAGGATTTTTCTGAGTGCACTGAACCAACTCCCGAGTCTCTAGGACATTCCTAAAAAAATTTGATTTTTTCCCATAGGAATGCATGGGTTAGGGTTAGGGTTAGGGTTGGAGCTAGGGTTAGGGTTAGGGTTAGGGTTGGAGTTAGGGTTAGTGTTGGAGCTAGGGTTAGGGTTGGGCTTGGAGCTAGGATTTTTCTGAGTGCACTGAACCAACTCCCGAGTCTCTAGGACATTCCTAAAAAAATTTGATTTTTTCCCATAGGAATGCATGGGTTAGGGTTAGGGTTAGGGTTGGAGCTAGGGTTAGGGTTAGGGTTAGGGTTGGAGTTAGGGTTAGTGTTGGAGCTAGGGTTAGGGTTGGGCTTGGAGCTAGGATTTTTCTGAGTGCAATGAACCAACCCCCGAGTCTCTAGGACGTCCCAAAAAAAATTTGATTTTTTCCCATAGGAATGCATGGGTTAGGGTTATGGTAAGGGTTAGGGTTGGAGCTAGGGTTAGGGTTAGGGTTAGGGTTGGAGTTAGGGTTAGTGTTGGAGCTAGGGTTAGGGTTGGGCTTGGAGCTAGGATTTTTCTGAGTGCAATGAACCAACTCCCGAGTCTCTAGGACATTCCTAAAAAAATTTGATTTTTTCCCATAGGAATGCATGGGTTAGGGTTAGGGTTAGGGTTGGAGCTAGGGTTAGGGTTAGGGTTAGGGTTGGAGTTAGGGTTAGTGTTGGAGCTAGGGTTAGGGTTGGGCTTGGAGCTAGGATTTTTCTGAGTGCAATGAACCAACTCCCGAGTCTCTTGGACGTTCCTAAAAAAATTTGATTTTTTCCCATAGGAATGCATGGGTTAGGGTTAGGGTTAGGGTTGGAGCTAGGGTTAGGGTTAGGGTTAGGGTTGGAGTTAGGGTTAGTGTTGGAGCTAGGGTTAGGGTTGGGCTTGGAGCTAGGATTTTTCTGAGTGCAATGAACCAACTCCCGAGTCTCTAGGACGTTCCTAAAAAAATTTGATTTTTTCCCATAGGAATGCATGGGTTAGGGTTAGGGTTAGGGTTGGAGCTAGGGTTAGGGTTAGGGTTAGGGTTGGAGTTAAGGTTAGTGTTGGAGCTAGGGTTAGGGTTGGGCTTGGAGCTAGGATTTTTCTGAGTGCAATGAACCAACTCCCGAGTCTCTAGGACGTTCCTAAAAAAATTTGATTTTTTCCCATAGGAATGCATGGGTTAGGGTTATGGTTAGGGTTAGGGTTGGAGCTAGGGTTAGGGTTAGGGTTAGGGTTGGAGTTAGGGTTAGTGTTGGAGCTAGGGTTAGGGTTGGGCTTGGAGCTAGGATTTTTCTGAGTGCAATGAACCAACCCCCGAGTCTCTAGGACGTTCCTAAAAAAATTTGATTTTTTCCCATAGGAATGCATGGGTTAGGGTTATGGTTAGGGTTAGGGTTGGAGCTAGGGTTAGGGTTAGGGTTAGGGTTGGAGTTAGGGTTAGTGTTGGAGCTAGGGTTAGGGTTGGGCTTGGAGCTAGGATTTTTCTGAGTGCAATGAACCAACTCCCGAGTCTCTAGGACGTTCCTAAAAAAATTTGATTTTTTCCCATAGGAATGCATGGGTTAGGGTTAGGGTTAGGGTTGGAGCTAGGGTTAGGGTTAGGGTTAGGGTTGGAGTTAGGGTTAGTGTTGGAGCTAGGGTTAGGGTTGGGCTTGGAGCTAGGATTTTTCTGAGTGCACTGAACCAACTCCCGAGTCTCTAGGACATTCCTAAAAAAATTTGATTTTTTCCCATAGGAATGCATGGGTTAGGGTTAGGGTTAGGGTTGGAGCTAGGGTTAGGGTTAGGGTTAGGGTTGGAGTTAGGGTTAGTGTTGGAGCTAGGGTTAGGGTTGGGCTTGGAGCTAGGATTTTTCTGAGTGCACTGAACCAACTCCCGAGTCTCTAGGACATTCCTAATAAAATTTGATTTTTTCCAATAGGAATGCATGGGTTAGGGTTAGGGTTAGGGTTGGAGCTAGGGTTAGGGTTAGGGTTAGGGTTGGAGTTAGGGTTAGTGTTGGAGCTAGGGTTAGGGTTGGGCTTGGAGCTAGGATTTTTCTGAGTGCACTGAACCAACTCCCGAGTCTCTAGGACATTCCTAAAAAAATTTGATTTTTTCCCATAGGAATGCATGGGTTAGGGTTATGGTTAGGGTTAGGGTTGGAGCTAGGGTTAGGGTTAGGGTTAGGGTTGGAGTTAGGGTTAGTGTTGGAGCTAGGGTTAGGGTTGGGCTTGGAGCTAAGGATTTTTCTGAGTGCAATGAACCAACTCCCGAGTCTCTTGGACGTTCCTAAAAAAATTTGATTTTTTTCCATAGGAATGCATGGGTTAGGGTTAGGGTTAGGGTTGGAGCTAGGGTTAGGGTTAGGGTTAGGGTTGGAGTTAGGGTTAGTGTTGGAGCTAGGGTTAGGGTTGGGCTTGGAGCTAGGATTTTTCTGAGTGCACTGAACCAACTCCCGAGTCTCTAGGACATTCCTAAAAAAATTTGATTTTTTCCCATAGGAATGCATGGGTTAGGGTTAGGGTTAGGGTTGGAGCTAGGGTTAGGGTTAGGGTTAGGGTTGGAGTTAGGGTTAGTGTTGGAGCTAGGGTTAGGGTTGGGCTTGGAGCTAGGATTTTTCTGAGTGCACTGAACCAACTCTCGAGTCTCTAGGACATTCCTAAAAAAATTTGATTTTTTCCCATAGGAATGCATGGGTTAGGGTTATGGTTAGGGTTAGGGTTGGAGCTAGGGTTAGGGTTAGGGTTAGGGTTGGAGTTAGGGTTAGTGTTGGAGCTAGGGTTAGGGTTGGGCTTGGAGCTAGGATTTTTCTGAGTGCAATGAACCAACTCCCGAGTCTCTTGGACGTTCCTAAAAAAATTTGATTTTTTCCCATAGGAATGCATGGGTTAGGGTTAGGGTTAGGGTTGGAGCTAGGGTTAGGGTTAGGGTTAGGGTTGGAGTTAGGGTTAGTGTTGGAGCTAGGGTTAGGGTTGGGCTTGGAGCTAGGATTTTTCTGAGTGCACTGAACCAACTCCCGAGTCTCTGGGACATTCCTAAAAAAATTTGATTTTTTCCCATAGGAATGCATGGGTTAGGGTTAGGGTTAGGCTTGGAGCTAGGGTTAGGGTTAGGGTTAGGGTTGGAGTTAGGGTTAGTGTTGGAGCTAGGGTTAGGGTTGGGCTTGGAGCTAGGATTTTTCTGAGTGCACTGAACCAACTCCCGAGTCTCTAGGACATTCCTAAAAAAATTTGATTTTTTTCCCATAGGAATGCATGGGTTAGGGTTAGGGTTAGGGTTAGGGTTGGAGCTAGGGTTAGGGTTAGGGTTAGGGTTGGAGTTAGGGTTAGTGTTGGAGCTAGGGTTAGGGTTGGGCTTGGAGCTAGGATTTTTCTGAGTGCACTGAACCAACTCCCGAGTCTCTAGGACATTCCTAAAAAAATTGATTTTTTCCCATAGGAATGCATGGGTTAGGGTTATGGTTAGGGTTAGGGTTGGAGCTAGGGTTAGGGTTAGGGTTAGGGTTGGAGTTAGGGTTAGTGTTGGAGCTAGGGTTAGGGTTGGGCTTGGAGCTAGGATTTTTCTGAGTGCACTGAACCAACTCCCGAGTCTCTAGGACGTTCCTAAAAAAAATTTAATTTTTTCCCATAGGAATGCATGGGTTAGGGTTAGGGTTAGGGTTGGAGCTAGGGTTAGGGTTAGGGTTAGGGTTGGAGTTAGGGTTAGTGTTGGAGCTAGGGTTAGGGTTGGGCTTGGAGCTAGGATTTTTCTGAGTGCAATGAACCAACTCCCGAGTCTCTAGGACGTTCCTAAAAAAATTTGATTTTTTCCCATAGGAATGCATGGGTTAGGGTTAGGGTTAGGGTTGGAGCTAGGGTTAGGGTTAGGGTTAGGGTTGGAGTTAAGGTTAGTGTTGGAGCTAGGGTTAGGGTTGGGCTTGGAGCTAGGATTTTTCTGAGTGCACTGAACCAACTCCCGAGTCTCTAGGACGTTCCTAAAAAAATTTGATTTTTTCCCATAGGAATGCATGGGTTAGGGTTATGGTTAGGGTTAGGGTTGGAGCTAGGGTTAGGGTTAGGGTTAGGGTTGGAGTTAGGGTTAGTGTTGGAGCTAGGGTTAGGGTTGGGCTTGGAGCTAGGATTTTTCTGAGTGCAATGAACCAACCCCCGAGTCTCTAGGACGTTCCTAAAAAAATCTGATTTTTTCCCATAGGAATGCATGGGTTAGGGTTATGGTTAGGGTTAGGGTTGGAGCTAGGGTTAGGGTTAGGGTTAGGGATGGAGTTAGGGTTAGTGTTGGAGCTAGGGTTAGGGTTGGGCTTGGAGCTAGGATTTTTCTGAGTGCAATGAACCAACTCCCGAGTCTCTAGGACGTTCCTAAAAAAATTTGATTTTTTCCCATAGGAATGCATGGATTAGGGTTAGGGTTAGGGTTGGAGCTAGGGTTAGGGTTAGGGTTAGGGTTGGAGTTAGGGTTAGTGTTGGAGCTAGGGTTAGGGTTGGGCTTGGAGCTAGGATTTTTCTGAGTGCAATGAACCAACTCCCGAGTCTCTAGGACGTTCCTAAAAAAATTTGATTTTTTCCCATAGGAATGCATGGGTTAGGGTTAGGGTTAGGGTTGGAGCTAGGGTTAGGGTTAGGGTTAGGGTTGGAGTTAGGGTTAGTGTTGGAGCTAGGGTTAGGGTTGGGCTTGGAGCTAGGATTTTTCTGAGTGCACTGAACCAACTCCCGAGTCTCTAGGACATTCCTAAAAAAATTTGATTTTTTCCCATAGGAATGCATGGGTTAGGGTTAGGGTTAGGGTTGGAGCTAGGGTTAGGGTTAGGGTTAGGGTTGGAGTTAGGGTTAGTGTTGGAGCTAGGGTTAGGGTTGGGCTTGGAGCTAGGATTTTTCTGAGTGCACTGAACCAACTCCCGAGTCTCTAGGACATTCCTAAAAAAATTTGATTTTTTCCCATAGGAATGCATGGGTTAGGGTTATGGTTAGGGTTAGGGTTGGAGCTAGGGTTAGGGTTAGGGTTAGGGTTGGAGTTAGGGTTAGTGTTGGAGCTAGGGTTAGGGTTGGGCTTGGAGCTAGGATTTTTCTGAGTGCACTGAACCAACTCCCGAGTCTCTAGGACATTCCTAAAAAAATTTGATTTTTTCCCATAGGAATGCATGGGTTAGGGTTAGGGTTAGGGTTGGAGCTAGGGTTAGGGTTAGGGTTAGGGTTGGAGTTAGGGTTAGTGTTGGAGCTAGGGTAAGGGTTGGGCTTGGAGCTAGGATTTTTCTGAGTGCAATGAACCAACTCCCGAGTCTCTTGGACGTTCCTAAAAAAATTGATTTTTTCCCATAGGAATGCATGGGTTAGGGTTAGGGTTAGGGTTGGAGCTAGGGTTAGGGTTAGGGTTTGGGTTGGAGTTAGGGTTAGTGTTGGAGCTAGGGTTAGGGTTGGGCTTGGAGCTAGGATTTTTCTGAGTGCAATGAACCAACTCCCGAGTCTCTAGGACGTTCCTAAAAAAATTTGATTTTTTCCCATAGGAATGCATGGGTTAGGGTTAGGGTTAGGGTTAGGGTTGGAGCTAGGGTTAGGGTTAGGGTTAGGGTTAGGGTTGGAGTTAGGGTTAGTGTTGGAGCTAGGGTTAGGGTTGGGCTTGGAGCTAGGATTTTTCTGAGTGCAATGAACCAACTCCCGAGTCTCTAGGACGTTCCTAAAAAAATTTGATTTTTTCCCATAGGAATGCATGGGTTAGGGTTATGGTTAGGGTTAGGGTTGGAGCTAGGGTTAGGGTTAGGGTTAGGGTTGGAGTTAGGGTTAGTGTTGGAGCTAAGGTTAGGGTTGGGCTTGGAGCTAGGATTTTTCTGAGTGCAATGAACCAACTCCCGAGTCTCTAGGACGTTCCTAAAAAAATTTGATTTTTTCCCATAGGAATGCATGGGTTAGGGTTAGGGTTAGGGTTGGAGCTAGGGTTAGGGTTAGGGTTAGGGTTGGAGTTAGGGTTAGTGTTGGAGCTAGGGTTAGGGTTGGGCTTGGAGCTAGGATTTTTCTGAGTGCACTGAACCAACTCCCGAGTCTCTAGGACATTCCTAAAAAATTTGATTTTTTTCCCATAGGAATGCATGGGTTAGGGTTAGGGTTAGGGTTAGGGTTGGAGCTAGGGTTAGGGTTAGGGTTAGGGTTGGAGTTAGGGTTAGTGTTGGAGCTAGGGTTAGGGTTGGGCTTGGAGCTAGGATTTTTCTGAGTGCACTGAACCAACTCCCGAGTCTCTAGGACATTCCTAAAAAAAATTGATTTTTTCCCATAGGAATGCATGGGTTAGGGTTATGGTTAGGGTTAGGGTTGGAGCTAGGGTTAGGGTTAGGGTTAGGGTTGGAGTTAGGGTTAGTGTTGGAGCTAGGGTTAGGGTTGGGCTTGGAGCTAGGATTTTTCTGAGTGCAATGAACCAACTCCCGAGTCTCTTGGACGTTCCTAAAAAAATTTGATTTTTTCCCATAGGAATGCATGGGTTAGGGTTAGGGTTAGGGTTGGAGCTAGGGTTAGGGTTAGGGTTGGAGTTAGGGTTAGTGTTGGAGCTAGGGTTAGGGTTGGGCTTGGAGCTAGGATTTTTCTGAGTGCAATGAACCAACTCCCGAGTCTCTAGGACGTTCCAAAAAAATTTGATTTTTTCCCATAGGAATGCATGGGTTAGGGTTAGGGTTAGGGTTGGAGCTAGGGTTAGGGTTAGGGTTAGGGTTGGAGTTAAGGTTAGTGTTGGAGCTAGGGTTAGGGTTGGGCTTGGAGCTAGGATTTTTCTGAGTGCACTGAACCAACTCCCGAGTCTCTAGGACGTTCCTAAAAAAATTTGATTTTTTCCCATAGGAATGCATGGGTTAGGGTTATGGTTAGGGTTAGGGTTGGAGCTAGGGTTAGGGTTAGGGTTAGGGTTGGAGTTAGGGTTAGTGTTGGAGCTAGGGTTAGGGTTGGGCTTGGAGCTAGGATTTTTCTGAGTGCAATGAACCAACCCCCGAGTCTCTAGGACGTTCCTAAAAAAATCTGATTTTTTCCCATAGGAATGCATGGGTTAGGGTTATGGTTAGGGTTAGGGTTGGAGCTAGGGTTAGGGTTAGGGTTAGGGATGGAGTTAGGGTTAGTGTTGGAGCTAGGGTTAGGGTTGGGCTTGGAGCTAGGATTTTTCTGAGTGCAATGAACCAACTCCCGAGTCTCTAGGACGTTCCTAAAAAAATTTGATTTTTTCCCATAGGAATGCATGGGTTAGGGTTATGGTTAGGGTTAGGGTTGGAGCTAGGGTTAGGGTTAGGGTTGGAGTTAGGGTTAGTGTTGGAGCTAGGGTTAGGGTTGGGCTTGGAGCTAGGATTTTTCTGAGTGCAATGAACCAACTCCCGAGTCTCTAGGACGTTCCTAAAAAAATTTGATTTTTTCCCATAGGAATGCATGGGTTAGGGTTAGGGTTAGGGTTAGGGTTGGAGCTAGGGTTAGGGTTAGGGTTAGGGTTGGAGTTAGGGTTAGTGTTGGAGCTAGGGTTAGGGTTGGGCTTGGAGCTAGGATTTTTCTGAGTGCACTGAACCAACTCCCGAGTCTCTAGGACATTCCTAAAAAAATTTGATTTTTTCCCATAGGAATGCATGGGTTAGGGTTATGGTTAGGGTTAGGGTTGGAGCTAGGGTTAGGGTTAGGGTTAGGGTTGGAGTTAGGGTTAGTGTTGGAGCTAGGGTTAGGGTTGGGCTTGGAGCTAGGATTTTTCTGAGTGCACTGAACCAACTCCCGAGTCTCTAGGACATTCCTAAAAAAATTTGATTTTTTCCCATAGGAATGCATGGGTTAGGGTTATGGTTAGGGTTAGGGTTGGAGCTAGGGTTAGGGTTAGGGTTAGGGTTGGAGTTAGGGTTAGTGTTGGAGCTAGGGTTAGGGTTGGGCTTGGAGCTAGGATTTTTCTGAGTGCACTGAACCAACTCCCGAGTCTCTAGGACATTCCTAAAAAAATTTGATTTTTTCCCATAGGAATGCATGGGTTAGGGTTATGGTTAGGGTTAGGGTTGGAGCTAGGGTTAGGGTTAGGGTTAGGGTTGGAGTTAGGGTTAGTGTTGGAGCTAGGGTAAGGGTTGGGCTTGGAGCTAGGATTTTTCTGAGTGCAATGAACCAACTCCCGAGTCTCTTGGACGTTCCTAAAAAAATTGATTTTTTCCCATAGGAATGCATGGGTTAGGGTTAGGGTTAGGGTTGGAGCTAGGGTTAGGGTTAGGGTTTGGGTTGGAGTTAGGGTTAGTGTTGGAGCTAGGGTTAGGGTTGGGCTTGGAGCTAGGATTTTTCTGAGTGCAATGAACCAACTCCCGAGTCTCTAGGACGTTCCTAAAAAAATTTGATTTTTTCCCATAGGAATGCATGGGTTAGGGTTAGGGTTAGGGTTGGAGCTAGGGTTAGGGTTAGGGTTAGGGTTGGAGTTAAGATTAGTGTTGGAGCTAGGGTTAGGGTTGGGCTTGGAGCTAGGATTTTTCTGAGTGCAATGAACCAACTCCCGAGTCTCTAGGACGTTCCTAAAAAAATTTGATTTTTTCCCATAGGAATGCATGGGTTAGGGTTATGGTTAGGGTTAGGGTTGGAGCTAGGGTTAGGGTTAGGGTTAGGGTTGGAGTTAGGGTTAGTGTTGGAGCTAAGGTTAGGGTTGGGCTTGGAGCTAGGATTTTTCTGAGTGCAATGAACCAACTCCCGAGTCTCTAGGACGTTCCTAAAAAAATTTGATTTTTTCCCATAGGAATGCATGGGTTAGGGTTAGGGTTAGGGTTAGGGTTGGAGCTAGGGTTAGGGTTAGGGTTAGGGTTGGAGTTAGGGTTAGTGTTGGAGCTAGGGTTAGGGTTGGGCTTGGAGCTAGGATTTTTCTGAGTGCACTGAACCAACTCCCGAGTCTCTAGGACATTCCTAAAAAAATTTGATTTTTTCCCATAGGAATGCATGGGTTAGGGTTATGGTTAGGGTTGGAGCTAGGGTTAGGGTTAGGGTTAGGGTTGGAGTTAGGGTTAGTGTTGGAGCTAGGGTTAGGGTTGGGCTTGGAGCTAGGATTTTTCTGAGTGCAATGAACCAACTCCCGAGTCTCTTGGACGTTCCTAAAAAAATTTGATTTTTTCCCATAGGAATGCATGGGTTAGGGTTAGGGTTAGGGTTGGAGCTAGGGTTAGGGTTAGGGTTAGGGTTGGAGTTAGGGTTAGTGTTGGAGCTAGGGTTAGGGTTGGGCTTGGAGCTAGGATTTTTCTGAGTGCAATGAACCAACTCCCGAGTCTCTAGGACGTTCCTAAAAAATTTGATTTTTTCCCATAGGAATGCATGGGTTAGGGTTATGGTTAGGGTTAGGGTTGGAGCTAGGGTTAGGGTTAGGGTTAGGGTTGGAGTTAGGGTTAGTGTTGGAGCTAGGGTTAGGGTTGGGCTTGGAGCTAGGATTTTTCTGAGTGCAATGAACCAACTCCCGAGTCTCTAGGACGTTCCAAAAAAAATTTGATTTTTTCCCATAGGAATGCATGGGTTAGGGTTATGGTTAGGGTTAGGGTTGGAGCTAGGGTTAGGGTTAGGGTTAGGGTTGGAGTTAGGGTTAGTGTTGGAGCTAGGGTTAGGGTTGGGCTTGGAGCTAGGATTTTTCTGAGTGCAATGAACCAACTCCCGAGTCTCTTGGACGTTCCTAAAAAAATTTGATTTTTTCCCATAGGAATGCATGGGTTAGGGTTAGGGTTAGGGTTGGAGCTAGGGTTAGGGTTAGGGTTAGGGTTGGAGTTAGGGTTAGTGTTGGAGCTAGGGTTAGGGTTGGGCTTGGAGCTAGGATTTTTCTGAGTGCACTGAACCAACTCCCGAGTCTCTAGGACATTCCTAAAAAAATTTGATTTTTTCCCATAGGAATGCATGGGTTAGGGTTATGGTTAGGGTTAGGGTTGGAGCTAGGGTTAGGGTTAGGGTTAGGGTTGGAGTTAGGGTTAGTGTTGGAGCTAGGGTAAGGGTTGGGCTTGGAGCTAGGATTTTTCTGAGTGCAATGAACCAACTCCCGAGTCTCTTGGACGTTCCTAAAAAAATTGATTTTTTCCCATAGGAATGCATGGGTTAGGGTTAGGGTTAGGGTTGGAGCTAGGGTTAGGGTTAGGGTTTGGGTTGGAGTTAGGGTTAGTGTTGGAGCTAGGGTTAGGGTTGGGCTTGGAGCTAGGATTTTTCTGAGTGCAATGAACCAACTCCCGAGTCTCTAGGACGTTCCTAAAAAAATTTGATTTTTTTCCCATAGGAATGCATGGGTTAGGGTTAGGGTTAGGGTTGGAGCTAGGGTTAGGGTTAGGGTTAGGGTTGGAGATAAGGTTAGTGTTGGAGCTAGGGTTAGGGTTGGGCTTGGAGCTAGGATTTTTCTGAGTGCAATGAACCAACTCCCGAGTCTCTAGGACGTTCCTAAAAAATTTGATTTTTTCCCATAGGAATGCATGGGTTAGGGTTATGGTTAGGGTTAGGGTTGGAGCTAGGGTTAGGGTTAGGGTTAGGGTTGGAGTTAGGGTTAGTGTTGGAGCTAGGGTTAGGGTTGGGCTTGGAGCTAGGATTTTTCTGAGTGCAATGAACCAACTCCCGAGTCTCTAGGACGTTCCTAAAAAAATTTGATTTTTTCCCATTGGGAATGCATGGGTTAGGGTTATGGTTAGGGTTAGGGTTGGAGCTAGGGTTAGGGTTAGGGTTAGGGTTGGAGTTAGGGTTAGTGTTGGAGCTAGGGTTAGGGTTGGGCTTGGAGCTAGGATTTTTCTAAGTGCAATGAACCAACTCCCGAGTCTCTAGGACGTTCCTAAAAAAAATTGATTTTTTCCCATAGGAATGCATGGGTTAGGGTTAGGGTTAGGGTTGGAGCTAGGGTTAGGGTTAGGGTTAGGGTTGGAGTTAGGGTTAGTGTTGGAGCTAGGGTTAGGGTTGGGCTTGGAGCTAGGATTTTTCTGAGTGCAATGAACCAACTCCCGAGTCTCTAGGACGTTCCTAAAACAATTTGATTTTTTCCCATAGGAATGCATGGGTTAGGGTTAGGGTTAGGGTTGGAGCTAGGGTTAGGGTTAGGGTTAGGGTTGGAGTTAGGGTTAGTGTTGGAGCTAGGGTTAGGGTTGGGCTTGGAGCTAGGATTTTTCTGAGTGCAATGAACCAACTCCCGAGTCTCTAGGACGTTCCTAAAAAAAATTTGATTTTTTCCCATAGGAATGCATGGGTTAGGGTTAGGGTTAGGGTTGGAGCTAGGGTTAGGGTTAGGGTTGGAGTTAGGGTTAGTGTTGGAGCTAGGGTTAGGGTTGGGCTTGGAGCTAGGATTTTTCTGAGTGCAATGAACCAACTCCCGAGTCTCTAGGACGTTCCTAAAAAAATTTGATTTTTTCCCATAGGAATGCATGGGTTAGGGTTATGGTTAGGGTTGGAGCTAGGGTTAGGGTTAGGGTTAGGGTTGGAGTTAGGGTTAGTGTTGGAGCTAGGGTTAGGGTTGGGCTTGGAGCTAGGATTTTTCTGAGTGCAATGAACCAACTCCCGAGTCTCTAGGACGTTCCTAAAAAAATTTTATTTTTTTCCCATAGGAATGCATGGGTTAGGGTTAGGGTTAGGGTTGGAGCTAGGGTTAGGGTTAGGGTTAGGGTTGGAGTTAGGGTTAGTGTTGGAGCTAGGGTAAGGTTTGGGCTTGGAGCTAGGATTTTTCTGAGTGCAATGAACCAACTCCCGAGTCTCTAGGACGTTCCTAAAAAAATTTGATTCTTTCCCATAGGAATGCATGGGTTAGGGTTAGGGTTAGGGTTGGAGCTAGGGTTAGGGTTAGGGTTAGGGTTGGAGTTAGGGTTAGTGTTGGAGCTAGGGTTAGGGTTGGGCTTGGAGCTAGGATTTTTCTGAGTGCAATGAACCAACTCCCGAGTCTCTAGGATGTTCCTAAAAAAATTTGATTTTTTCCCATAGGAATGCATGGGTTAGGGTTAGGGTTAGGGTTGGAGCTAGGGTTAGGGTTAGGGTTAGGGTTGGAGTTAGGGTTAGTGTTGGAGCTAGGGTTAGGGTTGGGCTTGGAGCTAGGATTTTTCTGAGTGCAATGAACCAACTCCCCTGTCTCTAGGATGTTCCTAAAAAAATTTGATTTTTTCCCATAGGAATGCATGGGTTAGGGTTAGGGTTAGGGTTGGAGCTAGGGTTAGGGTTAGGGTTGGTGCTAGGGTTAGGGTTAGGGTTAAACAAATGTTTTTAAAAAACAGCTGATCAAAACAGAGGGTATTTTTAACCCAAAGCAGACATCTATCCCCTCATTTTAAGTGGCATTAAACAATGCAGTTATGGTAGAAATTGATTTAAGTAGGTTTTTTAATTGCCTGCTAACGGCCAGGCTTTGTGAGTTGTTTCAGATATGAAGTGATTAACTCTGATTGGTCAGTGTTATTTTGCTTCAAATTTTTTGCTCCTCCTGGCTTCCTTTTTAAGTTGAAAATATTACCTTATCATATAGTTGAAATGTACAGAAAGAGATGTGTGCATGACATAAAAATACAATCCATAGTTTATAAAAGCTTGTATAAAAAAATACGCCAGTAGGCCATCTCATCTACCCACCACCTTAGCCTGCATGTCTGAAAGTTAGTTTCGGACCCTAGTGATAGTTTATCCCTGATTGTTATGTCTGCTTTTGTAGGTCATACCAAGGCATCAATGTTAATTTGAGTGTTTCAAAACAAAGCTAAAACTCCTTACTGAAGCTTTAACAGTGGGTCCCTAAGGCTTTGTTATTGTTGTTATCTGCCTGATGCCTTAAAACAACATCAAACTATTATAGGTGAAGGCAGAAAACTTAAAAAATGAGATTATTTTTTGAAGGTCCATAATGATGAGTCACTTATTTATCACATTTAAATTTCTTAATGCCATTTAACCCTCATGGAAATATTAACTGCATCTATTTCAACTCAGCAGCAATCATTTCATCTGTTCGGTTTACGTCTTCTCAGGTCTGACTGACTGCAAAAATAGCAGCATTCAAAACTAAAGAGATAAAAACTATTTTATCTTTTTGAGACTCTGAGAGGTCGCAGAGAAACCAACTCCAGTTTGAAGGAATCACACACTCAGGCGTTTCATGTTTCCTCTCAAGACTCCACCACCAAAGTACTTTCAGATCCAGGACAAACATGACTGCTAGTGCTGATGCTGATGATGTAGACAGCTGTAATGATGATAGTTATTTTCATCACACACCCCATTATCAAGGCTGCAGGGCTGTAAGGTCAACTCCTCCACCATCAGAGCTCCACACACGCATCTTAAGATGCCATGAAATGACCAGAGCGTGTCATCCCACCGCCCTGCTAACCAATGAAGTTTACCCTCGCTTCACAGCTTCCTCATCACACCACGCTCCGTCAGCCGGGCCAACACTCTCTACAGCCTGACCACTTGAAATTGCAGTTTCCACCACTAGAGATGTGACTCAGAAAGTGTCAGTCTTAACAGCCAATATGACAAGGAGCTGACTTTAAGGGCTGGAGCTTATCCTCCAGTCATGCGCCACACTAAAAAGTCAGACTCCAGCTCTGACTTTCCTGTTCTGTGGATACACTGTGTGGTTCTGCTTCCTCCCCCCTCTATAATAAAACTCATTATGTATCCAGTCAGTTGCTGAATTCAAATCACCTCACAGAGCGACACGCTGTGTGGTGAATAAAGTCAGAAGTCACCTCATGCCAAATGAGGGGACGCTCTCGTGGCTGATGGAAACGCTTTCTCTGCCATCTGTCTGCAGTCCTTGCCACCAGTTCTGGCGCAGCAGAGCAAATAAATAGAGGCATCCTCAGACATCTCATCACTCTAACCTGGCAACACGAATTTGAATCCATCATCTCTGAACAGACACTATGATTTCTGGCTGCTGAGCAGTTTATTTTTGTTGTTGGGTATTTTAGAATTAGACCTTATTTTGGTGAACAGATGGCAGACTAAATCCTGTTGAATCCCAGTCTTGAAAATGTCATTTAGACAGAGCCCAGAACTCTCCTGAACTGTGACTTCTGGAATCTATTGATCACAGAAATGTGGATTTATTTAATCCTCATTTTTCACTGACTTTACTGATAAATGGCAAAGAGAGGGGTTTTTTTTATACACCAGGCTGAAAAGCAGAGTATGACTCACCACTTTGGAGGAGAGTTTGGAGCTCATTTCACCTCTGACTTCTTTCACTGACAGGTGTGTGATAGGAGAGAGCTTTGTGTCACCTGTAACCGCACCAGTGATGGAGCACATCTGTTATCACTATCTGAAGGCTGAATGATGCTAAATGAGGTTTTTAAAAATAAGGAAAACTGCTAATCTGAGCGCTTATTCACAGATTTTACACATTGCTGATCTGAACATATTACAAGTGGTTCAGAAAATACATGTGAAAATCTCAACTGCTGCGAGACTTCGTTCTATTAACTCAACTAACACTGGAAACTTGTATTGTCCTTGTGTTATTTGTTCAAGAAACAAGTTCCGGTAACACATTACAATAACCATAACTTATAAATGGTAAATAGACCATTCATAAACGGTAAGCTGATAGTTTATAAATGTTTAATTATCATTTATAAATAGCATATAGACCATTCATACATTGTAAACTGTACAATTTTAAAAACCTAATCCTAACTTTACAATAACCATCTAAGTAATGTTTATAGGTGGTTTATAAACCATTTAATTATCATTTACAAAGTATTACAAACATCAGTTGCAACTTTACAATAACCGTCTAAGAAATGTTCATAGATGGTTTAAAAACCAAGTATTAACCATTTACAAAGTGCTACTGACACACATTTTAATCTAGATGTTTTACAACCAGTATTTAAACCCTATATAAACCTTTAATATATACTCCATTAATAATTAATGAAAATGATTAATCATAATTTCATTGCTTAAAGTAACTATTACCTTACATTAATAAACTATCTATTTGCCATTTATGATTGGTCTATATGCTGTTTTTCTTAATGATGATTAAACATTCAGTAACTATCTATTTACCATTTATAAATTATGGTTATTGTAAAGTGGGCGGCACAGTGGTGTAGTGGTTAGTGCTGTTGCCGCACATCAAGAAGGTCCTGGGTTCGAATCTGGATTAGGGTGTTTCTGTGTGGAGTTTGCATGTTCTCCCTGTTACTGTGTGGGTTTACTCTGGTTACTCCGGTTTCCTTCCACATCCCAAAACATGCAGAAGTGGGGCTAGGTTGATTGGCCACTTTCAAATTGCACATAGGTGTGAATGTGAGCGTGGATGGTTTTTTGTCTCTATATGTCAGCCCTGCGACTTGTCCAGGGTGTCCCCTGCCTTTGCCCGAAGATGCTGGGATAGGCTCCAGCAACCCCAGGAACGGGATTAAGCAGTAGAAAATGGATGGATCAATTTATTGTAAAGTGCTTCCCAAGTTCCTAACTTCCTATAAGAGCTCACGATGAAAAGTTAACAAGTCTAAAGTCAGAAACTATTTTTTCCCGTCATCAGTATTTGTTAACTCAGAATCTGAGCCTGAACATGTTTGAGCCGGAGAGGACTCAATCAATAGAGACTGATTTTGAAATATGGCTGCAGCACGGACTGAAAGCGAGCCTGCCCCATCCTTTGATAATCCTCAGGGGGTTTATGAGCAAATCTGACGCTGATTCTTGGTTATCTCCGTCTTCCCGTCCTTTCGATCCAGCCCTGCTATTTATCTGCCTATCTGAGTGCTACACATAAATCGCTTTCAAACACCAGCAGCCTCAAAGAGCCAGACAGAGGGCTGCTTTTGATCCCAGATGTCATTGAGACTTTTTTTTGCAGCTTTGGGGGTGGCATTTTGAAGGCTATGAAAGAGGAACATAGCTTCGGTCAGCAGATGGGGGAAATGGGGGAAATGTCACCGATAAGCACTGACTCTCAGGAGTCTTATGTAACACTGTACGTTACTGTCACCGGGGACGAATTATGACCTTATATAGAGATTGCTGAGATAGTTTAAGTCAAAATAGAAAACACACAATGAAGTGTCCTTGAGCGAAAGACTTTCCTTTTTTTAGCAGGTTTCTCCTCTGTAGTTCAACCAACAAGAGATCCTCTTTCATTTCCTCTGTTTGTTTTACAAAGTTTATAGCCAGAATCTGCAGTCTTTAGCTTTTCATTCGTCATGTATTGCAAACTGCTGGTTTCATGGGAGATATATTTTTGGTATCATCAGGCCTGGTTGTTTATATACGAAATGTTTATCTTTATTTTCTGTAAAAAACGATGAACATGTTGATTTTCTCTCATGGCTTTGGAAGCAAACATCGATTTGTTTGTGTGATTCATAAATATTATGTTAATTTTGTTTATCTGTTATTTTATACATGTGCTGCTCAAGACAGAGTGTACCCGAGTAAAAGGAGATGAACACAAAAGCAGAGCTTATATAAGCAGGTTCAGTCACTGTTTCATCTTTATTGTGTTTTTAAAGGCTGATTTATTTGCCCAATGCTTTCAAGTCTGCTGTATCAAGTAGTCATCCTTTCTCAGCTTTGGAAACATTACCTCTTGTTCTGCTCATAAAAGTCGAAAGTCCATGCAACAAATACTGGAGATCAGATAGAGGAAATGCAACAGTGAAGATGTAAATCTATACGGGATAAGTGCAGCCGAAGAGCGATGCTGTTTGTCTTGGTGAGCATGCACAAGGTCAAAGGGTTTCCATAATGGGAGACCCGCACGGCTGATTTACTGCAGCGCACACAAATGAGGAGTGATCACGCCTGAACCATGAAGACTTGGAGTGTTTCCCAGCATCTCTTCGAGCGCTCCTTCAGGCTGGGTCATCCACCAGTTCCTCTGAGCTGTGACATGCTCTCAAGCAGAAGTGTGGTCAGTTTTTTTTTTTTTTTTTTACTGCAAGAGTCACGGGGCCACTGTGGAGCGAATGCAATGAAAGGGGTAATGTTATGTACAGGCACAGATTCATCTGGACAACAGCGGAGAAAGGCCGTCTGTTTTTCTTGATACATCACACGCTCTGTCGTGACATCCAAATAAGAGAAGCTCATACATATCACATTAGAGCAGTCGCCTCTGGAGGCCCGTCCAGTTATCTGGGTGAGCTCCTCTGGCGCCGAGTGATGTCGATTGGAAATGAGAGTGCGTCGCCGGCTACTAGGCAACTGCAACTTAGCGCGAATTAGCAACAATGCAAGATAAGTTCTCAATCTCCACTAATATTAATCAGCCTCATCTTTGTTATGTAAATATGGAGATTGAATTTGAAGGTAATGAAGAGTGAGGCAGCTCCTTCTTCCTAAAGGATGTGTTTCTTGAATCTGACATCAAAGCCAAACAGCTCTTTCAGCTGCCAAAGAAAATTAATGATGCTTTTTTTAACGCTGTCACTCAATCTTTTCGACATGATGACTCCGGAAAAACGCTCAAAAAACTGTGTTGGGCCTCACGCTGACTCACATCAATCCGAAGGAGAAAACAATGCGAACGATACAAAGCGATGGAGAACAACAAAAGATGTTCCAGTGTGGGTTTTCTCGAGGTGGTTGAGGGAGGCCTCGGTGTGTGGATGTGGCAGAGAGGCAGAGTGTGGGCTTCTTTTCACACGTTTTCTCTCCACAGGCTCACAAGTGACAGCTGAGGAAAGACACCAATGTGTCTCCTTCCCTCACCGTTAGCGTCCTCTGCCGCGGGCAAATGTCAGTCAAAGACGTCATCCTCGTGTTTGGCCTTTGAATGCATCATCTGTATCCCCTTCATCTCCGGTCTCTTTGTTTGTTAAGTATCATCCTTTTTGAGTTGTTGTTCTGTTGCATCATATTATGCAAGATTTATGTTTCTTTGGGTTCAAGTTATTTTGATTTTTTTTAATGATTAGTCGACAGCGTTCACTAACAGGCCTTGTAAGTGCTTTCAGACACTATTTTTACAGCACCATCCAGTTAGGGGTGATGGTAAATGGTTTCACAGGGACGGGAAAGGAGGAGGGGGTTGTTAACCCTGTGTAGTATGTTGACATGCTGCAGGTGGTGGCCTGTTGAATGTCCAGCTGAGCCAGGAATGTGGAGGCCCTTTGGGTGCAAGCTGGGGAGGGTTTTCCTAAAGAGCAAATGCAGCTACTATGTGCGTATTGAAAGGATGACTAAGCTTTTAGATATTGTTTAGAGCATTAAAGCACCATAAAAGGCCTCAGAGCTTTCAACTGCATGGTAAAAATACTGCCTGGTCTTTGGGTCATGATGAGGGGTGTTTAGTTCAGTGACAGCCTGGGGATTAGCATAATGGCAGCAAGCTAAGCTACACCATCGGAGGACCCTTTCTCTTTAGGCCCTGGGGGTCTTCAACTGATTTATTGCTGTCCCCCCTGACTGCCTGCATCTATCTTTAGCTGTGCAGACTTTTATGAGCTGGCTGAAGCGAAGGCTTGCTGTGGCACTGTTGTCAGTGCTCACCACAGACGCTGTGACTGACCTCCTCTGCGGCTCGTGCTTCCACAGGTTGTGCGGAGCTCAGTTTGCAGGGAACCCTGCAGAGATTGGCATGTGTCAGAGGAATTCAGGGGTCTAGTAGCTGTTGTTTTTAAGACTCCTGACTGCTACTGTCTTCTAGCTTCCCAGCAGTGGAATCTAGATTTACTCAACTGCCAAATTTAAGCACAAAGAGTTTCCACCTCATCATAAATCAATCCCCATTATGGTCAGTGGGGATTTCGCTTAATTTTTTATTTATTTGACTGCAAATCTAACATTCGAAGCATTTGATGATAATAGCGATGAAATGTCATACATTCACTTTCTTCAAAGTGTGTCAAATAGAGCTGAAATGATTACTGATTGCAGAGCTGCCAAGCATCACGCTTCGAGTGTGACAGTCATGCAATTTTATCCATTCTCACACCACTCGCCACACTTGACTTTTCTCATGCTTATTTTCCCCATTCAATACTCTGTATTTATTTTTTTCATGATAATAAACTTCGTAGTTTGAGTAACTCTGATTGACTGACCAAGATAATCAATCCCAGAACAATCCATCAGTCCTTTGTGCCTAATGCTGCGTTCGAGTTACCTCGGAAGTCAGATGTCGGAACTGAAAATGACGTCATACCCAAGTTACCAGCGTTCCAGTTACCAAGTCAGAAAAATGAAAAATCGAAGGCCTGACACAAGGTAGCTACGACTACAAAAGTTACCTTAGTGCTTGCCTTATATCTGGACAAGGCAAGCGCTAAAAACACTTTTGTAGATGTAGCCATCTTATTACTGCCTTCTCTTTTGCTTTTTTCTGACTTTGTAACTGAAACGCTGAGGGTTTTTTGGGGTCTTGGCGTCTCTAACCATCTTTCACACACAACAGTGTCGACATTTAAAACCCAAAATTCTTGTTACAATTTTTATTTCTAATTTCTGGATCTTAATTAAGATCAGGGAGAGCAGCTGGCACGGAGGTGAGGACATCAGTCTCAGTATAAATCAACGTTAAAAACGGCAAAAAAAAAATTTGTTGCATGGCTGAACACATCATAACGCAAAAGTGTCACTCTTGTAATTTTCTGAAACTTGGCAGCCCTGTGATTGGCAGGAACTGAACCAATACTGATAGAACTCTAAATCTATTCTTACCCAGTTATGTTTGAAGGAAAACATATGATCAGTATAATCCATTAGATGCAGCCTTTTGGCCCCTCACCCCAGTCCTAATTGTGAGGAAATGGCTCCATGCTGACCTATGAAAACAGTTATATGCAGCTTACTCATAGATGCATCATCATCAGCGCCTCATAGAGGTCATTAATGCGCATAAACTCTCAGTTTTGATTCCGACCGAAGTATAAGATCTAAATTTAACTTATGATCAAACCTTTTTTTATGCTAATCACAGAAAAAGCTGGAGGTTGTTAACGGCTGATGATGCAGTGCTTGAGTAATAAGAGGAAATCTCTGCTTTTAAGCTCAGGTTAGGTCACTGTTGGATTAATAACTACACTGAAAATACACTCTGGCAGCTTTGAAGTGGGGGATAAAACGTTTTCAGTGGCAGACAAAACCTTTTACCTCACTGAAGTGGTGCGACAATTGCTTTAAGCCCCGCGATTGGTCAGAACATCAGCACTCCTCCTTTTCATTGACTGACTACAATACACAGAGTGACGGAAGATAATTGGACCATGTTTGTTCAACTGTGATGTTGGTATAGTATTAGTAAACTTAAATTAGCTTCAGTTTGATCATTTCTATTGATATGAAGTTTGTCTTTTTACTAATCGTATCAGTGAGCAGTACAGGCTGGATGAAAGTAATAGTGTTTAGTCTAGATATTCTTATCTAGAATCTCAACCAGTAAGTGAAAAACTTTTAAAATTAATAAACTTTTGTTTCCCAAGTTTTTACTTGTTGTTCTTTAAATATCTTTCCTTGTTTAAACTACTTTAATATTTATTTTTTTCTCTCATTACTATTCCATGTTTAGTTGTTGTGTATATGTCCCTTAGTGTAAATGTTTCCCCACTGTCTCTTTGCAAGTTATTAAACCTAGAGTTTCAATGACATTTTCAATGCCTGCCTTTTATTTTGATGGGGGAGGGGAAACATACAGACTAATTTACAGTTTGTAAACTATGATGCTGTACTGGACTTAAGGGTTATGGGCTTTTGACCAATCAGAATAAAGTATTTTGGTAATACTATATGTTTTAATCGATGTGAATGTTCTTTTTACATTTACAATCATGTATAGTTTTAGGATCACTTAACCATTCGGGCATGTTATTGATGAAGATAAAACACTTTTTGTAGGTCCAGAGTCCCTCAAGTAAACTCATCAATCTTATCACATTTATCAGAAGAGGAACAACAACAACAAGAAAAAGAAAATATTTATTGATCCCCTAAAGAGAAATTCAATACTTTATTACTATTTTTGTTAAACAGTTGTGAAAATTTCACCCTAAAACAGTCTGCATGCTTAGCTCATCTAGCAATGAACATTATAAATCATGTTGGTTTATAAATGCTGTAATGCATGACATTGCTTTGCATGTATCCCCATTTTGTATCCCCAAGTAGTAGTGCAACTTTTCTTCAAAAGATGTCACAACTCCAAATAACTTAGAGTTAATAAGGGCCAAGCAAACACAACAGATCTGAGGTTTCCTCTATAGAATCAATAGCTGTACGGGAAAGCTTTGTGCACACTCACAGATTTATCTCCCCCAAACACAAGTCTGGCACACAGCCTCCATATGGTGTGTTTTACACTGTGGGAGGAACGTGCTTTCTCAAACTTGCTTCCATTAAACACATTCCTCTCAAACAGCCTGATAACGGCATGCTAGCAGGTCCCAGCTCTCTAGTTATGTGACTCATCACTCAGGTGTGTTTACAGCTTATTACACAAAAAGAAGCAGAAGAGCTCCTCCGGAGACATATTACCACGTTTGGAACTGGAAAAAAAAAAAGCCAAATCGACACGTCCTCTCACAAAGTTAGTTATTCAGCGCAAATGTGTCACGGGTGATGACCTTTCAAAACATGAGCTTTTGCTAGCACAAACATGCGGGTAAAGCAGCAGGGACCGAGAGAACGAGGCTGTGTTTACGCATGTGTTAGACTGAGAAGTGGGGTCATTTCATCTCCCACAGAACCAACAATTACATCCCACCTCAAGCAGTATATGAGTTTGTTGCTTTAGTGCAGCTGGGGAGGAAAGACGGCTATTTGTTGTCTGAGAGGCTGAGAGATGAGAGGGATTCTCCACAGCTTACATAACCTGTCTCTCTCCATTCAAAGCAGGAAGGCCTTTGTCCATTACGCCAGATGGATATCAACCCTTATTTATTACTGATATGAACACTAGATTTGACGCAAAGCAGCAAAAACAACCAGAAAACCTAACTGCAAAGAACAGATATCTACTTTTACACTCTAAGTTAGAAAACATCACATTCCTCAGTGCAAGTAAAATAAACACACCCAGGAAGAAAAAAGAGAAGTGCAGACTTTTTTAGTCATGACAACATTACAGCTGTTGAGTTACTGCACCTTGATGGCACAGTGTTAGACAGCTGTGAACGGCTGCGGTGTGAAAAGAGACGCCTCTATTCCACCTGAGAAATTAGCACAGGGGTTGGTGGAGAATAGCAGAGTCTCAATTTCCTCCATGAAATGAGTTGATATATGAGAGATCTGGAGAGGATTTGGTGAAATGACAAGCAGAGAAATAACATCACGAAACAATAGCTGTCTTTTTTTCTACTCGGGGTGTTAACTCAAACACCTCAGAGCCTTTTTTTCATGATCTGATGACATTAAAGTGAAAAAAAAACCTCTCCTGTCTTTCAGTTTACAAAACAGAAATTGTACAGCCGAACCCAGCAGGGGGGAGTGTTTGCTTTCTACCCTGTCTCTGCCTTCCCTGTCCTCTTTCTAACATTTCTCTTTTACAGTTTTTTTTCTTTCTCTCTCTCTTCCCATGAGGATAAGCTGGGCGGTGACAGATGTAATGGAAGAGGCTGGTTCTTGGATTTTGTAGCAATCTGTCGAGCCTCTCTGGAGGTTCACAGGCTGAACTTGACAAAACACGACTAAGGGCTGCCCACTTGATAACCCTAGTGATGTTTTGGCTTTTGCTGCTCGTCTATACTCATGTTCAGAGTGTGGAGGAGGAGCCTATGTGGTTGGGTAGGTCCTAACAGCTTTGTCAGTTCCTGGAGCTCCGAGAAGGTGGGGAGGTGTGGCCACAGACTTGTACCTTAAAGGGATATTCCGAGGTAAAATTAAGTTAGCGTCAAACACACCGTAACACCAAGTTAGACACCCCCTCGAGAGATGAATGTTGCCGACTGCTTGCTTATAGTTATACCAACTTTTGTAACGACCGTACGATAGCAATATACAGCGGTCTCAGGAGCCACACGCTCAACCAAAATGCCACTCTATAGCCACAAATAATGCTCAGAACAGCACCTAACTTCATCAACAGTACATACAGGGTCCCAGCCATAGCACTACCCACCAAACATCTTTTTATCTTTGCCTGATTTCTTTAGCAAAGAGACTAAACACAACTCACCCACTCTCTTCCAGCAGCCACTTGTTTGTATGGAGACCTCAGACAAGTCCATTACAGACTGCCGAGTGGGGTGACGCAGCTCAAGGAAGAACATATATGATCATTACTTTGTCATTTCCTTAAAGCTATAATCACCATATTTATCATTTTGTACTGCAGACACGGTAGTTCTTCTGCCTACTAGAGAAACAAGCAGTCAGCAACATTCGTCTCTTGACGGGTGTCTAACTTGGTGTTATGGTGTGTTTGATCCTAACTTAATTTTACCCCGTAATATCCCTTTAATGTCTGACTGTGTGTGTATGTAGAGCTGTGTATTTACAAGCTGTTTCTCTTGCACTTATGCAATAACATAATGCAAATTGAAATCTACTTATTAATGAATGAATTAAGCCAAGTTACATTTCCAAAACAGCATGTCTTAATTTGAAGTCTTTATTGTGTCTGTAACAATTTTTCTTCACAGATACATGTCGTTATATTGATAACTGAGATTGTCAATTTGCCACAGCTTTCTTTCTTTGTTATGAGCTCTCTGGGCTACCGTACGTGACTGTGGTCGTTAACAATGTTTCTCACACAGCACACCTGGAAGATGACGGCAAAGCAGCATTCCAGGCTATGACCCCTGACCTTCTGTTCACCTCACAGACACATGTCTTGTAAGTGTAACACATTCAGGGGCTTTTTTTCACCCTCACTGTCAGCTCGTCTTTGGATCACAGTGCAGCACTTTCATTCTGGCTCTTCAGTCTAAGCAGCCCAAAAATGCTGAAAGACTGGGCCCACTGACCGATTTTTGGCTTGTTGATGGATTGAAATCGACAGCAAATTTGTAAAAATGTAAAAGATATAAAGGCTTTTTAAATGGATTGTCTAATTGTTTTGACTGGTGGTTGGAAAGAAATCTAGAGATCTATTGAGAGGCGAAGCAAATCGTACTGGTTGGATAACAAAGACGAGGAGAGTGGGTGAAAGGATTTGTTGTAAAAGAAATTTCTGATCATTAAAACTTGACAAATGAAGGATCACTTTTCATGCATCATAGCAGCTTGTTTTATTTGAAGGCCACTGTCACTTCACTGACAGGAAAGTGAGCAGGAGAGCGTTTCAATCCAGGAACTGTCAGCTTCTTCCTGTTAAATGCAACTTTAAATCAAAGAGAAGCTGATGGGAGCAATAAAAACTAAGATACTTTAAAGGACACATCACATTGGGGGTCTTGCTCCAACCTGCCTGAATACCATTCTGCTAGAATAATATCCTCACCATACATCATCCCTGTAATACTCAGCTGCTGTCTTTGTAGGTTATATTTTCAGGCTTTTATGCTTTTACTCAAAGTTAACTAGACGGTGGAGCGAGCAGGAAACCAGGTGAGAGGGTGAAAATTAATATCCTGAAAGAATCTGCAGATTAGAATCAGAGCCTGGTCACCTGCTTGGAAACAGCCTCTGTGCAATATTACTCTACTACTTGGCCGTAACAGTGCTTCAATAGTTTGCTGTTAAATACTCAATCCTGATTGGTCAAACTCCACTAAAACTGTGATTAATTCTTAATTAACAAAAACAACATCAGGACAACATCCATCTTAATAATTCAATATGCTGACCACAGATGGCACAGATCCTGAGGGGCTGCAGGGTCCTAGCAATCTCTGAAACGTAGAGCAAGATCCTGTCCTGCAATCCAGGCAATGGCAGCAGAGCCAATGAGTGCATTTCCAACTTGCAAACCACCTGTTCTGTTAACGAAATCCCTCACTTGCTGTTTTACTTCAGTTTTTTGAATGCAAGTCTGACATGCAAGTTTGTGCTGTTTCAGAGGAGAGAAAGAAAACATAACCTTTACACATACTGCCTAACTTACAGTTGTTCTTTAACTTGCCTCAACAGTTATAAAAGTTAAACTACAAACAAACCAAATGTACAAATATGCTAAAAGTGCTTCAAATTATCAAGAGTGGGTTGTAGGACTCATTAGAATAGGATAGTATTTCTGCAGGTTTGTTACGTGACACATTCTCTAAACTGAGAAACCAATAGTGGCCATGGTCATCCTAAATCCTAAACCATGATTGGCTATTTGTTTATCAGAGGAGGCCCTGCTTCAACAAGCTGCAAGTATCTCCTGATGTTCACAACACCTGGTCACCCAAAGGAAGTCAGCGCCCCATTTTTGCCTCCTTGTCTCCACCTCAAACTTTAAACCGAAAGACTCAAGAAAAGATTCATCAAGAGTGAATTAATTGTATGTCACGGCCGGGATATTGTTAGAAAAAAAGTTGAAATACACCCACCCTAACCATCTGATTTTGACCGACTAATGTAGGGAGGAAGGAAGTATCATTACTGCGTTTGCTAAGTCAATTTCCTGAGCTCTTCTTCTATCCGTCTCCAGTGTGAGCTGTGTGATGAATCTACAGCTCTGGATATGATATCATGTTACAATGTGAGACTACATCGATGTGATGTGAAGTCTGTGTATTGATACCGCTGCTCAAGCGCAGGATTAGCTGTGAGTTTTTTTTATGAGACCGGAGAGGCTCAGAAATAGATTGCCTCTGGCCAAAAGCACTCACTCTCTCTCTCTCTCTCTTTCGTCCCTGTGCTGCCTCTCGGTCTTGCACCTCCCAGCACTCATTCACAGCTCTCTTGGGACGGCAGGCCCAGGCAGGCGGCCAGCTGGTGATGTCTCACTGGGACGGCGGCAGAGAAAAGGAGAGCACAGTCAGATGTGGTATCAAAGACATCAGGGGCTCAAGGGTGGACGGTCTCCAGAGGCATTGCGACATACCTCCCCTGTTACTGCACTTACAGAAGCCCCCCTCTCAGGTTTCCATAAGGGTCATGCTTGTGTCTGCTGTGATTGTAGCTTTATGAATGGTTACATAAATCTTCGTATTCAAACCTGTGCGTGGGTGATAATGATGCGCAAACATATGTCTGGGTATACCCAAGATACCTTTCTCTGTTTCTTCACTCTCTCTCTTTCTCTCTCTCTGTGAGTGTATTACAGGAAAACAGTGACTAATGTCTGCCCTCTTCTCTTCCGTAAGCTGATATGTCCCTAAGGCGAATGAGAGAAGGCACCAGCCTTTTTCTCTGCCCAAAGATGCTTCAGAGGCACTGCAAAGACCGCACATGAACCTCTCAGGATGGCTCACATGGACTTCCACGATCGTGAACTTAATCGCGCACGTGAACGTCCACTCTTCTGTGCACTCAGAGCGTCTATCTCTGAATGCCGTAAGGTTAACTTGGCGCCCATTACCTAACCCGCAACATCCAGGGGAGATGACCCGTGTAGTGCTCAGACAACGCAGGCTGAAACTGGTAGTGCAGCATTACTCACTCTGAGTAAACATGGGAATAGTAACAGGAGTGAAACACATTCAAACCGAATGATGCTCACATAGCCATGGTGATGACGTTATTAGTGTGTATAGGGACAAGCATTGATAAGGGGTATTGAAAACATAGGCTCATTTTAATGCAAAACTAATTGGGGATGTTCTGGGTCTTCTTATCCAAACGCATGAATGCCCTTTCCTTGAGCGTGAGTACTGCTTTTTTAGGTTGAACATACTCTCTGTGGTCATGGACAGGGTCTCAGAAGGTGACACTTAATTTACCACTCTCATAATGGGCGCAGTGTCTGCTGCATACATAATTAATCAATCACTGTTTTCCACATTGATAACAGCACGACCCCGGCCCTCACCTCGTCTTTGAATACTGATTGCCGCTTACAATTACTGCGGGGCATGTAGCTTAGAGACTCAGACACAAGAGGTAGTGTTTCATTCGAGGAACCAAAACAATCCTCAGCTGATAAGGCTAGAGAAGAGTTAGCACGAGCCTCACAACCAGGTATCACAACAGTACAGATACATTAAAGTATCTTAAACTCTCCAAACATACCTTCACAAACGCATTTCCGAACAACAAGTATTCATCTGTAACTCTACAAGAGCTAGCAGGATTAATAAGAGTGTGATAAGCAGACAAGGGCGAGATTTGTTGAGCCGCTCCAGCAAAGAGATCTGCTCGCACTATTTTTAACTCAGAATCTTAATGAAACATCCCCCATAGTGCCCAAGAGCTTCTTTTTCTCCCCTCAATGAATTCATTCAGTTGAAACAGATTTAGGCGGCAGAATGAAAAATGGTGCATAGAAATGACTTTCTGGGTTGGGAGATTAATATTACAGAGAGAGGTGATGATGTATTACCATTCCTGTTCAGTCTGTGCAGCATGTTAATGATGGAAGTTAGGCAGTTCACCATAGGATGTAATTACTGATTAGTCTAATCAGCGCACAACGGATCTGTTGTGTAATTAGCTTTACTTTATGTTGGATGAATATGATAACTGCTGTACAATCTTCTGCAGCCATAAATCATCCGTTTGAGCACATTTATAAGTTTATATTACACTTTTTCACTGTTTATTTTTTTTCTTGTAGAGTTGATTCCAGAGATAATTTTATTTCCTTCCCTGATTCGGCAGGATTGGATGTTTTTTCTTTGCTGCTTATTTTTTTTTTCCAGTTTAATTGGATTTGATGACTTTCTTGTTGTTTTTAAACTTTGCTGTGTTGGATAATGACCATGTTTGCAGATATTTGTAGTGCTTTTGATTTAATTACTTTTTTTCAAGAAGTTTTGGGGAATCGAGAGAGATAACAACTGTGTGGTTGTTTCCAAATACCAAATGTTGTTGATTGATTTCTTCAAGATTGAATATTTATTGGATGAATTAGCATGAAATTATGAATGTGTTTATCTGTTTTAGATGAATATGCTTGAATAATCATTTTTGATTATTTTTTCCCCCTCTAACCTTTAGCTCAAACTTGGCTGAGAACCGCCTCTGCTGCAAATAAAAAAGAATGCAAAAAAAAAAAAAAAACTGAAGCACCCAGCAAATAAAAAGGAGGTAAGATTAAAAAAAAAAAAAAAAAGCCACAACGGAAGTTAATGACGCAAACCATGTGGCAATGCAAAAGAAAAAAAAAGTTTAAACGAGTAAAGAAGTTAGTGGAAAGGTTATTGTTTAATTTTGCTTCGTATACTTTTCAACATGTCATTTGGTCAGGCCATGTAGCACCTGAGTCGATATGAAGTTGAACTGGAGGATGCCGGTGTAGTGTTAGCTTCAGTTCAACTTCATATTGACTCAGGCACTACATAACCTAGCCAAATGATCATAGACTGTTTATACTATGGACAACTTGGTTCTGCCTTCTGCCTGTATACGGATTTGAAGCCAAAAAGCTCTCGGTCGCTGTGATGATGCTCGGCTCAAACAGCGTAACAGGCACTACATGGCCTAACCAAATGACACATTGAAAAGCACAAGAAACGAAATTAAACAGTAACCTTTTAACTAACTTCTTTGCTCGTCTTCTCGCGTCGTCTTATGTGCCTAGATTGTAAAATACCAGCGCATCATCATTATTGGTCCCCGGCAGCTCACTTCCATTGTGGCTTTTTTTTATTTGCATCCTTTTATTTTTCCATCGGCACTTTTTTTTTGCGTCTTTAACTTCAGTTGTTGCTTTTTTATATCTGCACCGTTTCTTTTTTTGATTTGCAGCGGGCCTCGGTTTCTTTTTTTTTTTGCATCAGTAACTTCTGTTGTGACTTCTTTTTTTTTGCATTCTTTTTTTTTATTTGCAGCAGTGGCAATTCTCGGCCACCATACAAACTGGATCATCTCAGTGAAAAAAGATAGAAACATCCTGAAACGTACACATGACATAAGTAAATCTACACAATTTCACTCATTAGACTCTGGGGCAAATCACAAACCAGCACACGCAAAGGTCATTAGCCTTATAGGGAGATTACTTTCACTTCACTGATGCATGCTCACTGAATATATAAAACGTGGCCATTGCAAACAAGCTCCAGCCCAGCACCCTGTCCTGAAGTGTTAGCGTGGCTGCAGGACAATTGATTTTCGCAATAGGTCGGAGAGGTGATGTGGGTTTAGTCACTCAAAGGCAGCAGATAGATGGTAAACAAATATTTGACAGCAGGAGCAGCAGCAGCAGGAGCAGCAGCAGCAGCACTGGGCTTTCTCCTCTGTGGTGTGTTTGCAGTGTGAGAGGCGGTGAACTACAGGAGTTGTCTCGGCTCTTTTAGTGCCCAGCTCTGCGTCCTTGGAGAGGAAGAGCTCCTGTAATTGGTTTCTCAATGAAGGATCATCAGCGGCTCCCCTGAGGTTTGCTGGACTGTAGCGTAGCGCTGCTCTCTCAGCTGTCCGCTCCCCGGCGTTGAACACCGCTTTGCTCTTTTTCTTCCTTGTGAAATAAACAAGTGGGCAGTGAAGGGGATACTCGGTGCATCATCATCATCATCATCATCTTGCGCGCATTCAGAGTGTGGGGAGGATCTGTGCCCCCGTTTGTTTTCACAACCTGTGCGAGTGCTGGGAGTTATTTACAGCCGTGTTTGTGGAGAATCGCGGCAAAGTTTAACGCAGATTTCCAACATGAGTGACCTGGAGGACGACTTTGCCAAGATCCTTCTACTAAAGGAGGAGAGGATACGGGACTTGGAGAGGCGCCTGGCGGACCGAGAAGACGAGATTCAAGAACTGAAGAGGAAATTGCACAAATGTCAGTCTGTTCTACCCAGCGCTCAACTTATTGGACCGAGGACCCGCAGGGCGCAGGGCATCTCCGCGGAACCGCAGACGCACCAGGACTTGTCACGGCAGACATTTCGGAAATATGCCAAATCCGACTGGTAAGCCTGATTGAATACAACTTTAACGTTTCTCTTGTTGTAAAAAAACCAAACAACAGTGTGATATGGTGTGTCACGAAGGGTTATTGGAGGCGTAAACTTGCTTGGAAATGGGTGTGCATGCGTTAAAAGTAACTCCAAACACTCGGCCTCCTCCACAGAGCCCCCTTTACTGCCTGTTTCCCACTTTTTTTTTGCTCTTTTGCTTTCTGTACATGGAGGATGAAGACGCTCAGCCATGAATGGAGGAGCACTTTCATTCTTGAGGGGCGATGACGCAGCTCCACGGCGAGCTCCAGAAAGAGGCTCCTAATTGATCAGATCCATCACGGATGTCCCACGGGACGCAGACAGGAGGAAGTGCGATGCATTATTGGCTTTTAGTAGCTGGACGCTGTGGACCCGAAGTGCATGTCTGAGGATATTTAATACTCCATTAGAAAACGCTTTGTTTGACCATATGCTTGCTTCATCACCTTTTGGTGCTCGTTTTAGCCTCGTGGTGTGCATGTTCGGAGTTTGAGGGTTTCACATGGGCTGCGAGCAGTTTCTCCTACTTTTATTTACTTATTTCAAGTCTATCAGGCTTCATTCTGCCTTGAAAAGTTTCACTACTCACTAGTTTCGCCTCCTCTCTCTGCCCTTTCCTCCATTATGCTCCAACCAGGATGAATAAGCTCAATTTTTTGTTTGAGTCATGCACAAGCAGACTGTAAACTCAAACATGTCCATTCTTCTTCTGCAGTTATATATCACAGGGGATAAAAGTCTTAGTTTGCACACATGGATGCTCAGTCTGCAAAAGTTCACATAAAGATGTGGAAAGTGTAAATTAAACCCCAAACTCAAGAATGACTGGGTTCATTGAGACATACTCACGACTGATGAGGCATATTCAAGCCAAAAATAGCCATCACCTTTTATCCACCTTTCTGTATGACCAGGGTTCATTCTGAAAACGGTCAAATGATGCGTCAGCCGATGAGACACACTAAGTGCTTGAATGGGCCTACAAATCAATCGCATGCACCTACTCACTGAAGTAAACCTGTTTGTCCACCGGTGGAAAGAGCACCAAAGAGATGACGTGCTTGCCCTCTTGCACCGGTGTGTCTGGACGAAGGGGCCTCCACCTGGGCCACCGTGGGGTCAGAGACAGTGTGACCCCCTCCTCCCCATTAGAGTCAGGACGTGGCACCAGCCGGCAGACCGCTCCGGCTCATCGGATTACCGCAGCATGGAGCAATGGATCCTGTTTCTATTGATCTGCATAGGAAAAGGGCTGAGCTGGATGGTTAGGGAGGTGAAATTTAAAGCGCAGAGGTGCTTTGAAGGGCAGTGGGAGGGCTTTTTGATGATGGGAGGATGCAGGGGTGCAACACAGACTTAGACCGGGGAGAGTTTGTAATCACCAGGCACCTGCAATTTCCCTGATATGAAAGAAAGTTTGCTGCTGCTGCTGTCTGAGCTTTGTGCCCTGTGCCCTTCCCTTGACGGAGATAAAAGAAAATATGATGGTGTTTAATTAGCTGTGAGAAGAAAGGCTGTCTTGGCTTTATTAGAAGTTCAGATTGAGAAGGGAGCACCAAAAATACAATGTTAGCTCCTCATAAAACTTATAAGATTGTTTCTCTGACAGCTCAATCAAACAAGATTTCAAAAAGAGGACATATGTTTCTTTAGAGTTGAACCAAATTTCAGATTTGTCATTTCCTGCTCTTACGGTGCATTTATTTTCACTCATCTCACCCAGTGCCACCTCATATGTGCTTTTAGGATACACAATTTTAAGTTACCAACATGCTAAACAGTGGGAACACAAAGGTGTTTTCTTGCAGATTAAAGGCATCCCACCTTGTTGTTGTTTGCCTGAGTACATGCACAAACCAACCACAAGAGGGCAGCTGTGACCTTTTCTTGGACCAGCTGTCTCTCTTCAAGCTTGTTTACATGCTTTTTTTCTGCAAGAGAAGATGCTTTTTATTCTTCCTCCACACCACAAACACCTGTGCTCTGAGCCAGAGAAAACCCGCTCCACCTGTGTGTTTATTGTCCCGACCGTCAGCCTGTGACTCCTCATCCTCTGGGCGCAGTAATTGCTGTTGTATCTCTCTAACTCCTCATATCAGATTGTCCTTGGCAGTTTATCCTCCTCTGAGTTTGTCCAGAGCACATGAGGCCAAATTGTGCTCTCTGAGTTTCAGATGACTCACTAGGATAATGTGGACAGACACCAGCAGTGCAAGGTGGTGCGCACAACACAACACATGATGAGATGAGGGGGGAAAGTGGAGCTGCTGTGGGAGTCGTGAGCTTCAGTGGCTTTGGCATCATCATTTCTCCTGCTGCTGCTTCTGTTTGACAGTCTGCAAGATTATCTTTTTTGTTTGCTTTTGGCATCTTTACTTTCAGCACTTTGGAATCCGTCAGAATACAAGTTGTTGTTTGGCAAAGGTTTTGGAAAGTTTGATTGTTTACTCACTTTTTTTCATGCAATCTTTTCCCTCAAAGCGTCATTTTGGTTCTGACTCAAATGTTTGCACTGCTATTCAGGTGGACATGAATATTTAGTTGCTTGTCAGGCTTAGTTTAGCCTGCTTTTTGCAATCAGTAGATATTTTTTCCCCTTTCTGCCAAAGCATCACTTGAGTTTTACTGTAAATTTAGAGCCTAAACAAACACCTGAAAATGTCTGATTGATAATTCTCGCACCTCTGTCTGTGGGCAGCTCCACCAGGACATGCAGCAGTGTCTCATTCTCCCACAGATGGGATACGCATTGTTTATTTTTACATTGAGGTTCATTAAGTTTCCATCACCTCCAGCCTCCATTAAGGCTGCACTGCTCATCTATTTGTAACTCAGCAGCCCGAGGGCGAGTGTAGTTGGGGTATGATGGCATGGTTCCCCGTGCAGTGTTTTTTTTCCTCATCGAGTCCATTATTCATGAGAGGAGAGGAGCGCAGCACTCTCTCTGGAGTGGCAGACTGCACTGTGCCACAGATTCCTGTAGGCGCCCTTCTCGCCATGTGCTCTCTCCAGGTCGCAGCCTGACGCACTTGGGGAGGACGGTCCTCTGCTGTCACACCGCCGTGGGAGGGAGAGAGAGGAAGAAAGAGAGGTAGAGGGGCCAAACTTTGCGTGATTGTGCCTAAGACGCTTTTCACCTCCGCGATCGCAGCTAAACATACCTCCCCTTCTCAACACCCGGTCAGCAAAGCGAGGATTCCCCCCCTCAGGAGAGACAGGGGCTGCATCTTTTGAAGCCGTTCATGCCGGATAAAGTTTACGAGCTGCGTGGAAGAGGAGCGAGGGAAAAGTCTCGGCTGCGTACCTTTTCAATAAACTTGCTGGGAAGTCACTTGTCGCCTGCCAACTGAAATGGGCACCTTACGCGACCTCCAGTACGCGCTCCAGGAGAAGATCGAGGAGCTGCGCCAGAGGGACGCGCTCATCGACGAGCTGGAACTAGAGCTCGACCAGAAGGATGAGCTTATCCAGAGACTGCAGAACGAGCTGGACAAATACCGCTCGGTGATCAAGCCGGCGACCCAACAGGTCCACAAGCAGAACGATCTGCATGAGCAACAGCGGACGAAGAGGCAGGCGATTTCAGCCGAACCCACCGCCTTCGACATCCAGGATCTTAGCCATGTCACCCTGCCCTTCTACCCTAAAAGCCCACAGTAGGTGTCCAAATCACAGACACACCAAATCCACTTTCATCCATGATATTGTGCTTTGTTTTGGACGGTTGCTGTACTGGACTGTGAGTTCATTCATTCTTTGTCACCTTTCTAATTCTTGTGCGTAATTTGATGTTTGACGCAGCAGGTCCAGCACCTGTAGCACATGTGTATGAGCTCTGTGACAAACACACATACACGCACGTACACACTCGTGCACAGTAGATATAGGGGAACTGTGATGTGATGCCAGTCAGCTGTAAAATGAGAAAAGGGAAATATCAGGAAGCTGTCAGTCAGCACAGTTATCGATAAGATTATCTGCAGCTCAGTGATTGAAGGATCAATTTCATGTTGGCCAATATCAGTTGGATAAGGTGAGATAGAATGAAATATCAGCCACTGATGGGAAAGTATAGATTTTGGGAGCTAGTGTTGAGCTGGTATTTTAATGTACTGAAGTCTATTTTATCCAAGCTGCGATTCTGTGAGAAGTATGTTTACATTAAGCTCTGTCTGGAGAGTCTCCCTCTCCCTCTCTCTCTTCCTCTCTAACTCTTCTGCGAACCTCTGCTCAACTTGCTGTGCAACAGGAGGTCTGCCTCTCCAACCCCAAAACTGGCACAAAAATAGCTCTGTTGGGAAATAATCCAGCCGTCTGTTGGGTTTGAACTTAGAGGTTGTGTTTTGATGAATCCATACACAGCTTATTGCCCCCCTGATGTTCAGGAAGAACGTTTTCTTCCCTAATCCTCAAGCAGCTGTGGACGTACTGAACATAATCAGTATGTTTCCGAAACCTACCAGCTGTGAAATGCACAGTTGGAGTAGCCAAGTCACTTAAAACTAAGCAGAGAAGTGTTTTAAATAAATATGACTAACTGGTTTGTTTACTTTGAATCGATTTTATTGTGTAATGAAACATTTCGTTCCTCACGCTGATGTTTTGTTTGGACTTAAAAGATAACGTCAGATGAATTTCATTGTTCTGTGGATGGGCGACCAAACAAAGCTTAAAGGGATTTTATGAAAGACCATTCAGAAATGAAGGGGATTATTTACCTGAGCAGCAGCAGACCATTAGTCTTTGTTATGCCTGTCAGGTCTGTGTTGGGGAAAAATGCTAAAAGCACTCTTTTCTTCTCTGCTACTCTCTCTGTCTCTCTGCTGTAAAATTATTTGGTAAACCAGGAGAGGCAGTTTTTTTTACTCTTATTTTCTTTTTCTATTATGAGATCTCCTGAAGAGGCTTTTAAAGGAGAACTTGATGAGAAAAAAAAATCAAATCTTGTCATTTTTACATTTTCATACTCTCCTTACAAAAAGTTTAATGTCTTGTCCATTAAAAAATCAATGCAAACATCCTCAAATATTTTGGTAAAATGCTAAGTTTGCCTGAGAAAGTCCTAAAGTTTGAAACAGTGGCATGACTGATGACAAGAGATGCTGAAACATGTCCCTGTTATCACAATGAAGGGCTGTTTGTGTTTCTAAACCTCTCAATTACAGTTTTTCACACTTGCCATCCAGCATAGGATGGAATTTTTATTCAATATCTTCCTCTGATGGGCTTTTGCATAAGAGCAGACAGACTCTGCATGCAAATGACTTCAGCTTGTCTTGGCGCTGTTCTCGTATTAAGTCAGCATTTTTTTTAACATAATTCAGTTTGTTTTGACATTTGTGACTGAGCAACGTGTAGATGTTTGTCTTTTCCAACAGAAATACCACAATTAATTTGAATCCAAGTTATTTTTGTGTCATTCCAACTTTTGAGGGCTTTTCTTTTGTGTTCATTAAGCTGATAAATACTCTCAGGGTAAAAACATCTCAGCTACACTAACCCTTTGTTTAAGTGTAGAGCAATACCTCTTAGATTAGTCTGAATGTTTACGTTATTCCTTCATTTTCGCCCACTTTATCTACTTTATGAGGCCCATCAAACATTTCTTACACATACGCTCACCCTCAGTCTGCCTCCCGTTTCTGTTTGCCGCTCCCACTTCTCTGCCACCCCTGGTCTTTTTTCCCTCTAAAAGAGCATATTTTCTCCTTTTAAGGGAAGCTGAACTTGCTCAGCCCTAAACTTCACTGGCGGATGAAGGCAAATATATCATCCTCACAAAGCAAGAGGAAGGCAGATGTTTTTTAAAGCGTCTGGTTGGAAGACGTGGCCATCGCGGGCTCCAGTCAGGAGGTCCAGATCAGGGTTGAAAAGGCCTCAAATCTCCTGGGTGAAAATAAAACAGAGAAGGGTCAATGAGGATCATTTCCCGAGGAGAGGCGATTTACAGTGTCTTCCTGTGTGTTATTTTTGAGAGACAGACAGAAAATAAAACAATATCAACAGCGAAATAAATCTAGTGAAGATTCTGACAGATCCAAAAATTGCTCCTCATGTTTTTTCGTTATAAAATCCTTAAAAGCAGTCAAAAGAAAACTCAAGATAATTCTTCTCTCTACTGAAGATTTGGAAAACACACTTTTGCCCAGCGGTCATGTTGTGTGCCTCACGTAGAGGAAGCTTTAATCTTTAAAGTGGGCGACCCAGGATCCATTCCAACTTAGGGCCCCCTTCCTTCATGTATCTCTGCACTATCCACTGTCCTAGCCTTTCAGAATAAAAGCACAAAATCACAGACTGTATGGAAAGCCAAACCTAGATAAAACACCCCAGTCTTCTCTGCACAATTCCCAAAAGCGACCAGTTCTTATTCTCAAGGTGAGAATAAGACATATCTAAGAAGGAACTTGAGGTAATCCTGGTTTCTTTATGGGTATTAAGACCAGACTATCCCAGGTTCAGGTCAGCTTAAAATGCCTACCCTTTCGGATACATTTCATCATATCTGTGGGCAGTCTCGCATGTTTTTAAAAGTCACAGTCACAAATGATGGTCTGGTAAAATGTCAGTGCCCTAAAAACATCTTCTTCGAACAATCGAATGCAGTATACTCACATTCCCAATCTGTCACAGAGGTAAATCCACTGACCCAGATAAATCATGTGAGAAACTTCCTTGAGGAACCAAAGTAGGACACTGTTTTTTTCTTTACAATGGGCTCTAATGTCTTAAGTAAACTATCTTCTTTTTTTCCCATAGACTTTGAAATCCAGCTAAAAATGCTGTGAAGTTATTTAGTTTCTTGGTTTTATCTGCAAGCATCAGTCTAGTGAGAGAGGAAAAGTAAACTGTAATGGGATCCACAGGCCTTGAGACCCTAATTGAAAATTCATCAGGCTGCTGGCTTCGAAAATACACATGATAAAATACACACCATTGATAATGTAGCGTGCCGTTTACGACTCAAAACAAATCTCATTCTGCAGTGTAAAAGTGATGCACTTGACTTCCCTGTAGATGGTAGCCAAGGTTGGAAATCGTATTTTTATGCCAGCTGCTTCTTTGTTGAGATTGGCATCTCTCACAGATTTGGCATTTTTCATCTGAAAGAGCCACACTCTGCAGATCCGAAAAGGCGTCTCAAGAAAATGTAGGAGCATTTGTGTGACCTTAAAAGTTCTGTAGTGACAGAAACGCACACACTTCTCAGCACATCTATCGAGAAAAATGAAACCTGGGCACTGCTGGTATTCCATCATGGCTGGTGGTGACGTTTTCTGCACCTTCAGTTTTTGTTTGTGTTGCTGTTCGGTGTGTGTAGGACATTGCTGCAGGCTGGCAGCAGGGGCACAGAAAGCGTGTGTGTTGGTGGGCGTGCTGCTTCATAAATGCCCTCCAGGTTATTTGCTCTCTTAGCTATGAGCTCCTCAGGTGAACAGCTTTTGAAAAGGGCACCGAGCACTAAAAGGCAAGAGGCAGTTCACCACCAGCGCCTGCCATCAGGGGATAGGGAGCATTTTCGGTCTGTTTTATAAAATAGGGGGACAAAAGCTCCACTTCTCAGCGGAGGGGGACTCCTTGTTGTATTAACCTTGATACATATCATTACCCTCATTCATCCGGCCGAGGCTCACAGGAAGCGGGACTCTCCCTCTGATGATGGCATGCCTCAGAAAGACTGATCCTGACTCACTGTTTAGAATCAGCTGTTTTGTCGTCTTTGTGTCCTCGAGGTCCAGATTGTTGCTTGCTTTGGCTTTGATGGTTTCAGCCTTCATTGTGTTTATATGCTGTTAGGATAATATACACCTTTCACGAACAAATGTGCTTCCCCGGACTATGTGTACTTATTGATTTAAATGCTAATTTGACATAATGCCCCTTTTCATGATCATATTTGTTCTGCTTTAGAGTGCTTTTTCTCCTGAACGCCTTGTGTATCCATACAGCTGAACATAAGCCGGACAGTAAATTATAGTCTCGCCCATCATTGCATAGTCGCTGCAGAAATACCTACCTGTAGAATGGCCTGGTGACTCGGCAGGCTGAAGGCTGATTGGATTTTTAGGAGTGCCCACCAGAATTGATAAAATCTGCTCCCAGGTTCAGCTATTTTTTTAAACAGCTCTGGTATTCACTGTGAATGAAAAATGTTTACGTTGATGCTCTGAAATGAGAAAATGTTACTTTCTATATGTTTAAAAATTACCCTGTCATATGATGGAAGTGAGTGTGCACAAGTGGTCTCATTTTTACCTCCTCCTTAGGTCCAAGGATCTGATCAAGGAGGCCATATTGGACAATGACTTCATGAAGAACCTGGAGCTGTCTCAGATTCAGGAGATCGTGGACTGCATGTACCCTGTGGAGTATGGAAAGGACAGCTGCATCATTAAAGAGGGAGATGTGGGCTCTCTGGTCTATGTCATGGAAGGTAAAAACACACATGCACAGCTTGAAATGTATACTCTGTGGCAGCACAACATATATTCAATACATGACAGCAACAAAGAGAGGATGGAACAACCTCAAAGAAGAGTGGGTTATTAATATTTTAGTAAAGGTTGAAGTGGATCTAAAGGGCTGCGTCTAACTCCAAGAACATCATCATGACAATGACGGGGGGAAAATGAAAGAGCATTATTGATGGGTTACAGCTGGATGATGAGCTAAAACTGAGAACTGCAACACTTTCTGATGCTGTATGATTCATTTTCGTCCCATCGATTTTATTTTGTATGACGCTGTGTGCCTGCTGAGTGTTTTCTGCCTTATTCTTTTTGGGCAGTATTGTTTCAGCATGTGGTTTTTCTTTTTCACTCTCCTTTTTAACAAGCATTGATAATACTGAGTGAGAGCCCTGATGATTGAACCAACAACAACAACAACAGCAGAAGCAGCAGAACGTCTAGACCGGTGCTGATGGAATTTGTGAAAGGGCATTTTTGCCTCATGATTTGTGATTTGAGGTAGTGCGGTTCAAGTCTTAGGTCGTGTTCACACCTAAAGGTCCGTTTCCTGATCGAATCCAAGGCAAGATGATATATTTGTTTTGATTGTTTAACTGGTTCGGTTTGCGTTCACAAAGGACAAACTCAATCGCTCCAGAAAACGGACCCAGAAGTCACGTGACCATGAATATCGTTTGGTTATTGGTCATTAGTTCATGCGGGAATACAAACCCCGCTCTGCTGTCTTCGCCTGTCATGAAGCATCGTAGGCTGATTTTGCTTTCGCTACTCATCTGGAGCGCGTATTAGAAGACGCTAGTCAATCGCGTGTATGAACAGCTCGTTAGCCAGCGAGCGTGAACTGCGGCACTAATTAATACACTCCGGAGTAGACGTGCTGCAAACAACAGACGGATAAAGACGAGACGGCGACAGGCATTGATGAGAGCCTACCACCGTTTCCTGTGATTGGTGTGGATGACGTCCACACCAGAAATGAACCGCTCCAGAGTTCACTTGAACGCGGACAGAGATCACCTCTTCAGGTGGACCAGAGTTCGTTTATTTGGTCCGCACCAGAGTTCGATGAACCGCATCAAGGGTGTAAACACTCCAGGGTTCGGTTCAACCGGACTATACAAGGGTGGTGTGAACACGCCTTTAAAGACTCTCCACAGCAGCAGGTTCAAGCTCAGTGAGAGTCCCCTCAGTCAAAACATAACTGATCATTCTGTCGCAGTGAACTTCATTATCATACTAAAGATTAAAATATGAAAAAGAAAGAACAGATCAATTAGTGTTAGTGGCCTCTTTCTCTCTAGAGTGCCTTATAACTCACACTTAACTCTGATATAAAATTGCACTGGCAGAGAAACTCTGATTACAACTCAAAATGTTCCAAGACAGATTTAATTTCCTTTAAACTTTTAACAAAATGTCAGGGCAGCAGCAGAGTAAGAAAACACAGAAACTACAAAGCAGGAGGCCTCAGTTTTGTTGGTATATATATATAGACAGTGGCATTTAAAGGTTAATATTTTACAGGGAGGAATGTTCATATTGATTGTTGATTGTGCTTCTTACTGTTTTTATGGGGTTGGCGAGACATTTGCCGGATGCCCCATTTGGAAAAACAAAGCGAAAGATAAATCAGCGGGAAAGTAGATTTGCAAATTCATTGTTTTATTCAGCAAAAAGTTTCGAATTCTTTTAAAAGAAAGAAAAAAAAAGAGAGACTCTGCTCTTGGCTTGACAGGTAAGATTTGTCAATCGTAAGAGGACTCCAGAGACAGGCAGTAGTCTGTTTGAATGCCAACTGAAGTGTCATGGCTGTTTTCTGTCTTTATCTGATCTTTGGTGAGTCACTGGGTCTGAATTCAAAAACCTCCTGAAGGGGAGACCACGAACTGCGACTTTAAAGGTTACCGTATCTGGGAGATGACTCAGGCATATGGATCAGTAGAGCAGCAATAGTCTTTTACTCTGTTTTATTAAATATGATTTAACTGAATATATATAATTGTGTAAAAATTATTATTAAGGCACAATTATAGATATTTTTTTCAGATCAGGGGAATGCTGTTGGACTTGAAGGGATATTCCGGCGTAAAATTAAGTTAGTCAAAAACACCGTAACACCGAGTTAGACACCCTCTTGAGAGATGAATGTTGCCGACCACTTGCTTCTCTAGTCGTCTAACTCAGTGTTATGGTGTGTTTGACCCTAACTTAATTTTACGCCGAAATATCCCTTTAACTCTGAGGCTCACAGAATGGTCAGTACATTCAGTCCCACTTCTCTTCTGCAGGCTCAAAAAATGCCAAAATGCTGTGAACATTCACGGTGCCCAAAGCATTTTAACCGAATACTTTCCCTCTTGTTAAAGTGTAACTTTGCTTTTTATGCCAATAGAAAACTCTGTAAACTACTAAACGTCACAGTCATGTAAGCTTGCTGACAGTGTAATCTCACAGTTACAAGCTGAGCTGTAGACTCTAATAGACTTTCCCAGTGCCCACACTTTGAATACTGAGCACTTCAGCATCAGTAAATACTACTTACTGTTGTATAATGGTATCAGTTTCAGTTATCTGTGAACAGGCATCAGTGGAGAATGAAACAATGACCAAATATGAGGACTCAGACTGTATGGTTACACAGACCAAAGACTGTAGTTATACACAGTCTACTGGTGTTGTTAAAAAAAAACAGTGAACAAATACATGGGCAGTTTTCAGCATGTGTGTGTGTCTGCAGCAGGGAGTGCGCACTCCCCCTTTATTTCATCCGCATACATGAAAAGCCAAGGCTGGGAGAGCAGCATCAAAGACCCCAGGTGACACGACACAACAAAGCAGGCCACGGTGACACTGCATATGACACTGATCGAATCGGACAGTCTAAATAAGGAGCTGGGGTAGCGGCTGCTGATGACGCTGTAAAAAGAAAGACTTACTGAAGCAATTTAAACAGATTGAAATCCATTTTGACATTTGCCAATTGGATGTGTAGAAGGTGATTGGCTGAGCTGTCAGCTGATGTGGACTGTTGTTAAAGTCAGATGGTATTCTTTGGTGCTTGAGCTTGACTTTTGTGGCCCGGCTGAACAAACACTATGCTCTACCTTAAAGGATCTTTGTACTATCTCCACTTGCTTTCGCCTCCCTGTTGTAAAAAAGACATCATGTATCATTCTTATCAATAGACAGTAGATATAAGTCAGATATGTAAAAAAGTCTAACATGTAACTAGCTGAATGCAAATAACATGCAAAGCACAACTCCAGCCTGAACAACCGTGACCTGACATGAACTTTGGGAGAGTAGTGGAGGCTTCAGTAAAAGAAGGTATCGTATCTTGAATTCATTTGGAACCAATAAGGGAACCCACATTGTCAATTAAAGCATCACATAAATAAGCGTAGTTTTCGTGGAGATAAAGGGTATGAGCCTCCAGACTCTGAGAACACTGGCCAGTTCTGCAGGTGAGTCTCTGTGGTGTTAAAAGATGTGAGTCTTCCTACTGGGTCACAAATGAGCAAGCGTCACGCTGACATGATGAATGGGTTCCTCTTGAGCTCAACAGTAAGACAGAGACAAAAGATACAAATCAGTAAGAGGAGTAATTGTTACGGGGCTTTGTGATTTCCTCTCTGACAGTGACTGAGAAAAGAGCTGGTGTATTTGGAGAGATGCACTCCAATTCAATGGTGGTCATATGCCTTTAATATAAAAAAAAACCTGGTAAATTATTTCTAGTTTTTCAACACACAGTCATCTTAACAGATGAATATCTGTGGCTGCTACTTAACTTTTTCCTGCTTGACTTTCTGTTTGTCTCCCTTTCATTCCCCCCCTCTCTAAGCGTCCTTTGCCTGCAGTTGTCCCCCTATCTGTCCTCAGCCTGGTCCTGTTTTGCATATTAAAAACCAATGTTAAAAGCATTAGCCCTAGGGGAGATGACGTTGTGCCAAGGTCTGTGGAAGCCCATCACAGTCTGTGACTTTGTAATCCGTGCTGACAGGAAGTCTTGACTCCACTAAGTTATGTCAAACACACATTGTATGTCATTTCCCTGGCAAATTAAGTGCTCACCACCCAGGCTTTGGTGCCATTTCTTATTGAAGCATGGCAGGCTAATCATTAACATTTTGCCGTTTTGGGGCTGACAGCATTTGTTATGCATCATGTGCTTCAGTAAATACAATACAAATAAAGTCACTGATAGCGCGCTACATCATTTTGTCTTCAAAATAACAGCAACAGCGAATAATGAAAACCTATTTTACTCCGGTGACTGACAGGAATGAACATTTTTAAAGCTGAACAGTAAAAAACTCTCACTATTGTTGAAGATGCACCTGGTAATTAAGAACCAGACAGAGCAGGAGCAGCACAAACAGAATAGATAACTCTCTGTTATGGTGATGCCGCCTGTTTGGCCATAGCCACCGTAATTAATGTTTGTATTATACCAGTCACTTCCACTGGGCCGTAACTGACACCAGCCCTCTTTAAAATACTGATTGCAACAGAGACAAAAGCTCATGTTTCCATGGAGACAGGCAAGGTTTAGGATTGGAAGTGTCGTCCGCGAAGACCCGTACAGGTGGCTAATGATGATAACAACTAATATAATCACATTCAATTACCATCAAGCATTTCCTCGACAGTGAAGCCCTCATGATTTCCTCCACAGTCATCATTCAGCTTAATGTACTGTAAGTGTTTAAGGCGAACACAAATTGGTAGCTTTGGCACTTTATGATGTGTCGGAAGCTGACAGACGGAGTGTAGGTAAGCTTAATAGGCTGTACATTGAGCTTTTACTCTGACCAAAGAGATTTTTTAATTCATTTAAATGAAAAAAGACATTAAATACGGGGTATTTAACTGTGTTGTATGAAGAGCGGATAATTACTGTCATATCATTTACAAGAAGTGTCAAGATCATCGCCCATTTCAGATGTAAGGACAAAAAATGGACTCACAGTAATTGACTTTTAAAGCTCAAACAGATGCCTCTCTATGAAAGACAGACATAAACAAGACCACCAGCAACAAGACTAACAGTTTCTCTATTGAAAGTTTTAATGCTGTAACCGCTGGGAGATGTCTCTGGGAGATGTCACGCTATCAGAACAGAACCCTAAAACATTTTGTTTTCCTTTTACCTTTCCCACAGCAAAGATTTACAACCAGTGATAAAACTTGATTTTAAAATAAAGCAGAAAGTCAGAAACTGTGTAGAAGCAGCTGTACAAGTGTACAGCAAAAAATCAGCAAAGAGGGTGTGCCGAATTCAACACAAAGAAAGTTCCTCTCGTTAACAATTCTCTCAGAATTTCTAAATAAACTTAATACTTGGTTGCCTTTGGATTTAGATGTGTATAAGGAATGCCCCGAAGCTCCTTATCACCAAGTCAGAAATTTAGATTCCAACAAAGCAGCTCGCCTAAAGGTGAGAGGAAACTCCGCATATTGAGCAAAATTTATTGAACATGGCCAAACACAGTCTGCATGTAAACAATGTCAAACTGGTTTGCTGTGTGTGGCTAAGGTTAGAGCCTTTGGTTCCCCCTACAGGTCAGATTTTTCATGCCTGTGATATTTAGTTCCTACATAGCACAAATTAATGGATCATTCTTAACTATTTAAGATATTTGAGTGATACGGTTTTATATATGGGTTAAACTCCGAGCTCTGTTTCTGTCGTACACTAAAACATTGAACTCTTTGACCTTTATTCAATCAATACTTTGTACGAAACGAACATGATAAATCTCATTTCAGCCGGAAAAATCATTTTTATGCTTTAAAACATCAATAGCACTAAAACATCCTTTGTGTTTGGCATCCAGGCTCCAACCTCTCTCACTCTTCGCAGTTTTACTTTAACACGCCAAAATCGAGGAGTGATGAGGTAATATTACAACAAACACAGCCTTCAGGTGGATGCTGGAGTAGTAGGCTGAAAATGTGAAGCACAGCACTTAAGTGTGGCAGCAGAGGTGATGGCAAGCAGAGGCAAGGGAGTGGAAAATCTTGCAGCTTAAACAGAGCGCTCAGTTTGGAGTGTGTTTGTCAGGTGATTGTGAGAACGATGCATGTCAAGTGTGAAATCAGTGCAGCTCGAGTTGACTGCCTGAACTAGCTCAAAGGATTCGCTCCATTCTCCACCTTTCATGTCCCAGACAAAAAAAGATATAAAAAGAAAAGATACAAAGCCAGACGAGGAAAGACAAAACAGAGCCGAATGAAACAACACCAACTGATGAGAGACATGTAAACAATGAGATACCATCGGAGTCCCAAAATAAAGACAGTAAGTCTCATGACCAAAACGGATAAAAGAAAGTGCTTTTATGTTTCTAACCGTACCAAAAGAGCAGTGTCATCTCACTTTTCATTTGATTCAGTATCTCTTGAGTGCAGTAAACCCTTCAATTCAATGCCTTCAATTAAGAGATTTGATAAATTTCCCCAGGAATAACAGACCAATCTTTTTACTCGACTTTTATATGAAAGTCGTGCCCCTCTTCTTTTTAACTCTGCATGAATTAGTGATACCGATTCTGAATCATGTATTTCTCTCCTATTTGTTATCTGTAAGAGAGATCTACTCGTGCGCCTTAAGTTTGTTTTATTTATTAGTTTTCTAAGTATACCAGAAGGGTAGAAGAGCTCAAAATCCCAAGTGTTCGTAGTGCACTGACAGTTTGTTTGACAAGCTTCCCTGTTCTAGGCAACTATTGATGTAATGTAGGCCATTTTATTCAACCGGAGCTGTTCAGAGGATTCGAGAAATGCCCTGGATTTGACATTTTCACAACACAAATTGGATAGATTCCCAATTATTTTATTTGACCTGCTGTTAGGTAAGGCAAATTCACTATTCTGACAGATTTCTCTGAGAAGACTTGAGGTTTGAAGTGAGGCTTAAATGCCATCCTTTAAAGTCTGAATGACAGAAACCAACAATGTGGTGCGTTGAGGCTCTTACTGAACTGCTCCGCCAGTCGTTCTCTTCTTGCTGCAGCCTTTACTGAGATATACCTCTGAATAACAATGAATAGAAATGTTTACCCACTGTGGCTCCAGAGTTTCTTCCTACAGTTTTTGATGATTCCTGACTCCTTATGATATGACACTTAAGACTTTTGCAGTAAATTTGAATGTGTACGCAAACACCCCTTACTCATCTGTTTGCATGTCCCTATAATCAAATATAAACAGCGCTGGGAAATGAGAGGCACAGGTGTCTGTTTACATTTCATTTCATGCCATGTTTTATCCTGTTATAATCCCTTTTAGCTTCTGCTAGCACCTTATCAACACTCTGTCACCTTGTACTCTACCTTACAGGCTGATTTATTAAATCCTGACGGGAAAACAGATCATCAAAGACTCTCAGTAAATACTGTTTTATTTTTCATACTAATAAGGGAGTCAACAGATGGGGTATAAATGTTGAAGTTCTTGTTGGAATTAACCGGATGTAAACTTTTTGACGGAGAAGGAAGAAGACAAATTTCTTGAGGAGACCAAATGAATAAATGTCTCTGTCTGAAATTCTGACAGCAGTTGCGCTTTAAAAAAACTCATCCTCTCCTTTTGCTATCGACTTAGGTCTTCAGAGAGAAGCCCCCCTCACGCTCCATGCTCACTGACCAATGAGGCGTCATAAAGAGAGATGGGCTCCTCTCTCATTTTGAGCAGGGCTCAGATTTGTAATCAACCAGGGCACCTGAGTGTGACTCGATGTCAGAGGTGTGAAAGGACAAGATATGTAAAGCAAATTAGAAACTGGTATTGCTCTCGCTCCTACTGCTGCTTCTTCTGTGTCTAGTTATCAGTGCTACAACTACCCCAGCCACTGCCGTAATGAACTATCCGCTGATCTTTGTAATTGTTATTATTATATATTCGCATATTAATGAGATGATATGAAGACAGGGGATGCACTGGGTAACAGAAACGTGACTGCACAAATCCACGGCACTGCTTTGTTGCCTGGCAACTTAACTAATGCAGCTCAGCAAAGTAAAATGTTGAGGCTCACAGATTTTGGTTTGATTGCCCCCAGAGAGTACAGCATGTAGCTTGCACTCAATACAACAACTGCTGCCCATTGTATCCTGTCTGCACTGTGCGGCAGCCAATTGTAGTTTATAATGAACCTTAACCTACTGCAGAGGCTCAGACTCACCTCATCTGCTGAGCAGGCCGCCCAGGGAACTCATTTTCAACTACTTTGGACTAAAATCGAACATAAGATCGACTCTGAGTGTATGAGCGAGTGTGTGTATTCTTGCTTATGTAACCTGGCACGCAATACCTTCATTTCCCTGAGATTGAGTCACATATAGTTACCCCTCAAGGCTATCGGCTCTCATGATAACTCTAATGAGGCTCTCAGCGGAGGTTTATTAAGGTGTCATCAGGGGGAAAAGGTGAGGGGTCCGTAATTGGACTGACATTTAAACACTCGCCAAGAGCGAACACACACATCAGAAGAAACTGTTAGGTTCAGGTAGCTGTTGAGGTCAACCCCCTTTAATGATATAGAAGCAAGTGCAGAGACTGACAAGTTGCACGTTATTAAGTGAAGTACACGTGTAAGGACAGTTTTCTCTGCTGCTGCCACCTGCGATTACCTAACCCTAACCTACTCATTTATGGATTTACACACAGCTTTGGAATTTCACATCTTCTCATAGTAATACCCAGAATAAAGATCCCACCAGAATTAAATCTGTTTTGGAGATCATACAGGTGGAAAAAGGTCTGAACTGTCTTCCTGCAAGACGATTTCAGTTTAGCAGAGTCTGTAACAAGCAGCTTCTATGCAGATGTGTCGCTCTCTCTGGTACCACCCAATTTTTGCCCAGTTAAATTCTGCAGTCCACAGTAACCAGGGGCCAAATTTTCAATCCCATCAGTCGCTGTCATGACGGTGCAGGCTTTGGCGAGATTATGGCATTATCCTCTTGGTAAAACAGCTCTCTCTTTATTTCATACTGGTGTATTGGTCAGACTAGTATAAAGGATGTGACCTACATTGGAACAAAATAAAAGGTATTAAAAGTGAGACATCTACTCACTGAGTAGATGACCCTCATCATTCTTATCATTCATACCCTGAATGTGCATGTGTTTATGTTATAGCCACTTAAATGAAATCATTAGTGATGCATTAGACTGGAAAAAGACATTATTGTAGAAGTGTCTGCAGAGACATATTTGACTTTATAGGGTCTTTAAAGAGGATTTCAAATGAAAACCTGTGGTTATAGCTTTAATAAAGAGAAATCCTCCTTATATCCTGCAGTGTAGATCAGTGCTCTGCTAGAAATGGATATTTTCATGGGTGAACAGCAGTGAAATGGAGTAAACATGCTGGATTTGCTAACAAACAACAGCCTAACGATCTCAGATACTTCTATCAATAAGAGTACGTATAACTCTGGCTAATGTGCTATTTATGTGCAAATAATGTGTATGCGTGTGTTGCAGCCTAATCATCTCACCTGCCCAGAGAAGTGAATCTCCAGCCTTGAACACTGCATGAAAATACTCTTTCTCTGCCAATTGTCTTTTTCCATTTGCCCCCTTTGTATCTACTTAGTTCCCTTTGTCACTTTCCATTTTTTCATCCCCCCCTCTCTCACACACACACTCACGAACACGCACGCAGGTACAAGTTATCAATTTAAGATGCTCCAACACACGACCAGAGAAATACTATCAGTCCTCCTCACATTTATCGACGTTGACTGACCCCCGGTCTGTCCCTTTTCTTTCTATCTTTAGCCATCACTTCTTCTCCTCCTCTTCTGTCTCATTCCTCTGCGTTGATCTTTACACATCACACCTCATTCTCATTCACTTTCTCTTTTTATTCTCTGCCCTTTTACTTCCTTTTCAACCACTTTCAGCGCCTTTTTTCTTTTCGTTCATAGGTGTCAGATGGCTTTTGTTTTTTACCCCTCTGAAACCGAGAGTAAGAATTGATCCCTATTTTCACTCCACCGAGGCTGATGAATACACCTCAGAGAAAGAATTAATGAGTAATTTGTGAATGATCTCTGAGCCTTTACCCCTTTTGTGGCTAACCTTGCCTTTCAGAGTTCATCATCTGGAAAGACGATAAAAACGGTGTGTGAAAGTGTGTGAGTCTGTGTGTTTGCGACATGAAAGAAAAAGAAGAGCACGGAGAGGTAGACAGACAGACGGAAAGCGCTCACAGGCACCGTATGAGCTGAATATTATGGTAATGTCGGGAAATCTATTCTTTTCTTCAACTTAGGAGGGTATACACAGCATGTAGTTCCTGTGTTGCTGCGAGTGTGTGCGTCTGTGTTGGGAGTTGGTGGTCACAGACTTGGAGTAATGCTGAGAGTCTGCTCTGACTGGATAAGCTCCGTGTTTGCAGAGGTTCCAACTTGAGGATACAAGATAGGGCATGAGTAATCTGCTCTGCCACAGTGACAGACAAATCCCCCTTCACCCCTAGACGAGCATGTGCACAACATACACAAAGACTGAATGTACTGTATGTACGAGTGAAAATAGTGGCAGACGTATGACAAAGCTGCTGCAGGCACTTTTGCTCTAAATAACGTCATTACCTCAGGTCACCATAACAATTTCTCTGTGCTCTTCACTTCATTGTGCACACCGAAGGGAACCGAAGTACAAAGACCTTGAGGGTCAAGTTTCTTTAATCTTTGTTGCAGGAATCAAGGTTTTAAGTTAAGGGTTTCCTTTAAAAATTTCTCTTCTCTCTCTCTGCAGACTTTTTATTGAGTCTCTTGAGTTTAAATTCATCTCTTTGATCTTCTTTTTGAACTTTGATTGCCTCTGCAAAATACTCAGGCCCCCAGCAGGGAATCGTTTTTTTAGTGGCAACAAGTACAAATCACTGTCGCACGATGACTTTGCTTGTGGAGTTTGCGCGTGTCAAGTGTTGATGGACGCCTGTGCGGATACAAGTGGCATGTCGCTGCTGCATATTGATGAACTCAATTTTTCGGACATATGGAATTTAAATCTTGATGACAGTTATTTTATAAAAGTTGCATAAGCTGAAGAGGTTGAACTGCACTGCAAATTTACAACTACAAGATGTGAGGTTTGACAATATTGAAATGAAAATAATAATAAAAAAAACAGTGTACGAGGCTTTTAAGCATTTGCACGACAGCTCCCCCCAAGTGATGCCAAAACATTTGCAGCCCCACTGACTGACTGCAGTATCACGCCACATCTTCCATATTTATAGATGTAACAGAGTCAGGCTTTAAAATTTAAAACAGCACCAAACATCCTTTCAGTCACAGCGGTTAGTGCTGACTCTTGTTCGAGTGTCTGTTTTCCAAGAAAGCAAGTTTCAATTTGATGCTGGTGAAGAAGAGAGGTTGTAAGAGAAAACATAAACACAGACACAAGCTATTGAACTTTCAGTCATCATGAATGTCTCCTTGAAGCTCGTATAAGAATCTATTATGGTGTTGTTTGAGTGGGTCTGAAGGATTGTTCCATTACTAAGCTAAACATACATTTCTGCATATGACTTGGTTTTATAGTATGTTATATCACTACATGTCAGTACCTGCTGGTATTGAGGCTTAATTTTATTTTATTTTTGTAGTGAAAGAAGATGACGTCTTAGAGCATTAAAGGTGTGGTAGGCATGAATCCGTTAAAAAAAAACATGTTTTTTGTGGTGTTTATACAAAAAAGCTTTTAATGTCAGTCAATAGCTATTAGTCACTGATGACATTTGGTAATATAACAATATCGCTGTGTTACAATATCGGACAGTAGAAACCAACCAGAAAGTACAGAAAATTGTCTGACTCCTCCTTTAGCCACGACTGCCGACACAAGCAAGAAAACGAACTAAATACAGGAGACTCTGGCGGAACAATGGGCGCTTAAAAGTAGGTAGACCACCCGGACAGGAGCTAAAAACAGCCGGGTCAACAATGATTGGGATCTTCCAGACCCTGCAACGTTTCTGCTTGACACGTAAACCGCTTTAACAAAGTAAGCCAAGTGTCTGTAACAGAAGTGTTTCTTGTCAAACGGGACCTGCTGCGTGTTGTAGCGCCACTAAACTGTTAACCTCGGGTCCTGGACTATGTCACTTTATCCTAGTTTTAGAAGTCCTGCAAACATTGTGTTTGCTGGTAGTCTGTTGGCATCTACAGTAGCACCGATGCTTTTTACTTTCATGTTGACTGGGCCCCATTTGTAATTATCTGAAGCATTTATCTGCATTATATCTGAATTAAATTAAAACGATACAAGCGAGCAAAGCAGAGACAGAGGGGAGAGGAGGAGCTGAGGGGAAAACTGGTTGGGGGGGAGGGGGGGGTTTACATTCAGGATTTCTCCCAAATACTTTAACTATGTTGTTTTTTAACTGAAATAACTAAAGGGATTCCTTCAGCTCCTCTCAATCACCATCAGAAGGTCAAAAAAGATTTTTTAATATTTCATAGTAATGTACAGATTCTCACAAAAATCACAACAGCCTTTTACGCCTATAAGCACGTATAACGCTATATTCAACTTACCAAACCCCCAGAACTGTCCCAATAGAAAAATTTTTACTTACCTGAAGAGAATTTAAACTTTCCCGTAATCAAGATGTTTTTTCTTCACCTTCTTCTTATCGTCACTGGAATGACAGGATGCCATTAACCTCAGACCCTGAGAGCAACAATATGGATCACGGTCAAAATAGTGCAGATTTGGTCTCACAGAAATACCTTAAAGGACCAGGATCCTCGACACTGCATTGGGATTTCATGCCTGCTAGAAACCTGAAGTGCCAATCAGTCGGAGAAAGTCAGACGATATAAACATGAACAGGTCAGAGTGGATTGATTAACAATCTTCTGTCTGTGGAAGTACTTTTTGTGACTAGACTGAATGAAGTTGTGACTGTTTTACAGAGTTGATGTCTTCTGCTACCACGTCCACTCTGCATAGGCATTGATTCCCTTGTGCCAGGATGTAATTTGGGCAATTAAGTGCAACTAAAATCTCTGTGTGAAGAGGAGTTTTAGAGGAGATTTTCGACATCGTGCTCGATCAATGTCGGCATGCGTCGCGTCCAAGTGCAACCTCATCTTGTGAATAATTGTGCGTGCAGTTCAGTGTATGTAAACACTCCGAGTCTAAATTACCCTTAAATACCTTTTCTTGTCTGTGGGGAACAGCAGGTCACTGAAATGAAAGCAGACTACAGTATTGACAGAGGGCTATTGTTGGAGTGCTTTAGATGCCACATTAATCTGGATTCTCCTTTTGAAGCTGCCTAATTAAGTCCCCTCTGCATAAAAGATACACTGCAGTATGTGCACATGGCATGGATGCTAACTGCTAATTACAATTTGTTGTGATTTGGTCTGAATACAAAATGATCATTTTCTCTGCCCCTTGCAAAGGCTATCAATCAGCTTGTCAACACAGGGGACATAATCACTATTTGATTACAAGGACGGGATAAAACCAGGCTGATTATAAAGTTTTAATGAAAGCAGGGATAGGAGAGTTGTCCCAAACGGCGGGAATTTTACTGTTGTGTCTCACCTTACATGTCCTTTTAGTTTGGTGATTGAAAGTATCCTTAGTAAGAGGCTGAACGGCTCTAAAAGTAGCCCCAATGGTAAAAGAAATTACCCTTGCTGAATCCCTGTTTTCAAGGAAAAATGATGCAAAATGAATGAAACCAGCTGTGCTCTACATCCCGTTGAGAACACGCAGTTCAGAGTCTTTATGTCTCTAAAACCACTTGAACAAAACGGCGGTGTGCTTTTATACTGCGCTGATGGCAGTGTAAAGTACTCTCATTGCATATCATGATTCCCAGAACAGCTCACCTATAGGATCATATGTTCTTCCTTTTCCCTTTCCCAAGCTTCCCTGGTGTCTCTCTGAACTCTTCCTTTTTAGATCCCTTACTTTATTTCACTCATCTCCTCTTGTCTTTCCCCTTTGTGGCTTCTGTAATAAAAATGGCAAACATTTAAGAAGACACTTTGACGTCAGCCCGTTTACTTTCAGATCCAATCCACAGAGCTGTGCATGCAAAGCTGTCTGCACCTGTCAATTTCAAAAGGAATCGTGGCACCAGTACTTTTCTGGCAAGTCAGATAAAGAAGGAAAGTGAAATGAGTGCACTTCAGCCATAAAAGCTTAAAGACTGCCACAACAGTCAGTCAGAAGATGTTAAGCTCAACTTCATTTTTGAAACTACTCCATTTACTTTTTATGCAGTTAGAGTTGAAGAGAAAAAATAACTGACATGACCGTAACGAAGATCTATGTGACTCACAGGAGGCTCGTCTGTATCAGACCTGATCGCTCCCTCTCCCTCTCATAATTCAGTGACAGCTGCATTTTGGCATTAGTGGATTTCAGCTGGAAAGTTCAGAAATGGCTATCTCCCTCTGGCACCTTCAATCTCCAAGACACCTAAAGCTGCAGAAAGCTACCTGACTGCATCACAGGTTTGTTGACAGAAAGTGGATATCAGTCAAAAACATATTTGTTAGAATGATTCACACTGCGGACCGTGGACAGCGGACTTAGGGTTTAAATCCATCTGCCTTTTTGTTCACTGGGTGCTGCTATCCACTAACCCCAATGACTTAATCCTGTGGCTTTAAAGAGCCAGTTGTAAATTTAGGAAGGAGAGTACGGCAAGCAGTAGTACAATGATGAAGCAGTAATGTTGATGGGTTGTCAATGTTGTGAATGTACTCTTTGTTTCAGGGCTAAGAAGTCATTTATCAAATCAGGAGGTTTTTCCCTTTGAATGGTTCGCAGAGTTTAGTTTTTCCTCTTTTGTGGACGCTCAAACTTATTGTCTGATTTTTTTTTTCTTTTAAGAAAAAGCCATCATAAATACTAATTACCGAGCTCCCCTATTAATCACCAAGCTGTGTTAAATACCTGACTGTGATTTGTCAAAGCTCCATGACAACAGTTATTAATTATGAAAAGCAAAGGCAAAACTAGCGGCAGTCTGATCATACATATATCAATCAGCGGAAAGAAGTTATGGCACATCTGGTGAACTATTTATGGTTTCACCTCCTTCTGTTGACAGTCTGTTAGGAACTCAAATTTCCAAAAGCTTGATTGACAAGTGGAGAATATTCTTGATATTACTTTGGGCCTAAGTCTGACCAGTCAGAGAGAAGACAAGAAGAAGGATAACTGTGCTGAAATTAAGAAGTGATGTTACAATACTCAAGGAGCTTAGTTAGAGAGACATCAATCAAATTGAAGAAAACAGACATTAAGCAACTACAAGCTGCCTCGCAGAATAGGCTTTGGCAGGGCAGTTGAGAACGGCGACAGAAAAACTGCTGGATGACTGTGGCTTAAGACAGTTGAGTTAACTTTGATATCTAAAAATTAAACTGGATGATTTTGCACCTATTATCGGAGCTTGGATCAAGAATATGGCACAATGTATGTCAATGGAAAAAATTACATATACCCTGAAAAACAAATTGGCACTTTATGAGGAAATCTGGAAACCATTTGATAGCTGTATCGAGAATGGGGATATTGAAGGGCTATTGGGGGGGGGGACAAATGGTAAAAAAATGACTTTTGTAATATACAATTACATTACAAAACTGTCTGCATATTGTGATATGAAAGTCAATAAAGATATTATGAGGAAAAAAACAGGATCATATTAAGATGAAGGTTGCACCAGGATGACATTAGTTTTTATGTGACTCTGACCCAAGAGCTGGCTGATGGTAACACTGTTGCCACAAAAGCGCTACCAACAAATAAAACTACAGGACGACTTTTTTATCTAACATTATCTAAAATGTAATTTTGTTTCATATCCAGATAATAAGCTGAATAATGGATACTTAGACGATGGTTAAGTATATCTCTTGACCTCCAGTTTTTCTCCTTTTTGCCTCCAGTTATTACTATGACGTTATTGTGACGTTAACCCGACAAGGGTCTATAAGCATCAGGGTCTTGATGATCCCTGTCTTGGTTCCATTTCACATAAATATCAGTGAACTGTACAATGCTTAGCTCTGTTAAATCAACCGCTCAGTCCTGCATTGACGTTTAGATTTGGCTGCTATATAAATGCTCTTACGCTGGTTTTACATTCCCCACATGTCAAGCTACAATTTGCTGAATTTAGTCTTGTAATGGTGTGATTAGAGTAGGTGGGGAGCAGCTGCCTGTGGCATATAGTACAGGTTGTAAGTGGGATCAGTTGTAGCTTTTAGCTGTCACAGCTCAGTGTGTAGTCTATTCAAAATACCAAATGCCAACATGCTAGCGTTGAAGGTGCCGAAAATAACCACCGACTGTCTGACGATATCCTAACATTTCCATTCTACCAGAAAAAGACGACTCATCTTTCAATCAGACTCCATTGTGGGCTCTTCTCTCCATGCTCATGATCCTGCTGCCTGTGTTCTTTCAGGCTTCATTTGTACAAACAAGGGTTTTCTGAAACAACAATACTCAGCATTTGTCATTTCCTGTGCCGGGATGCTTTGAACGTAATACAAGCCTCATTTCCATTCCGAGCCTTCCTGCCTGATTAATAACACAAAAGTGCTTTTACTCCCTTTCTCTCAGCCTTTGTGGTAGCTTTCACGGTTGGCTTCAGCCCACATCCATATTTTCTTAAACTGAAGCGTTTATTTGTTCGTATATGGAGCGATAAATAATGTTTGACTTGTGCAGCTGCTGAACATTCTCGTCCTTTCTGTGGAGCATAGTCACTGTGCTGTGATCGGGGGGGTGGGACACATTTTAAACACTCTTGATTAATTTAATGAAATACTGAAACTCGAAGCCAAACATTTAGATTTTGTGATTTTGCTGGATGTGGAGAAGAGTTCTGCACTCACCTTCAAGATCTTGTCACTCCTTTTCTGAAGTTTGCCCTCTGTCCTATTTCATATTTCATTTCTCAAACTGCAAAGCAAAAAAAAACCCAAAACATTTTTCCTGCTGAAAGTGTTTTGTGAGAGGTCTTATTGTATTCTTTCAAAAAGAGGCTGAAGAAATAAATAACAGCTCAGAGCTGATGTTTTATCAAGGACTGTCATTCCAGGCCTATCTCAGTCAAATTTTGAATCGAAAAAACTTACAAAATCATTCAAACCTATATCTTTTTCTCGTAAAGAGATAAAGAAAAGATGGTGATTTCTCAACGCAGGAATTTTCTGAAACCGTTTCAATCCCTGCTGAATAGATCTCATGCTTGGTCTAGTTTCTCTCATGACTTTTTTCTCTGCACTACCATTCAAACTGTCAGACATGACTTGACTCACCCTTTCACAGTCGACCACCACTGACCTGTGGTCAGAGCTGTCAAATTAAACTTTGTTCCAAAAAGCTTCTGTGGTAATGAAGCCATTTTCTAGCTAGTGGAAGTAGAATTTAACAATGATCTGCTTGATCTTGCATTAGTGTTTCTGTACTGCTTTAATGGACAGGGCTACGTTGTGTAATCTGACCCTTGAATAGCGGCGGAAGAGTGAGGCCCATATGGAAACGATGGTTGTTGCATGTTATTCTTTAGGGCTTTAAACTCCCCCACATCCTGTTTCATGATGCTCGTGTAGTGCTGCTTGAGAAACATCAAAACTATCAATGGAAGAAGGGAGGGAAGGGTTGAAACAGAATCCCCAGTCTAACCCCTGAGTCTTTATTTAGAAGCAGGAATCGTTTTGTGTAAAAGACCACATGGAGGTTAATAAATGTCCTGCTTTTCCAACGCTGCAAGCGGAAGCGCCAGTTAGTAGATTAATCAGAGAACTGCCTTTGTCTTTAATCATTTTAATTGTAGCTGTGGTGGGTTTGTCTAAAAGACAAATATCTCTCTTGAAAATAATACTGATGTAAACTATTTAGGCCATCCCTGTTAAGGGGGTTATCCATATGGCTTTATCTGTGTAGTCTTACATCTTTAGATCCAGATTATGTCAACCCAAATAACAGCAGGTCTTTGATTTGGATCATAGTCAGAATCATATCTGATCTTGAGCCAGAGGGAAGTCTGCCATGAGGTCTGTCCTGCTGCCCCATTAAGTTGAACGCACGACTATGTGCATTCTAATGATCAGCCATTAAAACAGCTACACCGCCTCTGGAGAATCAGACATGCTGTGCTACATCGGCAGTAAAAAAAAAGCCCAATGAACATTATACATGTGGCATCTTTCTAATTTCTTATTTCTCCCTATTTTTTTTAATTTGCATCCAGACAAGACAGCATTCAGCTGCTGTTAAATGGCTCAGTGTGATGTAGTCTGATATCAGATCAACTGCCCAGCGAGAGGGAACAGACTGAGCATGTTTCTGTTTGTTCTTATTTGAATAAGATTTCAATGGCACTTGCATATGACGGATGAATTTCAAATAAGTCATTTATAGGAAAAACACACACAGATAATAGGCTGGACCATGTGTTGGTGTGTAGATTTATTAGAATTTCTGGTAAACAGTGTTGTTGTGGAATTACTACAGAAAACGAGAACAGTTATCTTGTGATAACGACTTAAGATCTCTTTATCTTGATATATGGAAAATCGTTTCTTATGATAACGAATTAATAAATAATGTGTTTGCCATTGTTTCTGTTGTTGTCCGATTCACGCATGGGGTGAAATGTTCCCACGTTGAAAGTGTAGTGTGCAAAGTGGAGCGTGCCGTTAGCGTTTTCATTGAAAACTCTGGCTTGCTGTTCACAATGGTAGCTGCAGCATTTCAGAAATATAAAAAAAGCCATCGCTGTAATCACACAAAAAAATGTTTGTTTTGTCGAGATTATGAAAAAATCACTATCACGAGAAAACAAACTTTGTTATATCGAGATAATGAGTTAATAAGTCATTATCACGAGATTACAGTACATAACAAAAGAAAAATCCACGGCCGTTCTCATCTTCCATAAATTTCATCCCATGATTGGTTAGTTTCAAAACAAGCCCTCTGCTATAACTGTTCATCTTTGTCCCAAATTGATCACATAACCCTTCACAGAGGACTGTCAGCTTGGTCCAAAGTCACGCTCAGAATTCTTGCCACCTGATGTGTGACTGTCTTTCAACCATTAAATGAACTCATACTCAGGACACTGCAGCTATTAAACAGCCGACTGTCCTGTCTCAAACTTAATGAAGTTCTGTGTTATGTGTCCTTCGGAATATGGCAGCAATTATCTGTATTGCCACGGACATTTACTGCATATATAGCAGTGAAGAGACTCTTTCTTTGTGCTGCATTGAGTTGAGTCCTCCTGACATGTGCTTACCTGTATTAAAATGTTGTTTATTGCATCTATTCCATGCAGATGTCAAAGACATTACATTTTTGGGGGGTTTATTCTATTATTGTGAACAGGATATTTTTTGAACAACAGTAGAATGTAACTTCAAATTTGGCACAAAGGTCTACCAGAGCTCAAAGTTCCAATTTGGTCCAATATCAAGGCCACTGTGGGCTCATTCATCCCGTCCTTGTGAAAACCTTATCTCAGCAATGGCTGGAGGGACTTTTATTATATCAGGTCTTTTTTTTTTATTAGCCGTCTAGGAGAATGGTGCAATCCCCGATTGATTAGTTGACAATTTTGTTCTAGCCTCTGTGTACCTGTTCATTTTGCCGTCAGGAGAAGGGTCTACTGACAATCACATTCTCTGCAGAAACAGAGAAACAAAGATAAACTGGGGTTATGGTCCCTCCTGCAAATGCCAATTCCCTCCCCAGCCTATAGGGTCCTCATTCCAGTCCAGTTCACCTGCATTTGTAAAGCACATATAGAAGAATTGTGCCATTTTGTGCTCTAAGGTTTATGCTACCTGAAACCTTTATTCCTCAACAAAGACACAGGTTCATTGCCAGAAAGGTGTCAGTCCCAGTTTTCACCCTCATTGTTGCTCAAACTTTGTTCTTTTAGTGTCCAAACTTTGTTTAGCTGCGTTCCCCTTCGTTTCAGTCGTAGATTTTTCATTTCTGTCAATTTTCCCGAATACTGCTTTTGGGACAGTGTTTAAGGGCATTGAGAGCAACAAAAGAAAAACACAGAGTGAAATTCCTTGAGGGTTTACACACGCTTGGCTTGTAAAGCTGATTTTTTTCCCCTGATGGATCAAAGCCTCCACACAGAAGTAATAAGATTCAGTGAGGCTCAACTGGTAGTAAAAATCAAAATGAACTCTTTCGACTACACCTGACTGCATGAGAGTGTTCAGTCCTCCAAATTTTTTAACTGGAAAAAAGGCAGCTGTTAGAAAATCAGCACCAATTTCCATCCAACCTTTTCAATATCAATATTCTATTTGTAAATGGCATCAGGAGTTTTAAAAGATCATGTCAACACCCCTCGCTGTGCACTGATTGGTCTGGCATATATTTGCTGTATTTGATCGATTCTCACTGGCAGCTCTGCAGCGTTAAGTCTTGTAGCATATTGAGCTCACTAAATATAGTCTCTCGGGACTTATAAGTCTAGACTGGCACCATAAAATGATCCCGACTCTGTTCAGTTGCTATGGTGAACAAGCTTCAGGGGTTCCCACTTTTGTCTGAGAGAACCCGAGGGGCAAAGGAAGTCCTCTAATAGAAAAGAGCACAACAAGAAAACATTTGAAGGGATTGAACATCGAGTACAAACACGAGTTAGTGCGACGAACAATGAGGGTTTTCTTTGGCTCTTTTCTTTGTTCATTGTCAATTTAACTTCAAAGTTCAGTTGCCGTCGTTGTTGGATTCAAACATGAAAAATATGTTTGATTTTCAATAAGAAAAGATGGATACACACATGCTGAAAATTACCTTTTAAGCTGTCAGTGTCAATAATCTCTGACAGGTTCTTGGTTTGAATAGAACAAATGAAGGGTGTTGCTCTGACACAGAAAAGGCTGTTAAACAGGGACAGTGAAAACAGCAGGGAAGCAGACATTAAGGTGGTGAGACACTTAAAAAGCCGGTGCCTTTCTTCGATGTGTCATGCAGGGTGTTAATGGATAATGTGTTGTTCACCGTGATAAAAGGGGCGTTTTAGTTCAAGTAAGGTGAAAACTGCCAAGTAAAACAACTATTCCTCAACTAGCCCGACTTTTGGGGACACTGTCCGAAGGAGTTCACGATTCTCGAGTCGAATTGCTTCCTTTACGGATAAATCTCTTGCTTTATCTTCCGGCCATAAGTCATTAGTAGCCTAGAGTTGACTCGTGCTGTTTTCTTTGGGGGGTTTTTGCTCTCTGTGAATCAGATGAGGTCTCGTTGGAATGCTGGGTTATATATGCTCGATGAGGCTTGTCTAAACACAGCAGCAGCATCCATCCCGGAAGATACAAATATCTTGCATGAAATCATGCTTCTCAAAGGAAAAACCACAGCTTTTTCTGTGACACTGGGGACACAAACTAACATATGTTGGATGATGAATCTAGGAGTCAGTGTCATGTTTAGCAAACTGTTCTGCAAGGAAGTTAAAGAAAAGACTCTAACTCAAGTTTACTCTGACTGGCGACAGTTCTAACTGGACTGTGGAGATCAGAGTAGATTGATGAAGAAATGACAAAGAACAATAACTTTCAGAAACGATTTCTGATCAACTAATCAGCTTTCTACTTTCTGAGGATATGGAGTTGTGCTTTTCACTTAGCATTTCACTTATCACCCCTCTCTTTTTGTGAACTCGCACGGGTGTTCATGTGTTTTTTTTAGCATATATGACTCCAGCCTTGTGTTTTCGTTGGCAACAACCTAAAATAAATCTTGTGTGAATGCCTTTTAAATCCATAAGCTATCTTTAAAGGTTTTTTTTTTCTTTCATGCGAGACATTATAGGTACTGCCTTTTCAGAGACTAACGTAATCAAGCTTGGGGGCGTTTTCAGTAAATGCCTTAATCCCTTATAGCACTTTTTTTTTTCTCGTACAGTATGATAATTTTACAGTCTTGACCTAAAAACAAACCACACTGTATTTATGATTTATGGAGTGTTGATTTAGGTTTACATTTTTCCCACGTTGGTGCTGCTGATTTTAACGGGGCCATATACAGGCTTCGGTTGGGGGACCAGTCGCTCTTGGAAACCGATCATTGCACAATAATCTTTTTTTTTTTTTCTGGCCCAGTGAATCAAAAGCGCTCTGGCTGGGTGCCCAACAAAATGAAGCAAAAGCCCTCAGACACCTATCATCCACTCCATTTCATCACTGAAACTTTGTTTGCTGCACACATTGACTGCTGCTGAGAACCGCCACCCTCGGGTAATCAGGCAGGAAGAATAAATGTGCGGTTTGAATAGCATCAAAGCTAATGAATTACCTGTATTTCTTTGCATGTTTTTGTAGATGGAAAGGTGGAAGTGACGAAGGAGAGCCTGAAGCTGTGCACCATGGGGCCGGGGAAGGTGTTTGGAGAGCTGGCTATTCTCTACAACTGCACCAGGACTGCCACTGTCAAGAGTGAGTCTCCTCCGACACCTGTAAAAACATCCACAGTGATCACATCAGTCCGTCCACATGCATCCCCAGGAGTCAGATAGTGTCACCTGTTAACAGCAAACACACACATCCACTGAAATCTGTCCCTGCAGTGCAAGGATTAGAGGTATTTTCAGCCTGTAAGATCCTTTCTCAGCACAGAGTGAAGGATCACACAAACAGTGTACAAATACCCGCAATGATGAAACACTTCCCATCACCACTTTGTGTTTTCACAATGCTCCAGTTAAGTGTTTTGTGAGACCCCCGGCGAGCTGAATATCAAGGTTTACTGCCTTTCGCTCTTTCATGTGTCGAAGCTCCAGCTATGCGGGACGCACAGTGGGTGAGTAGGTGGTCAATCTGACTGGCGATTTGAATAGTCAGTCGAATAAAGCAAAGAGAGGAGACTGAGAAAGGACAGGACAGATGGTGTACTACGCACATTTGAGACCTAGTGTGCTATAAGAAGTGTGTGTCGGGATGAAAAATGTGTGTTTTATGTGAGGAAGGAAATGGGAAATAGCGGGGAATCTGTCTTCAGATGGAACGAAAAGAGACAAGAGGAGGGATGAGATCAAGTCCTTTAGGTTAAAGTGTATCTTTGCACAGAAATGAAAACAAATGGATGCAACGATTGGCACAAAGTCCAACACTGTATCATGGTTTAGGTTAATCAATATTGATGTGACACATTAATTCACATGCACCACGCAGGTTGGTTTAGTCTATGCTTGGGGGACGTCAATCGGTGTGTGACCCAGGTATGAATGAATGCATGAAGTATTGGAATTCCTCAGGTTGAAGGAGGGGGTGAGTTTCACAGAACAGGAAATGGGGGTTGATGTCAATGGCAGCAAGGTTGCACGCCCCCTCGCTTGCCCCTTTTTACGTCCCATGATCCCCTACCTCTGACTAGCCAACCTGTCGGAACTCCCAGCTCCCGTTGCTATGGCAACAAGTGCCCAGAGGGAGATGAGCCAACTCTTATAGGATAAAATATTCTCCTTCCCACAGGCGACAGGGTGTCTGTCTTTTTCTTTTTGTGTCTTCTCTTCGCTCGCCACCAGCCCACCTGCCTGTTACTTCCTGTCATGCTCCTTTGAAGTGTACGTCAGCGCTATAGTGGGGCAGCTGCTGCTTCGTAATAATAATAATAATAAATAAAAAAAAACTCCACATGGAACAAATGATGTAATTGTCTACACTGGCAGAAGTGTGTTTACAGCTTTACAGGGTCACTGGCACCGTCTGGGAGGGTAGTTGTCTCTGGTTTAATGTCCGTCTCCACACAAGAATGTACCCAGGAATTCAGCTGCCATTTGGTTGTTAGAGGTGATGACTACCTGATGAGTGTGTGCGAGAATTCAGGCGTCAGTCAGGCGATTAGATTTGTTCTCTGTTGGAGGACTTAGTCTCGAAGTAATTTTAATGTACACTGCTCTGTCTCCAAATGTGTGTGTCTGATTAATGATTACAGTTTAGTTTAACTTAGATGACTAACATGCTAATGTGGAATCAGACGACTTCATCCATTATACTGTCAAGGAATCTCCTCTCTATCATTCAACCGTGAAAGAAAATCACAAAATAATTACATTATTGCTAACTGTGATGATGAAGTGATAATTGGGGGTTGTCACCTGTTGTGAAAACTCGCAGAAACAATGAATTTCTCATGAAGTCAATTATCTGCAGAAACTGTTTGCATTTGTAACTCAGATCAGTCAAGAGCTTGACACTTCTTTAACAGAGCGATCAGGCTGCAAACATTCTGATGATATTTGTGTCTTTCTCTAAAAAAAACTGTAAAACACTTGGGCACATTTTGTGTTACTTAACTCAAACGTTTGTAAACCGGACTTGAATAGGAAAAAAAAGACTTCATTCATGAGATTTAATTAGTTTCAGGGAGAGCAAAATGAGCTTGAAATGTTCTAGCCCAGCTGCTTTTAGTCTCAAAGCATCCTAGCAGTTTTATAGCTTTTTATAACCCAATTACTTCAAATTAGCAACAACTTTTTTTTAGAAGCACACTGCAGCGTTTGGGGATGTTTAATTGTGTCTTTCCTATCTTTCAAGCATCATTTGGTTTCTATTTTTAACCGAGCACGATAAAAATCACAGGCATGAAACTAATTCATCACAGCAAACATCGTGCCTGCTGGCTCTCAAAATGAATCTGCACTTAGGACTGTCTAACACGAAGACACAATGTTTCTGTGACAACAAAGGAAGCAGTGATATGCAGTGATAAGCAGTGATATGTTTACTTGAATAGATTATCTGTCTCACTCTCGATTTCAAATTCTCTGTAAGTTGTTTGTCAGACTAAGATGGTATCACTGGGGTCTGGTAATTACCTTAAAAGACGGTGAAGCGCATTTTAGGTTGGCAGGAATTTCTCTGATTCAGAGAGAAATATGCAAAGTCATGATTAAAATACAAACAAATAGGAGCCTCTGTTAAAAATAAAACTGAACAATGAATCAAACCAGTTTCATATCAAAGCTCGGACTTTTTTTATGCAGGGGAGCGCAAAGATGTTCTGGCATTCATCCAGTCACCCAATTTTAAGCAGGTGTGTTGCAGGGATAAGACAAATTTACAAGCTCTCACAAATAATTTAAAGCCTGGTTGCATTTGCAATAATTTTGTGTTTTTATGATTATGAATTCCAGGGACTGACAGATATTCTCTTTCCATCAATCCTCCTCCTTTTCAGCCTTCAGGGTATTTCATGTGCGAGCTCTTTCTTACACTCTCCCAGGTGAAATGAACCCTGTACAGTAAGCGCGCTCTTAGTTGAGCATCTGGAGTCGCACTCACTCCTGGGCTGTGTAAATCCAGCGATCAATATGTTATGTTGGGTTTCAGGATACAAACATTTACCTGCAGAGTTATTGCCACATTTGGTGTTTGGCTTTGCGAGACTTGGTGAATGAGGCAGGATTTTATGTTCTGCCTGAGAGAGAGAGAAATACCGCCTGTGTTTACAAAAAAGAAAAGTTCCCCTCGCTTTCAAATCCATATCACATCATTTTCACATGACAACAATCGGGGGGAATCTGGCCCAAGAGTAGAAGAAGACGTGGGTGGGAGTGAGAGACAAAAAAGAGAGAGGTGATAAATACAGGACAACAGTGACAGCAAAATGAGGGAGCCACCTCGAGGGAAGCGAGACAAAATTGGTGTGTTTTGTGTCTGCAGACAGTCGAGAGAGAGAGGGACGGTGGCCTTTAGTGGAGTAATATTCTTCTGTAGCACCAAAATGTCCCTGTTTCTCAGGGAGCCGGACTTGATGGCATAACAGGAAGCAATTCAGTACGGTGTGATAAAAAGCATGCAGCAGTTTACTGTAGCAGGTATTACTTGAGCATGTGAAAACAGTTCAAAAGAGGTGATTTCCCTCTTGAAAATGCTCAACGAAAACCACGAAATCTGACAACTGAAAACTGAAAAAGCATCTGAAAGGGGGTGATCGGTGGTTTCTTTACACAACGGGAGCGATTTTTCGTGTGATTATTTCTGACGTCAATATTTTTTTTTGAAAATGTAACCTGTCAATACAAGTGTTCACATAAGCGGTGTTTTCCCATCCTGCAATATTGCGGCATTTATTTTTTCGTATCACGGTTGAATTTTCTAAAGTTTCGCATACCGTGTGTCCACTTCTGACCAATCAGATTTAGTGTTGTTGCGGCTTTAGATTCACCGGTATATCCAACATGGCCGACCGGCTGATTGTTTACATGTTGGAGAACAGAGTGCATTTTGATAAAAAACACAAATATTACAAAGATAACGACCTGAAGGACAACTTGTGGAGAGTCATAGCGTCGGTTTGTGTGCTTTAACAGTTTGTTAAACGTCTTTGTTTTAACTTTCATCTGTGCTAAGTAACTTTAGCTCATAAGCTAACCTGTTCAGATACAACATACCATATGTATTTTCACTGTCTCAAACTCAATCGCGTTGCTGTCACAGCACCGTTAGGTCTCAGTTGTTACCTTACGTTTATGGATTATAGTTTAATGTGCTTATCTGGTACTGGCCCCGACTCAGTACATGCTATCATGACAGACAAACATCTCAACACTAGTGTCTAATCAGAACTGAAAAAAAGTCAGTCTGCTGTTGTGTCAGTCTTCTCGCTTCCACCTGGGACGCGTCTTTTTCCCCCCCGGAAAGTCACAAAATCACATTGCGCTTGATGTGTATAGTCAGGCGTGTCAAAATTCGCCTCAGAATATTTTGTAATTTCGTGTCGTATATTTGCGTCGTTCCCGGTGTATAAGGACCTTAAGAATAACTTTCTTGCTTTACTTTAAAAAATTCCAATCTGAAACTGTTTGTACCAATTTTCCACAGTGGACTGCAACATCCTCACATCTTGTTTTGTTGGATTAACAGCCTAAAAAATGAAATTCAGTTTGAGAGTGACATTTAACAGAGAGGCTCAGCAAATTCTTTCATCAGTGCCTGACATTTTAGCTGGAAAAAGTACTCATGTGATCAATAAGATTAACAGTCATTGTGAACAGATTGATAAATGATGGATTTAGTAATTAATCATTAACTGCAGCATCAGACATTATCAAGCTTTTCCCTGTAGGCTTCATAGTATTTTGATATCTCAAATGCCTCACAGTCACTTTCTCTTGATTAAATATCCTGACATGTCAGCCAATCAGAAAAATCTTCTCATCAGATCTCTCCAAGCTGTGAATGACTTAAACATCTGTTGTTCCTTAAGTCAAAAATCTACCAATCAAACTCCATGTTACCATGATCTACAGCACAGAAAGGGTTAAAGCATCATGTTCAGTGAGGGCAGCTGTAAATGATTGGCGGGTATCCTGGTGTTGTTTTGGAACAGCCCTCCTCTCTCTCAGAGGGAGGTCACTGCCAGTCAACACTAACATAATCAGAGAGACTGATTATCTGAGCGCTCCATCTTAATGATAGGGCTGGAAAAAGCAGTCTCAGACATCAATGCAGAAACTCAGCCACACGCTCTATGGGGATCATATCTAATGTGCATGAATGCTTTAGCTTAAAAAATTACTTTGAGAGTAATTGCAGTAACTTTTTGTCAGGAGGCAATAAAAACAAATCCAGATAAGGCCAGGACAGGGTTCAAAATTAATTTCGTTTAGATGACTCTATCAAGTATACTGTCGGATATTTGGCAGCAGCAGCAGGCAGATAACTTTGACGAACATACTTTTCTCTTCCCAGCAAACTCTGTCACTCACCCACACACTACAAGAAGATTTTTTAAAGTGCGTTCAGGTTTGACAGGTGTGTATTTTTATGATAAATGTCCAGCATCGGTTGGCCCTCTTTTAAACATGGGCAGCCTTCCCCTTCATGCTCTAATGCGCATCCGAGAATTAGGTGTCAGCTGTTTAAAAGAGCGTGAGTGTACAGGTTTCGGGAAAAGCAAGCACAGCTGAGAAAATGGCACTATTCAATTTGTGGGAAACAAAATGATTCAGGATTCAAAAATGAGAGTTAACCTGGTCAGACCCTGGCTGGCCCCTCAACAAGAGTTACAGTGCACATATATTGAACGAATTACAGCAACAATTTAAAGCAACAGATACAACGTCACACTTAACCTACGTCTCACAGGAATACTAGAGCCAACAGCGTGGTAACAAACAGATGATTTACCTGCATCTAGAAAATGAAGGATTTACAGTGCAGGTAGACCAAATTACAGCCAACAACTGTGTAGCAAATTACAGTGCTCTTAAGCACATATTAAAGTCTGCTTTGAGCCACCTTAGCTCTGTTAACAAGCTTGCAGGAGTCTTGGTCAGCAGTCTCCTCTCCTCTTTTTTTTCAGCCTCAGCGTTCTCTTCCTCGATTGCTGCTCATCTGACTAGAAAAAATGTACCCTTTTCCTGATCTTCATTTAGTGCTGGTACACTGTTGAAGTCCTGCTTCAGCTGGAAGAATTTTGCATGGCCCGGCGTAATTGTTTTGGTTATTACTCAGTTTTCTTACTAATCACCTGGCTGTTCTGAATACTTTAAATCTGATTAGTCAAAACCCCCTGACATAGCAGAGCAACACCAGAGACCATCAGACCACATCATATCAAATCAACCTGCCTAAAAATTTGAGTCCTGGCAAAACCATTGGCTTCTATTAGCATGCTACTTTATTAGACTAAATAACACAGATGTAGGAATCCATGCAACAGCAGCAGAGATGGTTAGTGCATATCTAAGTTATATACACCGCAATTCAACTCAAACCATCGGGGGTAGTGATATAAACAGAAGTGCTAAAAGTCTTTTTCCTCTTTGTTTAAAGTTGTATCAACTGCAAAACTCTAAAGATTCAGAGCTGAATCTTAAAATGTTCAACTTAATGTGAATTATAACAAATAAGCAGGCTACTTCATTCCTGCAGAAACATACTTTTCAGCAGAAATGTTCAGTTTACTTAAATGGTTATGACATGAGCATGCTAATGTTTTCACTTAACCTTAACTGAAAATTTTGGTAACGCTTCACTTGAATATAATTTCATCTCTATAATGTATTATAAATAAATGTATAATGCGTTATAATCACGTTATAGCACTGTATAACTAATAATTATACATATATTTGTATTGCGTTAAAGAGATAGTCGTCAAGTGAAGTGTTACCGAAAATTTTAATTCAATGTTTGTTGAAAGATCAAATCTTTATCCGCAGTTGAGCTATCTCAAAACATCAATATTAAACATCAACCTCAAGCTGTTTTTGCTCTCAGACTGTACTGAACCCTCTCAGGTTTGTATCTGTGATCACTGTCACCTTCATCATTTGACTGACAATAGAAAAGGAAATAATTTCATAGGAATACAATTGCTTACTGGTGCTGTCAACGAAGATCTGATGCATTAATGCATAAGATGCATATTGATGCAGACCATTCTATACCTGTGCATAGATAGCGCATGCATCAGATTTTCATCTCAAATTGACCTTTCCTCTCCGCTTATGATTCAAAGTATTTGACATTTATAATTTATCCAGCTAATGTGGATTTGAGATAAAAATGTAAACACAGTTTTGATGAAAATGATGGAAGATTTTCCTTTCCTTAGATTAGATGGTGCTATACAAGCTATGACTGTATCTGTTCTTTGAGGGGAGAAGGATTCATCACAAGAGGAGGGTAAATGTAGCATCATGGGCCTAACTGTGAGGAATAAAAGTCCTGTTTACCTGTTCTAACAATCATTGTTTTTCCACGTCATGTAAAATCAGCTTCCAAAACTTCCACAGATCCTTATAAACAGTACACACATGCAGCACCACACGAATACTGGGACCTACGATCAATGCAGTCTCGTTTTTACAGATGAAAAACATGACAGAGGGCTGCTGCATCAGTGTCATCCGTATTCAAAGACACACTCACACAAAGGTATCACAGCACTTGATGCCATGGTTTCACAGAGAGAAAATTATGCCAAAGCAGCAACGTTGATCTGGAGACATGTGAGAATGGTGCTTCAGACAGAGGGACAGCATCAACGTAGAAAAAAAACCCTTCCTCCCAATAGGAGTGAGCAAACAGTTACTCCTCTAATCAGCCTTAGAGGAGGGAAAGTGCACGTGAGCGTGTTAATGTGCGAGTCTGTGCATGGCACACTGTGTCTGCTAAGTCTCAGGAATCTACCTGTCACCAAAGAGACGAGCTAAAGGTCTGACTCCTTGGAGAAACAGACACCGAAGTAAACACTGTGTCCGTAACAGAAGGCAGAGAACGTTGGCCTTGGCCAGGGACTCTGTAATGTTTAAATAATAAAGCACACTGCTTGTATGACTGTCAGAGTTCCTCCTGAGCCTCTTACTATCTTACTTTGGGCTCAAGTCTTTCCTGTTTATACGCCTGATTGTTATCCCTGAGTCATAGAAATGTTGTCTTTGTCTATAAACGATATAGAAAAGCTGAAAAGTCCAGAGAAGAACTCCTGCCACTTCAGAATATTTTTCACATATAACTTAATAAAGAACGGTGGCATCAACTCCGCCTTTCTCTGACCCGGCTTTGTGATGCCACAGAACCAGTACTGTGTTTCAGCAGGGCTCTCATATTGGATCTAGCCCAAAATACAAAACACCGGTTATTTTCCTTTCAAGCAGAGAAAAACAACAGCATTTTAGACAAATTGTTTTCAGTGTGATTAAAAATAAGTGGGTGCAGTGCGTAAAAGCACCCGCTGAACAGAAGCCATTACTTCTGTGCTTATTGAAAACAAGAGTGAGGACTTTCAATTTGCACTTCAAATGTGACAATTTCCTATAGATTTAGCTGAACTCGACAAAGAAAGTGTGTGTGTGTACTGGAGCGAATGTTCGCGCAGTTCTAATCATTAGCAGCCATCAGCTACGTTAGCCACTTAAAGCATTAAAGCAAATACTATTATCTTGCTGATGACATAATGCAAGCATAAAAATTAGTTGGCAGAACACTTAGCAGTTAGATTCCACCTTTATCCTATTCCTGAAGAGGATCTCTAGGCCGGGTATATTCTACAGTTCTCTGCTTTCCACTTCCAGCTGAACAGGTTATACAACAGAGTCTACTTCAGGTGCAGCCATTCAGGCATTGCAGTACAGAAGAAAGTCTTTACTGCCTGACTCAGCCTAACCTCCTGTGCCATTTGATGATGATTACTCAAAGGTAAAGATCAATTATAGGTAAGAAAGAATAACTACAGCCAGGTAAAAGAAAGTACTTCCCTTACCTGGCAGCAGCATGTTGTACCATTTATGATTACGGTCACTGGCGTGTGCTTTTTCATGGTCAAATAAAGGAAAACGATAATCAAAGAGAAAAATGGTAGTAAAGGAATGAAAGTGCAAGTATTTACAAAACATCAAGTTAAATATAATGATTATAAAGCAGCACTTGACCTAGAGCTTTGTGATAAAACAATAACGATATATATGGAAAATTGATTTCCCTTAATATCAATATAAAACATAATCAATATGCTCTTTGATATTTGGCATTCTGCCATGTTTAAGTAGACTATACGAATAGCCATTAAAAAGGGGAGTTACTCTGGGTCCACTTTGCACTGAACCAATCATGTGCTGAATTAGAACCAAGTAGCAAACAACTGTGTAGTAGCAGGCTGCGGCTACACGCAACCATAGCACTTGTGCAACCGAAAAAGCTGACTGCTCCGCTGTCCATAGCGCAAAGCCGTACGCCAAAACGTCAGAGACACAAAGACCTCACAGATGCAGTAGTTTATTGTATTGCAAAAGACATGCAACCAATAAGCACTGCTGAATTTAATTTCAAGAGTAACAGGGAACATTTCTAATTGACAAGTTATTTTTTGATATATTAAAAAAATATATGATATATATCGATATCCAGTGATGTGAAAAAAATATATTTTTCCATATTTTTTCCATATCGCCCAGCCCTAACTTGAGCTGTTGAACAGCAAACCACAGACCAGAACAACCACATACACTTATCTAAAATATAATTTTAAAAAACCTAGAGAGCACTTATGGCCTTGTATCAGGTTAATGTAATGCTTTTATTTCATCCCTTTAATACTATGTCTATCTCTCTGATGTTGACTACTCATTTCATGGGTATCAAGGGAATAACATTGAAAAGCAGAGAAAGATTTCCTTATGGAAACAAAAACAGGGTTATACCAGGGCTGAGGATATAATAAGAAGTCTTTCCACACTTTTTTTTAACTAAGGTAGGGGACCTATTGTACTGCTGAAAAAGTTAGAAAAACCTTTGAGTCTAGATTCTAGTTTGGTTTAATATGTATTGAGCAGATTTCAAACAACTCAGCTTGTAACATGAAAAAAGTAATTATCATTATTGATCTAAAATAATAGAGTGAGCTCGAGCGCCATTGTTAGGAAAGGCCCTGCTGGGAAGAGTTGGAAATAAGGGCTCTTGGTATTTGTAAAGCTTGTGAGAGCATCATTAACAAGGATCACAAAGGCTGCTGTGTCTTATGCTACTTACCATAATTGAGGTGCAAACATGAGCAGAGAAATGAAAAACTGTCTGAGTAGCAATGCAAAAGCAACGATAGATAAACATGCAAATGCAAGAATTTGCAAATAGACTATACTGTTTTTTTTTTTTTTCGTCAGCATGTCCCACCCAAATTTAAACAACAGATAACGGGGAGTGTTGGGACAGGAATAACCAGAGACTGTTCAAGAACAAAGCTCACAAACTGGAGTTTCATTTGCTGTGACTGACACGTTTGTAATGATGTTGAGACTTTGTTGTAGAAGTTGAAGGCGTCATCATTCACTCTTCATCATCTCGTGCACATGTGCGCAGAGGTTCAGGAGAACTACATTACCATGTGATAAAGTGTTTCATTGGGTGCAGAGAGACAACGATAGGAAGAATAGCTCTGGTTGATAGAATTCCAGTGGGACAGACTAGGGGAAAAAAAATCCTCTCTGTTTCCATGGCTGCCATGGTAACACTGTTGCCTGAGTGCAGCTCGAAATGTGGTGGTAAAATGGCGATGAAGGCAGGATGGAGCCCACTTAGCTGTTTGCAGTCACGGTTAATGTGCTGGTCACAGTGCATATTTTTGTCTGATGTCTATAACTTGACCGTCTGGCTCGTTCTAGTGCATCTGAATAATTCTCTGCGTGTGTGTTCTTACACGAGTCAAAGGTGTCCCAGCGTGTGTGTGCTTTTGTGCCTTTGCACTGAGGGCCCCTACTGCTGTTGTTGTACTGATGCTCAGTTGGAGCGCAGGTGCGAGCCTGTAGCTAGAGGGTCTTTTGGGGCTCTGGATGGCTTAAAAGGTGAAAATATCCAGCAAGCGGCAACCTCAGACAGCTTCAAAATACTGTCAGACAGTAAAAAAACAGCCCTGCGTGTGTGTCTTTTAAAAAAATACTTTCCTTGAACATACTTTCTGTTGAAAATCTTGTGTGACAGTAAGGACAGGCGATGATGTGAGCATGGATTTTGCTATGGGCGAGCGCTGGTGAAGTGAGGACAGATCACAGTATGAAGGATAATTTATCTCTACCTGTCTTGTGTTACCCACTGGAAGTTTGCATTGCTTGCTTTTGCCACAACTTTAGGACAAATAAGCTTTATGGGGATGTTTCTGCTGTTAAAAGTGTACATTAACATCAGTGGGGTGACTAATGCTTAGGGAGCAGAGCTGCGGTCCCTTAGCAATACTTCAAATGAAGTGCTACCTAGGAGAGATCTACATAATGCTGTGGTAGTTTCAAAAGCCAATCTTATTTTACAGAAAGCTAAAGTTAAATACACCCAAGAAGAATTAAAGAAAGCTTGAAATTACCATATTCCTGAGAGAAATTCATGCCAGATGTTTAAAAGTTGTTTAAATGCACGCATCTGTCCGGCGATAGCTCCATCTGAGCTGATTGCCGGCACTCCAGTTAATGCTTCTGATTCCACCAGATGCAGAGCAGCTCACTTCTCATGGAAGAAACTCTCTGCTCTGTTGTAAACACGCACCTGGTCCATTTTTTAGGACAGCAACTCTGTAACAAGTTATGCTACAAGGAAGAGATGAGGCGAGAAGGAGGTCAAACACAGAAATGGCGCAATTCCCAGCTCCTTGTTGCATGTTACTACACCAGATTTAACATTGTTACCTACAGCAAAAGCACCAACACAGAGAGGACGACTGAATCAACTGGATTAAAGTGGGATATAAAGCACGGAGGACTTTCCACTTGTGCACCACTTGTACCGGAGCTACTTAAAAAAATGAATAATGCTGTGTCTCAAATGTAATCTTATAGAAAGGTGCCCCACATTATCCTGGGAATTAAACTTCCTATTTTCTTTCATGGCAACGAAAGCTAAAGTTAAGCTATTGCTACAATGTAAAATATGCTTTCATTCTTGCTACTGCGGGTTAGAGTCGGAGAAGTTGCCTAGGAAAAAGATGGATTGAAAATAGGGCTTGGTGTCTAGCTAACAGAGGTGCATATATATGGCTAATTGACACTGATGGTGCGTGAACCGGAATATATGACACAGGAGACGAGACACTTAAAATGTCAAGTGTAAATAGAGTAGTGCTTCCTGATACATAAGGCTGCACAACATTGATTGAATTGAGCATTGAAGCTAATCCTCAAGAACACAAACTACAGCGTGTGTGAGTCAGACCCCTCGGCAGCTTTTTTGGACTTTCTCTATAAGTAAGTCTTGTGGAGCCATCAGTGGAAAAAGGATGTGACCAGTTTTTCACACTCGGAGTTCAGCTCTGAAAATCAGAGCTGAGTGTGGAAGAAAAAGCTTGTTATTCGGTGAAACATAGCACGCACCCCCAAGAGTTCAAACCGCTAGACTCGATACAACGCTGCAAATCTCACAGAATTAAAAGGATCAGAGAATAGCTGATTGTGTTTTCGATTTATTAAATGGGATTGTTGATGGTAACCTTAACCTAGACGCTTAATCTAGAAAGCTAAATTGAAAATGTTTCTTCCTTCTTTCTGACCTTCAGCTAAAGAAAGCCAAGCCTTATCCTGTTGTGTTATAGAAGTTAGTGCTTGGCCTTGCAGCAAGCTAAACATATCTCAAATAAAAGTAAAAGAAAGATTGGCCTCTGACATTTTGCTGAAGACAAACTGTGGCACAACTTTTGAAACTGTATTTGATACACAGTGAAAGTAATAAGTCAGGAAGATAAAATAAATGAGAAATTATGCTGATATACTTATTCACTAGCCTCGGATCACCAAACCAATTCACCTTACTGTTGTGCTTGAAATTGTTTAAATCATCATTTGTTGATTGGAAATGCCACAATGCAGACGTGCCTCTGGAAGCTGTCATATAAACCTCCAACCAATCAGAACTCTGCGACATTTGACACAGCGCAAGAAAATATTAACAGACACCAGCGTACAGAGAAAAGGAAGACATCTTCCTTGAACTCTGAATGCAGCAGGTGAAGTAGTTCATTCTCAAATCAATGAAAATACATCCTCCAGTTTATTTAGAGCAGATGCAATTCCAGATTTATTTGACCTCCTTGCTGCAGAAGCTTTTATCTTGGATGCTTAAGAGCAGGCTGAAGCAGCACAGCAGGGTTGTTGAAATAGTGTTGTTTAAAAGGACAGTCAGTCAGCCCTACTTGGTACTAGCTTAGACTGTATATACTATGGACAACTTGGTTCCGCCTCCCGCCTGAATATGGATTTGAAGCCAAAAAGCTCTCGGTATTTCCGGGATTTTTCTTCATTTCTTCAAATTTATGTACTGTGTAAATTAAAGATATAAATAAATAGAAAATAATATAAATAAATAGAAATATATAAATACATTTCTAAAGTTTGTCCACAGCCCCATAAGCTTTGCTGGTGGAGGCGGGATTTATCACCTATACTGCAGCCTGTCACCAGAGGGTGCTGTTCTTGGAGTGGCTTCACCCAGCAAGGAGGCAGACGGCGTCCATTCTATATACAGTCTATGGTTAGAATACCATTATTTCAACTTCTGTCTGAAACGCTTCATTTCAGCTGCTGTCACTTTAAGGTCCCCCCTGCTATGAGCCTACTGTCTTCTGATTGGCTACCTCTGAGGAGGCTAGCTGAGGACAGAGCTTGATGTTTCGGGCATGCCCCATCTATTGTGGCCACATAAAGCAATCAAGTGCAGTCAAGCAGCGTAACCTGGCTCTGCTGTGGGTGTCACCTCACATGTTGCTGGGCTGCAGGCAGTTCTGCTGTGCTGGAAGCATGGATGAACAAGTTCAGAGAGCCTATTGCAATAACTTCATTAGTTTAGTGAGTCTCACAGACAGCTAAGTGAGACATCATGTGATTTCCCAGCAAACTATTCTGAGCAATTTGCAGACATCTAGTATGGACATCAACCACTGTAACTTCGCATTTTTTGTCGTAAATATGCAAATGCATTTTACCCCCTCTTTAAATAAAGGACTGGTCCAGTGTATCTGAGGTGGTAGACAGAGAATGAATGCAGCTCTGGCTTCCTATTTGCAAATACACACTTTCTTCAACCTTGACCAAATAGAACCATAAAAAACAAACAGAAATGCACAGAAAACAACCAACAGCCAGAGGAAAATTCATGGAGAGAAGAAAAAAAGAAAACCAAATCTTACAAACTAGCCTCGGATGCATAAATCTGCAAACATGAAGACCCTGCTGCATGGGATTAAAACCAACTAAAGCACCAATGGTCCCCAGCTATGGTGCAACAGCTCCAGGGCCAGCCTAGCCAAATCTGTCTCCTTTGCTGCTAATTGAAAAGCAAATATCTGCTGTGATTCCCCTAGAATACTAAGAAGCCTCTTCTTTAAGCTGTCAGACTTTGAAAATCATCCCCTTAAAACTTGCAAATTATTAGCATAAAATGTAAAAAGACAACTTACATGCTAAACCCATTGTTATAGAGTCCAAAATCAGAGTTGTATGCCAGTTACGTGCATTCACTTGTTGTTAAAAGCAACAAGGACATTACAATGAAACTAACAGCTAGTAACAGAAGAAGTACACTGTCTGTATTAAACAAATGTCTGAAGGGATTAGGGAGAATGGATGTAAAAAAAAAAATATTTAAAACAAATATAAAAGAAAATAATTCTCCTCCATTATTAAACAACCCCTAGATTTCGTAGAATCCGAGCAGACTTGTAGCTCTCCTGCAGAGTAAAAAGGTTTCTTACTAGAATAACTAGAATAGAATAACCCGTGCACACCTGGTGGCATAGAGTCACTCAGACGCGCAGACACAGGAACATGTTTTCATCCCGATCTGTCAGAGAAGAATGGCAGCCATCACCAGCGTTGCTCTGTGTTTTTTGGGCGCAGAAATCTGATGTCTCTGCCTCAGCAGCCTTGACAGACAGAAAGCTTTATGAAATTCAACAATGACACAACAAGCTATTCCTCCCCTGTTGTCAGAAGTGAAAAAGGAAATACTCTTACGTAGTAATCTAAGTACAGACGCTGCGGTTGACTCATTCAGGGGGATATTATCTTGAGTTATTACATCACTAAATCCCGCTGACACATTGGTGACACATGGTTTTACATTGTTCTCAGGACGGCACCCTGGCTAATCAATAATTTGACAGGTCTTCGTGTGGAGTTTAAGTGGTCTAGGGAACCTGCTTTATAGAGAAATGTGTCACCTCACCTGATGCAACCTGGACTGGGCTCTAAAAATAACCCCTTTGCAGATGAATAGCAAACACACCTCATTTCCTCTCTTTCATTTTCTACAGCTGGGCAGAATCAAATTTATCAGGTTATTCAAACTGATTTCCGCCATGCAAATAGTTTCTGTTTGATTGTCTCTAATGATGAGGACAACAAACAATTAGAATTTATCTCACAGACTGATAAGAAAGTAATTTAAGAGGAAAAGTAATATTTCGATGCTGGAGGGAGTGCACAGCATGGATGACTTCTTTCCCCCCCTACTTAGAAGCAGTTATCCTCGTTATTGACGTCATGGGCTCCTGTACGAAGACTTAAATCATAACCCTGTGAAATGAAATCTTTGTTTGAAAGATGATTACCCTTAATGAAAAACATTTTAAAGAGGAGACAGCAATCTGTTGGAATATAACAGGGGTAATGATAGGCTTTTAAAGAGAACAATGTGTTAAAAGAGTGAGTCGGTTTGACTTTTCTATTGTTCTTATTCATAAATGTCTCTGTTTTTGACTGCTGTTCATTCACTCCCCCTCAAAAATAATATTCACTTGTCTTCATGGTCGATGACAGTAAAGGATTACAGTCTTCAGTGTTATTTATCTACACAAGGGCCATAAAAACTGCCAGATACCTCTATTAAAAATACTTGTATGACATATTATAGTATCTCAAAATGAGCCAATTATTACAATACTTGTCTTTGGGTTTAGTAATGAGTTTTTTTTTGTCATGTTTACGCTAAACTTTCAAACAAGAGCAGCTAAAATTGATCAATGAAGGCTGGAAGTGAGGTGTGTTATGGTTACAGAGGTGAGTGGAAATTTGTGTTTCAATCTTGGCTTCCTACAAGAAAGTGCAAAAGCTCTGAGTACTCTTTTAGAAAACTCCTATTCAATCAGCCTCTGACAGGAAGTTTCCGACGAACAGTATCCTGTGTGCACTCAGTGTTTGATAAATGCATGTAAATATTATGACTCCAGTGTTTGTCCAAGTCGTGAGGAGGCAATATTACCAGACCAGAATTTTGTATTTCAATACAACACTGATAAATATTCAACAACACCATACTTGTCCCAACAGTAACTGAACTCTGGACATCCGCATTTGTTAACTTTATGTTTGATCATCAACCTGCCCCAGCGCTGGTCTGACATTTACTGCTGATCAGTATTTTACAAACTGCTGACAGGAAAGAAAGGTGAATAAATGAGAATCATCGCTGCGATCTCTGTGCAGAGGTGTGAAGCTTACAGCCAGTATTCAGCAGGTTTGAAGAGATAGAAAACTTTACTGACCAGACAGCATTTCCATCTCTCTCCTCTGCTCTCTATTTTTATCAGACATAAGTGTACGGTGTGCATCTTGATGAGGCTTTAACACCATGTCAGTATTTGCCAAACTGTAAATAACAGGAGGTGTAGTGGCTGTGACAGAAGGCGGAGCAGAGAGACACGCTGAAGTGCAACGCAAGCAGAAAAACAAAGGTGTGAAGGTGTTCACTTATTCTTTAATGTCCTATTTTTGTTTTATCTCTGCTTTCTGCTCTGATTCTCCTTACTTTGAGTTTATATACCACTGCTGCTTTTTCTCTCTCTTACACTTGCAGAGGCTTTAGGTTAAAAATGTAGCTATAGATCTGTTTTTTTACAAGCCTCAGAATTTCTGATTCCACCAAATAAAATAATTATGGAGGCTGTATGATTATAAGAAAAACTCACGCTAAAGTATTATCCCTGTGTTCAGACTGGATTCTATTATCTCCAGTGATAAGTGGGTGACTTTGACTGCTTTCTTACTCCTCCGCTTTGATGAATCCTACTCAAGATTGAACTCCAATGTCAGGATGAGCCCGTCTTTGACAGGGCGCTGTAAAGATATAGCCTTAATCGATCCATGCAGGATTCTCAATCTTACAGATAGAAGATATACTTTTTATCCTAAGGTGCACAAATCTTCAAGGAGCCAGTTTTTTTACACCAAAAAAAAAAAAAAAAAGATTTTGATTATCTTTTAAGAATTTCTCAGATAATTTTCTCACCAGTCACCCATAGGATTACCCAATCAAGTGAAGTCTTTTTCAATAAGAACTCAAAAGTCGATTTCAAATGGCCAAGAAAAACACTTCTTCTATTCCAATCAAGTAACTGATTTTTTGGTGTCTTTCATTCTTCCTTTTTGTTGTACCAATGAGGTCTACAGGCTCTGTAGTGAAAGAGAAAGAGAGAGAGAGACAGAGACAGAGACAGAGACAGAGAGAGAGAGAGAGAGAGATAAAGAGCTGAATACAAAAAGAGAGTGATTTTCTTTGACATTACACCCCCCAGATTTAGAGCATAGGAGTACTTTTGTTCTCCTGCTAATGCACTCTTTTCAGATCTTTACATTTTACAAGTACGTCGATGTTACACAAGTACGCCTTCATTCTGAGAAAAGTACGGGTGGACATGAAGTGCACGGATCTGACAAACAAAGGCACACAAATGCAAGGATGTGATTCATGATAATGGTCTGGACTGGATAATTGTAAAATTAAACTCTTTTTACATCTCCAATGCCATAATGGAAAACCCTACTATAAGAGCAATTATTCTCTCAAAGGAATTATGGTTTATCCTTTGTGCTCTTTACAGCAGAACACTGGTGAGTATGGTGGGTGGATGACATGTGGGATAATGCTCAGCTCAGTATTTCTCTAGCAGCTGCTACTCCAAGACCATGGACTCCTGTCTCCCACATGGGGCAGCTGGAGAGCCATCTGATTAGGCCAGCTAGTGTTGTTTTTTTCTGCCATGATTCACTGGGATGTGAAGGCTGCCATAAGAGCACATGCAATTACCCTTTGCTAGAGACATCCAATGCTACAGTTCAGAACAAGCCACGTCAATCAAGTTTGAACAAGCTTATCTGTTGTCTTTCACGAGTTTGTGTTGCTTTGAGCCGAAATAGATATCATTAATACATCACGACAACGATTTCTGCTAATGTTTTCCTTTTTTTTAAGAGCTTACGATGCTGTCTGATGTATATGACCTGTCCGTCTTTCAAACGCTCAACAAGATGTTATCAGACATGGCTGATGTTAATGACTTACGGTGAAAGGAGATTAAACTCCTCTACCCTGCAGCCCTGACAGCGACGCTCTCTTGAACGTTTTCCAAAACAAGACATGCGGGAAGCCTCGAAGGAGCAGAGTTCATGTGACATTGTGATCTTAAGAGTGTAAGTGACAGTGTGTGTCAGAGTAAATGAGACGCTTTCTGAGACATCAAGAGGAACGAATAACAGGGGGTTTGGGAGAAAAAGAAAAATCAAATAGCAGAATTAAAGTTGCAGGAGCGGTGCAGGCCACAGCTTTGGAAGTGAGACAAAGTTTTAAAATGACAGCAAAGCCCTCAAACCCAAACATTACAATATTTCAATTCTTATGGTCGGTGCTTTCACTAATTAGTTTAGAGACAGCACTGCTTCCTCAGAGCTGTATAACCCCAGGTTAATCTTCTACAAGTGCTAAAATGATAATAATTCACAGTGTAGCATGCCCTGATAACCAATACAGCACCAAAAAACAAGCTGATTAATGTTTCTAAGGTTTTTTTGACACATTCTCTTAGCTGGCAGACAGTAATTTGAATACAAGAATGATAATGAAAGAAAGATAAGAAGGCATCATCTGTCATAAAGTGTGATATTGTTAATAAAGGATCCTATTTATTTTTTTTATTTTTATTTTTTCCCAACAAATATATTTCTGCTCTCAAATGGTCCAAATTCAAAGTACCTCTTTCATGGCGCCCTAAGGCTCTCTGGAAATACATGTAAAATATCTGCCAAGCAAATGGCCAGAGCTTCAGATTTTGGCAGAATAATTGGGGGACTATGAATAACATGTTTTGTGCCATCTCAAACCTTTAAGCTGGAATAAAGATCAGTCACAATTAGGCACTAAATGTTGATGTTTTGATTCCTTCTGCTCTCTAGAAGTGAACTGCATTGACCAGAGTGCAGAAGACAAATGTTGTTGATCTCATCCTATATTTAAGTAATTCAATGAGCAAAAATTCGATTACAAGAAAAACACACATGGAGCATTTGCATAATGCCCGAAGCTGAAATTCAGTTACAATGAATTATGACTGGGCCAAACACATGAATGACTCCTTCCACTGCAAACATGTCTTGTACTGCATGCAACCTTGCTGGTGACATCCATTTTCATTTCCCTTCTTGTTTTTTTTTTCTCCTGAAAGTTTAATAAAAATCCTTTTGGGGGCTTAGCATGCACAGGAGGCTCGTCATCAGGCTTTTTCTCCTTTTCACACTCAACACTATTGATCTATTGCTGCGAATAATTGGGAGAAATTAAGGGGTATGGGGTCACAATCACTGCATCAATGAGATTGAAAGAAAGGTGGAGCAGAAGTGAAAGGTAATGATAATGTTCTAGGCTACGGGAGGCAATGAACCATGAATAGATTTCAGGGGCTCACACTAATGGTAACTACGGTGTTGTTGAGGTGACCTTAACATAATTTACAAAACAAATCCAGTTTGATACATTACAATTTTTTCTTTATAAGCTTCCCTAGCAGTGGACAGCAGGGGTGTTGAAACAGTGTTGTTTAAAAACGACACTCAGTCAGCCCTGCTTGGAACTAGTATCTACATAAATTTACTAACAGACATGCAAAACTAACCAAAACACTCGGAAACTTTCCCATTTTGTATGAAACATTTTCTGAAATCTAAAGTAATCTAAACCACATATCAAAGGTGAACTGTTATGCTGATTCCTATTTTGATACATACTTCTTAGATTACAGTGTTGGATGACCATACAAAACTGCTGCAAAGTTCAATGACACACATACATGGACTCTCTCCTTCCAGTATTTGCTGGATTTACATCTGGACTGTGACTGAAACCTGGGACTGTTCCATCTATAAAAACCACAATAATAATAATAATAATAATAATAATAATAATGCATCAGATTTCATATAGCGCTTTATCAGCACTTTACATTGGATACATCATATATTGGTTCACACAGTCACACCCTGGCGGTGGTAAACTACCTTAGTTGGCACAGCTGCCCTGGCGCAGACTGATGCAAACGTGGCTGCTAGTTTGTGCCTACAGCCTCTCCGACCACCACCTCACAATCATACACCAGTGGAGGACACACACTGGGAGCAAGGTGGGTTAAGTGTCTTGCCCAAAGACCAAACCGCCAACCTTCGGGTTCGGATAACCGATTCATATAGACTCTGCCCTCACAAGCTATAGATAACACAATGGCAGGTAATGCAACAACAGCGTTACCTGTCATACCTGCAAACACATGCTAATGTGGCAAAAAAGCTCATACAATACAATGCAATTTGGGGACAATGACCTTTAACGACTGTCCCAAAGATTGTTATTTTAGTCAGGCCTCTAATCACAAGCATTAAATTGCACGGCTTGTCCTTTTTTTAATACCCAGTATGCTGCATACAAAGCCAGTTTGTGAGTTTAGAGTTATATGCAAAAACAGTCGAGCAGAGCAGGACTTTTAAACCCTTAATAATCATCCTAATGGAACAAACATTGCCAAATACCTCTAAACCTTTCACGGGCAACAATGTCCTTGCACTGCTCCACCAGCACTATTTTTGGTGATGAATGTACCTAAAAAAAACACTACAGTCAATGGCTGGCAACCCATGAGCATTTAGACATTCATCTGTGCCCTCACTACAGGATAACTAGCTCCCCGAGTCTCACTGCAATTTAGTCAAGCCTGCCAATAATGCGTTTACCTCTTGCAGTGTGCTGCAGGCTCCCTACATATCTTATTTCCCAGTACCCCATACTCCCACTCTCTCTCTCGATCTCTCTCTCTCTCTTTCGCACTACATTGCACACTGCACAATGGGCAGTGATGTCAAACCTCCCACCCTTGTATCTTCAGGGTTGAATTAGAAGGCAACCTCAGTCATTTCTCTATAAGCCCAGCTCTGTGTAGCTGGTTTGTGGGTCTGCAATATACCTTGCGGTTGTTTGTCCGAATCAACACTACTTGTAATAACCCTCATGATTAGATAAGTCATAACCAGATCCTGCTGTGATTGATTTTTTAAACAAAGCCTTGGGGAAGCTGGAGAAATAAAATACTGAATAGAAACTGTGGTGTCAGTACCCAAGATCCTCTCCAACGCAGTTCAACATTTCAACTTTCTGTGTTTTGTGTGACTCATTCATGTTTGTTTGTGTGCATGAGTGTATTTCTGTGTTTGCCTACAAAACAATGTGCGTGTTCATCTCTAAGAAGACAAGGGTGTGTGTGTTTCTACTCTGTGTGTTGGTGAAATCTGGAAATCTACCTACACATCTTACTGTTTTCTTTCACTCTGCCATTCAGAGTGTTTTAGGGATTCCTGCTCCAAAAAGAGTCTCGTATGAAAAACAGTGTCAAGCTGTGTAATGAGGGCATTTCTCCTGTGGTTTGGTCCTATTTTGGGTGGTGGAAAACCGTTGGTCTGCAGTGGAAGATTTGTCATGTCTGTGGCAGTTGTTTTAGGAACCATACTAAATATATTCAAAATAACTAGAGAGTAGAGTTAAAGCATCAGCAGGTGCTTCTCATCTACTTTAAAGTCCCTGATACATGCAATAAATAGTGAATGACATAATTCTGACTTTTAGATGGTGTTAACAGCTAATATCAAAAACTGACCATATTTTAAGAACTGCAGAGTATTTCCTATCTGCCAAAAAAGGCCTGTAGTCACTTCATCTCACACAGTTATTGGGCAGAGAGAAGGTGCAATATGTGTATGAGCGAGTGAACATCAGGTACATTAAGTACAGATTATCAGATGTGAGTAATTCTACCTGCAGGCCCTGGCTCAGCAGTCAGCACTGATTTTTCATCAGCCTCGGGAATGTTGTTCCGCAGCAAAGTCTGCACTGTGACTTTACTTCTGAGGAGAGCCACAAATTATATGTAATCAATAAATACCATGCTATTATTGTCTCAGATTTGTCTTTAAAACACTGTGAAACGATGTCCAGCTGGGTATGTTGGGTAGAATGACAAGCTCCAGTAATACACGCAACGCAGTTAGACAAGGCGCAAAATAGTTAATGGCTTAATTTTCTACATGTTCTCGTGGCAGATTTGTTTTTGGGTCAGACTGAGGATTCTCTCCTTCTTCCTCTTAATGAATTCTCAAATGCACAATTGGTTCACTGAAACTGTAATAATGGCATTTCTGGTGGATAACTTTGAGACAAATTACTTTTTTAAAAACTCCTGCTTAAACTGAGAGGCACTAACTGACTGTGATTGAACTTGAACATGTTTTGCTGTAAAGCTGCTGGCCCCAAAACCCAATTTCTGTGATAGAGCGTGGATGACTTGGTTGATGTATAATGACGTACAGGACCGGGTTAGGGGTCCTGTACTCTGATGACAGCCCGCATGTTCTGATTCTGACAGACTCTGCCCTCTCTCTTCACACAGAGGTCTGTGGAGCTGAAATGTACTCTCATCAAAGGTGATGGCAAAGGACCTCAGAGAAAGAGCTGCTGAGCCCCTCGACACAAAAAAATCACAAGAGAGGGGATTTCTAGAGCACTGGAGCATCATCAATCAACAGCTATAGCTAAAAAAAGAAATATTAAACATGACTTATGACACTGTTTCTCCTCATCTAAGGTTTCATTTGGAAGAAAACTTCATGCCATTGCTTTTACCTCCATGTACTTCATGTGCAGACAGAACAACGATAACCTCAGAGCCGGCGCAGATGGCAATCATTAAAGAAACATTTAATTTCAGATTGTTCCAGGAAAAAGTGCTGAAGAATATCAGGGTAGTTGTTTGTGAGTTAAAACTGAACGTATCTTTCGTCACGCAGTTTAATAATCGCCCTTAACACAAAGGTTACTCAGTTACTCAGAGGCTTGGAATCGTTTAAAAATTTGGGGTAGTCACATTCCTGACCTTGAACCAATTAAAATCCTGTAGCATGACTTGAAACAAGCCATCCATGCAAGTTATTCAAAAATACCAATTAACTCTAGCTGCTAAGTAAACAGTAATTGTCCAAATTTTCCCCTTATTTGCTCTGCAGACCTGATCAGCAGCTATAGAGAAAAACACATACTACTCATACTCTCTAAACAGAAGTTTCAACAGGGTTTTGTTTAAAAAAAAATCAACTCGCTGGGGCTATATGCTATATTTTTATTACAATTCTTCTCACACTTCCTGTTTAATGTCATTCTTTAAAGTGCATATGATATTGCCCATATGTATACTGTTCATGCATAAAGTATGACGCTGTTCGGGGCTTGTATTATGCTTTCAGGCCCTACTTCAGTATTCTGATAGCCTGAGGATAAAAACTGTCTTTCATGAGAACGCTTATGTATCTCCCGTTCTCTTTCCAGCTCTGACAAATGTGAAGCTGTGGGCCATAGACCGACAATGTTTCCAGACCATCATGATGAGGACAGGCCTTATCAAGCACACGGAGTATATGGAGTTTCTGAAAAGGTGAGAATCTAGGGGTAATTGTTACACAATGACCGCCAAATGGTATGAATAGGACTTTGATCTGAAAAGCAATGAATGAATTAACTAAATGAATTCAGGAGAATATGTAGGAGCTGCTTCTCAGGACATTACTCATTCCTCGTTTTTGCTGATTAATTATGTAGCTAAACATTAATTTCAGCTGCATAACGAGTCATCATTCATCTTGGTTTTAAACCTTTAACTTTACAATCCTTCTATAGCGTCCCTCTCTGTATCCAAGCCCCACTCAGCAACTACATCTCTATAGAGCAGTCTATTATCACTTGAAAGACACTCTTCTGATTCTTCTGAATGAAATTTAGGATAAAAGAAATACTAATTAAAAGACAGAAGGAGTGCAGTTCACAGTGACCAGGATGCAAGAGATGCAATTACAATGAAAACTTTGGTCGTCTGTTATCTTTAACCCGATTTCTGCTTCTGTTTTTGTCACCCAATTTGGTCTTTATCAACCCAATTATTAAAATTGGGTTTATTTTAACCCTTTCATGCCTGAAACCACAAATTATGGTCAGCAAATTCAATTTTTTTGGGAGCTGAAATGTTTATTTCACTTACTACTGCAAACCAAAAAAATCAAAATGTCCTTAAAATTTAACAAATATATATATTTATCTTGTTTGATAAACTAGATGTTTTTGGAAACTGATAAACTACAAGAAGACATTATTATCATATATCGGACTGTAGGTGGTTTTTTTTAGTAATTTTTTGATCATATCTGTTTGATAGAAGTATCATAGAAGTATGGATAAAATATGATACAAAAGGCATTAAAGGGTTAAAGTTGCTTCTTTATTATCTTATATTCTTGCTGAATGCACCGCACTTATTTATAAAGGTTAAAAAAAAAAGCTCTACAGAGACCTCAAGACTCACTGCAACAACAGTCAAACCAACAAATCCATGATTTAAAATGATAATGTTTTTGCAAAACCTGGTTCATTCACTGAAATAAACACTGATATAACTTTCAAAGGCTAGTGAGACCATCAGGAGGAAGACCGACTGACCTCATACAGTTATTTTCAATGTGTCAGTGCTGCCACTGAGTCAGAGGAAGCAATTTACAACACACTACGCAGAAAAAAACTCCAACTTATGTTTCTGATGAGCTTGATGGTCAAAGGACCGACATGTACGGATCAGAAAGAGCAGAGACAAGATGTACCCTTTTGTCCACAGGGGTTTGCCAAATCAACACAAAAAAAGCTCCTCACAGCAGCTGTTGAAACTGCTCAGAAAAGGCGCACTACCAGGGAAAGTGATAAGATGAACTTCATAAAAAAAAAAAAAAGAGAGAGAGAGAGAGAGAGAGAGAGAGAGAGAGAGAGAGAGAGAGAGAGAGATGAGATATTGTTTGAATAGCACAACAGGCTCTCTTTCAGACAGCTGTGCCAGGCACTGACAGTCACTAAACCAGGCCACGAGAGAAAGGCAACAGCTCTGACAGAGTAAATCGGCTCGTTTTTTCCAGTAGTATATAATATCTCACTGCTCTACCTTCTACTGCTGCTTATCATGGGGCTGTCACAAAAGATACATAGCATGCAAGGTTCATGTGGGTGTTTTCCAAACCCTTGACCATAATGACAACACTGTTATTTTTCTTGCCACGACAATCTCCCCGGAGTGTATAATAGCCTGCCATTGTCAGATCAGTCCTGACAAAGCCCCTTCATCCTCTACTGTACCTACAGTATACTCCTCATCAGTCTGTACTGTAGAGCATCAGAAACATGTTTGCACTCTTTTAAGTCTATTTTCAATTTTAAGACTGAAGCTATTTTAGTGATAGCCTCAACTAAAAAAAGGTGTAAAGCACTTTCTATCTCTTTACTGAGCATGAAAGCATGTGCACTATACCAGCTCTCCCCTCTCAGCCACTCTTGCGTAACAGTCCAACAGATAAGTAAATATTTAATAGATGGACGTATTGCTTGGTTTGGCTCGCTCTGTGTTTGGTTTGTAGAGGGGTATCCAGGGAGGAAATTTGAGATTTATAACAACGTTTGTTAATTCACAAGATGTAGATAATTATGTTGCTGTTTTGTTTCCTAGAAGCAGATCTAATAAAAGAGCTGTAGTGAAAGCGTAAGAACAAACACATGCTGGTCCCTGTGAGGCTCCTTCTACCCACTCTTTAACTGCTGTGAAATTATATATTAGCTCTCAAGTTGCGGAGGAGGAAAACAGATGAAAAATTGACTGAGAAATCCCACATTGTATTACGGTTGGGAAGTGAGTGTATTTAGGCAGACATGTTTATAATCTTTTCCCAGAATGTATCATAAATCCCTTAAACAGATAACTCGAGGAGGAGAGCTGCAAGGGTAGCATCTAATGAGCAGAAAAACATTACCTAGAGAATTTGTATTGATGTAGCATTGATATTTTTAACGCCAGTCGGCCATTACTAAACTCGCAACTTCAGATAAAAGTCTGGCTGCAAGGCAATGAATAGAAGGCCATTTGCAAACAAGTTTAAGCATGGGAAAGCATTATAAAACCCTCATCAAAAGGCTCTTGTTTCTTCTAGGTGTTTGCAAGATAACCGCTGAAATTATCAACAGTGATATCGTGCTTCACTTTAACTCATGCAACACCAAAAGAGCACTGATGGTGGGAGATTAAAAATGATCAAACAGACCACATTAATAAAACTGCACTTCCCTGTTGGCCCTAAAATGACAAATTATTTGCTCTAACACCATGAAGCCGTAGTATAAATTACACTTGTTGTTTGTATTAACAGCAGCGCGGCTCGAGGGATTCAGACTCCATATGCTTCATGTAGAGTAAGGTCACCCTCTCACTGTCAAGCTGATTGGTTAGTGCCTCTATCAAGGAAACAACAGCACAAAGATCATCAGCACAGCCACTAAGGCCTGGTTTGGGGGCTGAGACTAGATGGTTCAGATTACTGTAATAAAGCATGGAAAATTGAAGGAGGGGCGGGGGTGAGATGTTGAGAGATAAGGGCTTTGTTCACCAACACCAGTTATTTTCTCTCCTCCTTGATAAACATTGGACCAGCAAAGCAAAGATAACAAACCACACTGTGGCGTACTAACCTTTAGTGCTCTGTAACTACACACATTACCATGCTGAAATGTTTATTTTTGCAAACTGTAATACAATATACAAGCCATTTCCCTCAGCACTCTGTTTGTCTTAATGTATCCTGTATTCAGGATGGCTGTAATTCTCTTGCAACTTCTGCCAGTAAACTGTTTTCTTTGTGTTTGGTTTATCTGAGAGCCACACAAGAGCTGATCAGTAGGACATTTAATAAAAGTGTACCTATATGTTCTTCCATCAAAAGCCTTTTTCTTTCTTTTTTTTTTCTGCAGCGTTCCTACATTTCACGGCTTGCAGGAAGATATTCTGAGCAAGCTTGCAGATGTCCTTGAGGAGGTAAGTGCCTTTGACATCTGCAGCACAGAGTCGACTCCATACATCTAGATTTTCCATACACTCGCTTTCTTTTGTTGCAATGGAGGAACAGAGCCAAATCTCAGATAATGAATAAAGATAATATAGATTTCTTTTAGGCGGGGTGTCATTGTGCACAGTTTGTACACTATTTTCTATCTTGCACTTATTTAGTATTTGCTCGATGAGTAGATGTCTAACTATACTAACAGTTATTTGTATGAGCCTGTGTTCAGGGTTGATCGAAGCAAACTACTGCAAATTCTAATTAGTGTTTAGAGGTTACATCTACTGCGACTTAAATTGTTTAAGTTTTTCTTTTTTAAATAAACTTTTGGAGTGACGCAAGTGAACTAAAAGTGAATGAATGCTCACTGTTCGCTATGATAAATGAAAAAAACTGGACAGTTCCCAAACTGCACTCACAATTGAATAAAAATGGCTGTCTAGAGGGCAGAAAATACATTAAAAAGTCTCCACACTTTGCACAAGCTGCTTGATGGACGGCTGTTGCGAAATGCAATCTGTTACAAACAGGCTAAAACATGTCATTTTGTAGGATGTACCCCTCACACTGATGACAGAGTGCATTTTTAAATGTGTCCCAAAAATCACATTTCTACCCCTCTGCACATCACTTTATTTGATGTATTTTCACCAACGTAATTTAGTTATGCATGACTTTCTCATTTACACCTCATGTGTACTGCCAGCATGGGGGCTTTTAATGTTTTCAGGCACATTCAAATACAGCCTTCTCCTTCTTTTTTATATGTAATTCACAGCCAATGTGTCATCATTTATAAACCAAAGAGAAAATAGTTTGAGTCTTACCCTGAGGGATGGATTGACCATGTGATGCTTAAGCTGATTTGGGGTAGGAGTCTCAAGTTGTGTCTCCTGCAAAAACAGCAAATGAAAGACTCGCATTTTAAACACATTTTCAACCCACAATCGATGCAGTAAAAAAGTCATGCGCTGACTTTATATGAACTGGATAAATGTGCTAGAATGTAAGTAAACAGTTTGTCATTGTACACAGCCAACTCTTACTACATCTCCATAGAGTGAGGCTGGATTGGAATTGAATCGATTTCAATACACCATCTTGTGTTCCATCCATCCAGTGGCATTTTGTAGAGTTGCAGTTTAAACTCCTCAGTGAGTTTCTTCCTCAGAAGAGTTTATACCTGTTTTTACATCTGGTACTACACAGGAGCCATTCTGTACAAATCTGTAATGTCATACATTACAGATTTCAAACAATGGTTGTTATGGCCTGCAGTGAGGAAAATGAAAGTTGCGTGTGTAACGTTGCTCGTAGGTGAGTGTGCACCAATTAGCTCAACACCCGTTATTAGATAGATTACAGAAGTATGTTTGAGAACATGTTTTGTACCTTGGCTAAAAGGGCTTGTCCTGTGCTAGTGTAATAAGTTTTTTTTCTAACATTTGTACCAAGATATAACCTAGATAAGTGCTTAAGTACATCCACGCAAACAGCCAAATACCCTCTGCTTCCATGTTTTGATGAACCTACTCAGTCACATACATCTGTAAAGATTCACCATTAGGATAATTCGGACTAACCTCCATCTGACGAGAGTGTGATATCGTCTTTAAAGACTTTTTAATGAAGGGTTAATCAGTGATTTTTAAAGTTTGGTTAAAGCAAGTTGCACACAGCTCATAAGAAAAAAAAATACCAGTGGAGTAACCGGCGTACAAGATGATAGCCGCTGTGATACAAGTAGTTAATCTAGAACAGTAATATAAGTGTCATGTTATATGGGTATGCCCTTTTTGTATTTAGAAAAACATTTATGGGCCACACTGAGAAGGTCATGGTTTAAATCAAGTGTGGTATTTGTTGCATCATTGCATGGAGCTTTTCTTGAAGTGGGTAAAATAAAAACTGACAATGTAAAGGCCTGACAGTTATTGGGGTCAGAAACTATGTTACTCAGACAAAGCAGTTCAGCTCTGTCTGTTGAGATACTGAGAGGCAAGAGGACAAAGACAAGGAAACCTATTGGACCACAAATAACAGCAATTATGGATGTTGTGGGGAAATCAACAAGTAGAAAATAAAGAAAGAAAAGGCGAAAGAAGCTCTGCTGCCAACAGTCTGCAACTATTAAGTGTAAATCCAGAGAAACATGAGTAAACAACATGAATCATGGGGAGTGCAGGCCGATAAATAATATGTTTATAAATGCAAAAGCTCTAAGATGATTTTTGGTGCAGACCTACTTCTTTATAATCTTTAAATGAAAGTTACAATTCATTTGTAATGTTTAAAATATGTTTGGCACTATGTTAAAAACCATTAGTGACTCATACTCTAATCAAACATCCTTCTCATTTCTGTAACCTAATCATCTTTAACCCGAGCCATTTGAAGAGGGTGAGCTCTTTAACCAACAATTAAATTCATGAGGTACTCATGCTCAGCACAAGCAAATATACCTATGATTTTGTACATAGTATACACTGTACAACATTAATATGTTAATAACAATATGAAAATGAAATGTTTGGAAAGACATGAGAGATATTTGTGTGGATGTACTCAGATGAGTGTTGGCTGAATGACGTATTAGTGTTTGAATATTGGTTTAATTTGTATGAACAGCACCATAGATGCAGTAAGTGACAAGCATGAAAGGAATGCTACAATGAGTACAATCTCACATCAGACGCTTTGAGTGATTTATTTGCTGTCATTCTTAAAAACGACCCATAGTATGTGTTATATGACCAGCTCAAGGTTTCTCTTATTCTTTAATAATTTGCATTTCTACCAAGAGGCTCTTTTGTGACGGCGGTGCGAGGTCACATAATGGTCAAATCCATCATGCTGTCCTATGTCCTGTCCTCTACTATAATGGATAATTTTGGTCTCAGATTGATTCTTGATTTAATCAGTCTAGCTTCTTTTCTGTTTTCCTCCCTGAAGGAATGCCGGAGGATAACAATGTAATAAATAACACAAAATTACATATCGTAACTTCAACCTTCTTCTAACAAGAGGTTTTGGTTCTGAGTCATGTTGTATGTATGAATCAGACAAACTCTCTTCTGTGTAAAGTAAGATGTAAGGCACCTTTCCTGGGTGAAATGGTGGGGGAATAAAAAGCTGGCAAATGCAGCGTGGAATCTACATATGATCTGACAAGGATTGCTGAGCCCTCTCTCCAGTCTAGACTTGAGATCTGTTGAGGCATCTGATTGTGTACTTTGCCAGAAAAACTGAAAATACCCCTGTGACCCAGTGGATGAAGTAATATACTTAAACAAAAAAAAGCATATAGCTCTTCACATCAATCAGCATCAGATTTGAGCCCGCTGCCTCACAGCTCTAAAATGGATACTGAGGACTGATTCAGAAAGATTCACCGGAGCTGACCTGTCCTCCAATCAGGACTTATTCACATCCAGAGTCACGAAATCAGGCAGGAAACATCACAGCAGATCCATCACACCATGACACATTCAAACATCTCGGCTCCGGGAGGTGTTACAGAGCTCTCAATGCCAAAATACAGCAGCTTTGCATAGGCTGTCACTCTGATGAACGGTTAACACTGATCACCTGCTGTTAGGAACAATCACGTCTCACAATCATCAACTCTGCAGTATGTGAAAATTCTATATTTTTCTTGTCTGTATACTAAAAGACATGAAAATACCATCGCCGTGAAGACCCACATGCTGCCTGTACAATAATTTCCTCCTTAATTGTGCATATAAAGCCAGCTATTACATAACTGACACTATCATTATTAATTTAGCACCTGTTGCATTATTCACTGGTACACTGTTGTCTCACTTTCTGCAAATGTTATTGTGGTTTTGTGTTCATGTGAATATATCATATTTATTCAGGTCTTTAATATTCATATCTCTTTGAGTTTCATGTTTTTTTAAGCTTTATTTCAACCGCATCCTTATTCTTATCATGTTTATGTATATTTCTTCTTCTTGTGTCCGGTACATCGTGACATAACATGATTTCTGATTTTCTCTCCCTGGCCAAGGTTTCATCTCATTATGTCATCATATACATCACTTTTCCATACATTGAAGGAGAGTGTCCTTGAAATAATCGCATTCCTGAAGGTTGTCCTCCACACATGATGTGACTGGATGTGCCACTGTGTACTTATCTATTGTTAAGCTTTGTGCTCTAGTAGAGACCGGTCTGGCAACTTGGGTCAGCTCCAGGGGCTGAGACTCTCAACAGGATTACAGGGTGTAGAAAATGGGTTGATGGGTGGATATTCCGTATTTGTTTTAGCTTTCTGCAAAGCTGGGATTTAACTTCTGATTTGACACAGTAGCACTCATTTGTTCACCTATTTTCAAAACCTGCTGTATTCCCAGCCGTGGGGCATTTACAAGCATTGTAGTGTTGAAGGAAATGAAACACCCAAGGGGCATTAAAGGACTAGTTTTAACAAGTAAAATAACGTATAATTGGGATTTGTCTCAATGCACCTCATTCAGCCATTCCACCTGTTCGTCAGTGGTGAGGGCATCTCACTCTTATTAAGAGAAAAGAGACAAGAGCACTACACAGAGCCTGAATAACATGTCTTTTCTTTGATCTTCTCTCCCCTTTCAACAGACCCATTATGAAGATGGAGAGTACATCATCAGGCAGGGGGCCAGAGGAGACACCTTCTTCATCATCAGCAAGGGAAAGGTGAGGAGAGAGCCTCCGGCCTACACCGAAATAATCATGAGGGCATCATGGCACATCGTCTTGTGATCTTTAAAGCAAAATGGTAGCACTTTAAGGTAAAAGTTGGCTTTCATCAATCATCTTGAGCTGGGTGAGAGGGAGACAGATGCACCGCCTCTTTCATCATTTTATGCAGCAGCAATAGGAGCTTCTAGGAAGGAGAACGGAGTCACTTTCATTTCACCTCTCTGTCATCAACACGTTTCACACCGAGCACGGATGACTCGTCCTGTAGCAGCACTGTTGGGGGGCTTTCATGTTCATTTCTACTGTACTGCTCTTCCTCTGTGGTTTCTCCTGCTCAATATTTTCCTTTTTTTTCATCATTTTCTTTCCTTAGCAACAAGTTTAGGTCGATTCCCTTCTTCTTTCCCTTTATTCACTTCTCCTCTGTTTGACCCTGCATTTCTTTCTCTTCATTAAAAGATACATCTGTAAACAGTGGCTTACTAGATGACATAATCAACCTCACATAAAGGTGAACACTGGTTTAAATTGCACGCCCCATACAGAGGCTTCAGCCCTTGATGGTGATGGTCAGGGTTCAATTCTAATACATGTTATTTGCCTTTATTGATAGGATAGTTGAAGACAGGCAGATATCATAGAGAGTGGGGAGCAGACATGCAGCAAAGGTTTGTGGCTGGCAGTCAAACCACCAACTGCAACAAGGACCACAGCGCCTGTATATAGCAAGCTTAAACTGCTAGGCCCCTGCATTCAGATTCGACCCATGCTCACTTTTCCAAGAGTCTTTTTCTACCCACTTTTCTGTCCATAAAAAAGGCATAAAAGGCTTAAGATTAAAACATCTCCACCTTCTCTACTGTACAAAAGTGATGCCAAAATGTCCCTAATTTGTATCTAACCATTTACCAATTCAAAGATGCCTTAGGATAATACAGGCCAGAGTTTAACAGCCTCTTCAGTTCGATGGTTATAAGGAATAATTTTATAGTGTTGAGGTCTTTACACACCAGGCAATAGGCAAAGCAACACAAGTAAAAGACACAAAAAGGCGAATGATTCGCCGGCGAATTTTTTCTGTACACAGAGAGTGTTGTGGAATATTTTAAGGGACTTGTCCCATAAAGCAAGGTGTTCCTGCACACAAATGATAAAGTGCTCAGTCATGATGAATGAATGCAGACTCGGGCTGATGCTGCCAATGAAGTTTGGATGTGACGTCATCGACATAACATCATTTTGATTGGTCAGAGGTCTGGCCGTTCGCCTTTTCGCCTCTGCAAAATTCGTCATGAGCGAATAAACAGCAGTTGCTTTTTCGCTTCGCATATTTCGTTGCCAGTGTGTAAGGTTGCATTGACTTCAATAGGTTTAAAAAAAACCCCTATTGAAGTCAACTCGAATTCGCTCCTGGTGTGTATGGACCTTTAGTGTACATCCTTCTGTCTCTTGTTGTTCTTCCTCTACTTGCAAAGAAGTTTGTGAACAGAGCAAATCGCTGTATTATACCGCGTTTTACAAAATCAAGTAACTCAAACTTAGCCTCTCAGAAATGACCTTTTAGTAGAAATAATAACATCACCAAAACAAATCAGGATGGTAGAAAACATGTTTGAGAAAAATGTCCTTGGTGTGTATTTTGGTTTTAAAATTTGACCTATTTTCCATCAGTTGACACAAAGGAGGCAGGGTTTATAACCTATAATAAAGCCAGTCAGGGGGGAGCTCAAATGTGTTTTTGCTTTAGTCTTGGGGTGCTGTAATGTTGTCCATCTACCTGAACAGTCTACTGTGTTAGCTAGTTATTTGTAACCACAAAAGGCACAACATGGCCTATGAGAGGTGGTAGAGGTCAAAGATATATAGAAATTCATCCATCAAGAATGTTTTTCACCATGTTTCTATATGTCCAGGGTGTACTTTAAGTGCCAGTGTAAAGAATGAAGATATTTTATGTTCCCTACTGTCCTTTTTTAACTCCCCTTCGACCCCAAACAGATGCAACCCACTTCACAAGGTCAACACACATACATCATGGCCAAACACACTTATGGACACGAACATGACCATACACACACTCTCTCTCTCTTACACACACAAACATCCCTGACCTTATCATTGCTTTCTGCTTGGCTGTTTCCTCTTCTCTCACTTTATCTCCATCCAGACCACAGACGGCACACTTTGTCTAGAGGACATTCTGCCAATTCAGCCGTCTCCCGATATACACACTCATCCTGCCCTTTGGTCCGTACTTTCCATCTTCTCAAATTCTCAGTGCTGTTTATTCTCTTTACTTTTACCCTTTTTCTCACATCATACAATGTTACTCAATTGTAGACAGCATTACAAGTGGAGGGTGTGCTGCCACACCTGTGCAGAGCTGACTAATGGATGAAGACAAGATCCTTCATTAGGCCAAACAACCGTCTCCATTCATTTCCTCCAAGATCTACTCAAGTGTCATCGCTTGATTTCTAAGGTCTAGCGGCGCAGCACAGCCCCATCACTCACATGTCATCTGGCTAATGAAGTGGTCAGCCACGCCTCCGCATTCTTGCATGGGAACCGCAGTCACCTGTTTATATCAGAGAAACCTGTCACTGAGACTTCTCCTTTGTGTCATTTTATGTGTAAATTAGATGCTATCTTCTCTCTGGAATTATTCGCCCCCACCTTTGTTACACCGTTTCCCTTCCCAGCACTCATCTTCCTGTATTTCCTTTCTTTTCCCAGGTTAATGTGACTAGGGAAGACTCGCCCAGTGGAGAACCGGTCTACCTGCGGAGCCTTGGAAAAGGAGACTGGTTTGGAGAAAAAGCACTGCAAGGGTAAGATTGCCCTTGATAGCACTGCCTCTTCCAATTGAAATCTCCTGCTCTCTAGCTGCTCGCTGCACTGTCACCTCTGTTGCTATTTATTTCCACTCGCAACCAGTTTTTAATGTCCTTCATCTTCCACTCAACATGCATCCACCTATCCAGTCCTCTAGATAATCAGTCAGCTTTCAACTCTTATCTGTCCTTATTTTTCTCACCACCACCCAGCCTCCTTAAGACGGGTGATCATTTTTAAGTGTTTGGCAATACTCTGTGACAGGGAACATGGAACGACTCCCAGACTAATTTATTGTGGCTGCTAAAGACACATTTTTTAAGTGTTACATGTTTTTTTTTTCCTTTGTCTGAACCGTAAAAGCTTTTAAAGTTAATCTGAACTTGGTTGTTCACCACTCACAGTAGTTTTTTTTTTTTTTTTTTTTAACTTAAAAACATTTTAGCCAAACATGACAAAATGTGATTTCCTGTTCCTCCAACTTAAACACTCTACAGCATGACTGTTGACAGACAATTATATTATATAATGTACAAACTATGACACACAGTCAGTTTCTCAAAACAAAAGACAGTCATAACCACATAAGCTGACACCAGTCTATAGTTTAAACACAATTACAGATACCACAATACAGAATCCTTAATTACAAGTGGACCTTGGTGTTTGACGGTCATATTGTATGCTCTCAGCTGAACACACTTGCCTCTTTTAAACAATATTATCTATCCACTCGTTTTACTCTCCTCTCTTTTCTCTTCCCTTCCTGTCTCGGAGGACAGGGCTTGAAGATATCAAGGACATCGTCATACCGTCCTTGACTGTTATAATGAATTTCCAGCATCTCTACATGTCTTTTATGAACATTTGTGTTAAATCTGTAGTTGCAGTTTCAATTGAGATAGAGAGAACATGTTATAAATGAAAAGTACCAACTAGTACACTATGTAAGCCACGGACTGGATTATCTATTCTAGCTGTTAAGATGTACTCAGGCACATACGAAGTATCCCAGTTTTGTATACTGTATCAAATGTATCAAATGACTCAGAGCAACCGTTAACATTTGGTGCCATCTGAGCACTCAAATACTTTCATTGTAACAACACTCCAGAGCAATAAAATTATTTTATATGCCAGCTGGAGACAAAGAGCAGTGCCCTGAAGTGATGTCTTTACCCTGCTGTTTGCCCTGTCTTGTCATGACAGAGCGTCTCCACGGGCAATGTTTTATTAAAACAGAAGCAGGGTAGAGATAGTCCAAAGTGTATAACCGCTGGAAGGGGTCAGGTAGAAACAGAGAGCACTCGTGCACGTAAATCTGAGTGACTATACACACAATGCCGGCAGTGACAGCTTGAAATAGTGGGGATGTCGCCATCTCCTGGTGGCTAAATGTGAGAGGCTGACCTTAGAGCTGTCAACCCCTCAAACCTTAAAAATCATCGAACAGGCGCTAGGTAAACACAGAAAATGAAGATGAACCGAGGCGGTATGATGTTTAAAGTTTGTCACAGGATGAGTGATTGTTGTCACTTGTGAAAGAACGGTGTAGTTGTGATGTTCAGGGGACAGCTGGAGATGCACAGATGGCTGGGCTTTCTCCTTATGTTGAAGCTAATGACTGCAGGAAGACAGAGTATTAAAGTGCATGCAGAACAAAAGGTTGATCCCTTGGCAGTGGGAGAATTAGACTGATCAGACAAAAATTTGATCAGTTAACACTGTCGAGATGTGAAAAGAGCCGCCTAAAAAGATGACACAAAATAATCATTTTTAATGGAGGGAGCAGCTGTTCGTCCTGTACACTAATGACTAATTTATGTGTAACCACATAAATATAGTATAAAAGACATGCTTGTCAGTACACATAAATATATGTTTATTTTTTCCGGTCTAACAAGAATATTAATTCAAGTAGTGTGCTGCTTCTTTAAAGGGCCTTTGAGAGCATCTCCAGCTTTGTTCAACCTTTGACGACGTATCTTTCTCTACAGCCTTTCAAAACAAAGCACCCTCCTACCTCAGCACTGTTAGGCGTCACGAACATCTCCTTTTGTCTCAGAGCGTCTTGAATGAGAGAAGCCTCTTCAAATACACCTTTGATGGTCGAACATGTCTTGCAAATTTAAATGACTGTGATGCCAGTCATCTTGGACGCAGGCTTTTGATCAGAGGGCTCTTCTGCGGGGCACTCTCTCTAATTAGAAGTTAACTGTGTGTGTCCTTGCTCACAAAATTCAAAAGCCGCCCCTACTCAAAGGCTACTTTGTCCACCTGAAGATGTTGCCTTTGATCCATGAGAACAACATATTTACAAATCAAAGTCAGTTTTCCTGCTGGCTATAATGATTTGTTGGAGGTGAGTGGGTTGGGTGATACATATGAGTTTGTTCATCAAAGCAGCTAAAAATATCTAACACTGCATGTTTTTCAAACCAGTTGTGTAACCCTTAATTGGTACGCGTATATATCTAACCCCAGTTGATGGATGAAGTAGACTCGGGTTTGACTTATATGTCATGTTACACTATTTCTGTCATAGTCAAGTGTGAACTTTGATTTGAGGTGTAGATCCATAGAGAATAGACAGTGTGGCTCTGACTTCCGCTGAGAGTGCACTTCTTATGTGTGTGTTTGCAGAGGTGTTCAAGTTGAGGATGTTAAGAAAAAAAGAAAGTGTGATGTCCACGACAAGTATGTGATTGGTGTCAGTGTCAGACCACATTTAGACCTCTGCCAGGAGGTTTTTTTAAGTGTGGGTGTTCACTCCAGGTTTAGGTGAGAAAATGAAACAGGGCTTGAAGGCAGGTGAGCTTGTTTTTTGCCTTTACAGTGGTCATACTGAACAACATTTTATTGGTGTCCTATTACGCTCTGGAGCTGCCAGTCAGCTCATGCTCTGTAAGGGCCTGAGGGTAGGCTACGAGCTGCTGCAGTAGGTTCAATTTTACCTTGTAATGTAGCTTTTGGGGAGCTTATCACAAAATGCACGCAAATTCTTGGCAATCAACTCTGCTGTCAAAGAGGCACTTTGTTTTAGGACTGTTTGCATAAGCAGGGCATATATGTTCTTTGTGGTTTGCCCATAAACAGACCCAGCTGATTGACACCCCGTGTAGGTAAAACATTTGCTCTGGACAATCTTATCATCCCTTCAAAAATAGCGAAATAGCCCTTTTAAGGTATCTATACATAGCTTATCATCCTGCTCTCTTCACTGGAAACCATGTTAGCCAAAGCACTTACTTCCTCTGTTTGCTATTAGATACACAAAGTTTATAAGGATTAAGTACTATTAAAAGTGTATTTCTCAGTATAACAATCGGTCTTTCAATTCAAAAAAAGGTGTGACACTGTACAAAGTTGACAAAACAGATTTGGATGGTTTACAACTCATTTAAACTCTTTAAAACTGAAAATAAAGCAAGGACAACTTTTAACTTTTAGGGATTAAACATTGTTCACTGTTTTATAAAAATGCTGTGCTCATTTTTGATTTGATATGAGTAAGATATCCCAAAAACTCAGGATGGGGTCCACAGAATGCTAAAATTACTGCATGTTCCCAAAATCATTTCCAAAAACTGTGACCACAATTCACAAATAAAGGTTTAAACTCAAATACTCCTATCAAAAAAAAATCCACAAATGAGCCACAATGGCAAGGAAAACATACCTGAAATAGGCAGATACCTCAAACAGGACCAGACTCAGTGGAAATCAGCCATCTGCTGTGACTGGATGGGCTGAAAAAGTAGGAATAAGGGAGAACCATGAAAAAGGGAAGCAGAGATAGACAGATAGCAACAACAATAACAACAGATTGTACAGCCACTCCTCTCAGTTTATGCAGTTATAATATCAATAAACAAAGATTTGAAGCATTTTGAGTTGAAGCAATGCTCAACTCAGAGCAAATCCCATGCTGCCCTTGTTATTTTGGAAAAACGCATGATTGCTCCATTGCAATGCTGTTATGAACAGGAAGGGACTTTTTCTTGAAAGTTTTCCCACAGGCCAAAATGTATTTTAGGTGTTGGAACCTAGGGGGCGGAAAGGATGGGGATAGAGATGTGGGCGGAGAGGTAGGGGGGCTGAAAACAACATTACACATCGAGAACAAGCAGCAGCCGGGGCCCCGAATTCACAAAAATATTTCACAAGTGTGTCCCTTGCTGGCAGACTGATCCGTCAACTGCATGTCCGAGCAGGGATTTGACAGCGAGAAATAATAAATACAAACACTGCCACAGAAGGTTTATTTTTGGGCAAGCCACTGGAATAAATTCTGTAAACAAGAAACACTGGATCCAAGTCAGTGTGCTCAAGCTCAGACTTGTGAGTGCCTTCTCCACAGCACCTCTCCCACACTGTCTGTGTTTTGTTATTCTAACAACACGGCTTTGACTAAGGTTAAAGAGCTAACACTTCAAATCTGAATGTTGTGGCTTTAAAAGAGGATATAAATTCACCTGTGAAGTAGTGTTTTTCAAGCACTTTAGTTTCATGAATTGGAGTCAGTTTTTATTCATGAATGTAAAAATGTCTTGGAAAGTGGTTGGACCCTGCAGCTATGTGAACGTGCATAATTTATAGTTAATAGGAAAAACTGCACCAATGCTCTCTCTCTCTCTGGTTTGCTTAAGTACTTTGACACCCACCTGTGAAGTTTTATACACGCTTATCAGGCCCACCTGAATACCTGCAACCTCAGAATTGCAGCAAACAAAACACTGACTGTGTATCTGATGGCAAAATCTTATTCTAGCCCCCGTCCTGACCTCAGATTTACTCCACTCCCTGTAGCTCAGGGCTACTGCCCAGCTCTCTGCCAGAGCGTTATTTTCATAACCCTTTTCCCAGGGCACCAGATCACTGTCCAATTACCAGGTTGCTTTCTGCTATCTTCTGGAAATCAACACCACGAGCTGCTAAGGGCATTCCCTACACAGCATGCAGCTGCTTCTTCTGCGTGTCTGTTTCCAGTATATTTCTTGTTACGTCGCAATTAACAAGTGTGGAGCCATCCCTGGCTGACATATGACTTAAGCGCGGCGGTGTGTAAATTAATCATTCGGACAGTTAGAGGTTGTGTTTCACATACAACATGGCCAGCATCAACGCGATGCTACACTGGGCAGTTTTCATCAGTTATGCTCATGCAGCGGGGGACAGGTGTAACAAGCTCTGATATGAAACCCTTGAGGGCTCTTAAGGATGATTCATACTTACATAATAAGTATTTTAATACAGCCCAGAGTGTTTTGTTGTTAAGTTGTGACACCGTGGTTGGCAAATGACACAAACATGAGCACGTCCTCTTATGAGATAAATTAACCAGTGTAACAGATTGTGGCTGCCGCTTTTGTTTTAGCTCATTATCATTGATGAGGAAAGTGCTCCGAGTGTGTGTGCCTGGTATGCAAACTTTATTTATTAAAAGCGGTGATTGACTAAAACACCTGACATTTAGGCTGGGGTAAAACTGGCTTTGTCCTTTGAAGTCTTGGTATTCCTTGAATATTGACTCAATTTTTTAACTTTCAGTAAAGAGGCAGTTTTTTTCAGATTCACACATTGCATGATATGAATTTAGAAACTTGTTTGAGTGACTTGACTGCTGCAGGTAAATATGTGGAGGTGTGGAGACAGTTTATGAAAAGTGACAATAGCTAGTGGATTGTCAATTTCAGATTCACATCTGGCATTTACAAGCTTGTGTGCCTCAGCAGTTATGAACAGAGTGAGTGACTGTTCAGGATATTTAAATAACCATCAGATCAGGTTTATATCATGCTTTCTTTACAGCCTTGAAGAGTAGTGAACTACATGTATTTAAAACAACAAAACTAAAGCTCCTATGAGGAGTTTTTACATCATTTAAAAAATACACTGAAATTCATACTGATGCCTTTTCATGATATCCAAAAGGATCATTAGTTACAAAGTTGATGATTTTATTATCTCTTTTTTTAATGCCTGAAGCAGGGCAGAGGGGGTGGATGTTGGCTAAGCAGCTGGAGACACAGCAGTGTTTTCACAGTTTCTGCATAAAACATTCACAATAAATGATATAATTTACCACTGAATGTTAGCAAGTTGAGATATTTTTGGTCAAAGGTTAATACTTATTCATGTGGTGGACAAGATAAGCTAATACTGCTTTGGCCACGGGGGTTGCCTAAATTGACACTAACTGAAAATTACTCACAAAAGCTTCAATTTTGCAGTAACTTGCTGTTGGTTGAAATTTTAATGGAGATAGGTAAATCACTTTTTTCTCCTGTTAAAGGTGCAGTGATTTTGGCACCCCCTTTGGACAATGTGATACTTTGATACTTCATTTCTCTGCCTGTGAGATATGGTGGTAGTGGTGTTTTTAGACAAAAACCTCATCTTGTTGTCTTGTAAACGTGACATATGAGTGATTTTCATGGGAAAAGGAAATTGGCCGTTTTCCAGCCTGCTGTCAACCATCCTGTCCGACACCTCCCCCCTCACTGTAACAGCAGATAAATAACCAGCCTTGTCATTGATGGTTTCATTTGATCCTGAACATCATAAAGAGGCATCAGTATCAGTTTCAGTCTGTTTCTCAGCCAGTCAAAACTCCTTTTATGACCTTTAAAGTACAGGATTGTTTTAATTAATTTATTACAGCTTAAGTCGCTCTCAGATGATAGAGACCCCTGATATTTTGCAGCAGTGTAAATATCAAATTCCCTTCTGTTTGTGGAAAGCCTACGTATTTTTATTTAGTCTGGGAAAAGCTTTTGGTCCCTTGGGTGTTGCAGGTATCCACAAAGGCACTTCAACTTTAAGAAGGAAGATAAAGTATTTTTACAATGTTTTAGTCTCAGTGTAAATAACCGGGGTGAATATTGAATGAGTTTATATGACAGCAGGGTTGGTGATTTCTTATTGTGTATTAACATATATTAGTGTCCTGTTGCAGCATTTGGATAAAAGCTTGATCTACATTTCAGTGCTGCCTCGGTGAAACAAATAGCTCATCTGGAAGTTATTATTGTTGAGTTTCTTCCAGTACAAAGCTATTCAGGGCTTCAAATCAGTGCTCTCAAAGCAGCTAACCAGCACCAACTCTCTTCATATGACACTGATGAATGTATAAACTTGTCGTCTCACTTTCTCTCATTGACTGTCACTCATCAGGCCCCTTTACGCAAGCTTAATAATAGCATAACCATCAGTAACAATCATACTGTAACAAGCAGTCATGATCCAAACTGGGGTCTTTGTTGATCCACCAGACATTAACTTGCTTACTAATACCGAGTGTTTCCTTATGTAAATGGTATTACATGCTATTGTGGCCAAACACAGAGGCAGGTGGAGCAGTATGTGCCAGAATAGTGAGTTTGGAACGTGGATGCAGGTCTTTGGAGCTTATCGGAGTTGAATGAAATACTGTATGTGTCACGAAACAGCTTGAGGGCCTGAGTAGTCGTCTGTTAATATATCCCATGCCTGTGACAAACACCGCTTTCCTCTCCAACGTGCCCCTCTCTCCTGTAGTCCTCACCTTTCAAAGCCTGTTGTTCCCCCACCAGCTGTGACCTTTATTCAGAGGGGTCAGCAGAAAGACTGCGTGTGTGAGTGCGTGTGTCAGTGTGTGTGTGTGTGTCGCGCATGTGTGTTTGGAAGAGGGAAGTCAGAGGGAGTTGACATAGCAGGGGAGACTTATCACCTCAGCTCTTTGAAATAGGTGGACATGTGTCTGAGTTCAGTCCAGACACAGATTGGGAATGTGAGTTACTGTTAGCATTCGAGTCCAGAGAAGAGTCCTTTATAACCTTTTATTGTAGAGATATAAAACTCATCCAGAGGATAATCTTTTTTGAAACGATGGGCTACAAAGCCATCTGCTTATGGGGCATCCCCAGATGAGTTTTCCTCCTTTTTTTATTAGCATTATTGGCTTAGATAAATTGAATAACACTTAACTCAGACTGGAGATTGATCTACAAGCACTGCAAATGTGTGTTTTGCTGGAGGGGGCTGACCTGCCCAGCCTGCTGGTTCTGAGTTAGAGCTCATTGCTGTGGGACTTTTTAAAGTGAAGGATGGATCCTTGGGATACAGACTCAGAGGATTCATGCGACTGGGGAGACTCCTCTGAAGAGGCGCTGTCATCAGATGAAGACAATCTTGAAAAAGAGTAATGTCGATCATGCAGTTATGTGTGTGGCTTGTTGGAAATGATGATTTTAATGTGTGCTAGTGCCATTTAAAGAGTGAATGGGTTATAAACTCTTCCATTGTCAGAGCTCTGATCGAGAATAAAAATAAACATAACTGCAATTTTCAATGACAAATCACTGGGTCAAACTAACCTGAATGTGTTGTTTTATTTGTCTCGGCAGGGAAGACATCAGGACAGCCAACGTCATTGCAGCAGAGGCCGTCACCTGTCTAGTCATCGATAGAGAGTGAGTATCAGACAAAGAGCGCAAAATTCCTTTAGTCTTCAAGCAATTTAAAAAAAATGAACACAACCAGTGACACAAGAGCTCAATGAATTTCACAGGCAGCCAAAACAAGCCCGCAAATTCTGCTTTCTGAAGCTGCACTTGCCTGTGTAAAGCGCTTTTAATTTCCTGTCTGCTCTAAATTTGCCGTATAAATAAAGCATCCTTTACTCATTACTGTCGGGCAAGGACGCTTTCTTGGAACAGGCTTTACAAACGCTGCTTCACTAAGACATCAAAACAAACCAGCCTCTCTGTAGAAAACAAATAGCACGCTTTAAGGTGCCGCGCTATTCATTTTCTACCTCAAAGAGACAGATCGAATGTCAAGTTTTTGTCTGAGTAACCGCCAAATTCAATTTAGAAATAATCAGAGAGCTTTGAATTTATAATGGATCATAAATTTGTAGAGTCATGTTTCTTTTTTCATCATTCTATCTCCTTGTTCTAAATTCCATTTGCATAGTTTTGTGGTCAAAAAAGGCAATCCCTTACACTGCCAAAAGTCGACACATTGATCAACTCTAAAACACTAAATTCTTATGTAAATGCTTTCCCGACAAAAACCAAGTGCTTTCAGGATCTGGGCTTGTTTTGCTGAATTACATCACTCATGCAGGTGTTATATCGACCCTTAATCCTGAAACCGCCTCAGGAAAGCACTGAGATCTCTTCAAAATATGTGCATGAATAACTAACAAGGGCTAATTTATGAATGTTTGTAGCTGTTTGATTGTAGGGTTACAGCATGTCTTGATATTTTATCACAGGTTTTAACGCATCTTTCTAGCAATGTACTCAAAAGGAGAATCTGACAGAGTTTATATCAGGTCATTACCTAAGGAAACGGCCTGTCTCAGGACATTTATGTCTCCAACCTGAAGTAGTTTGAAGGGAGCAGGGAGACAGATGGATACTAAACGTGGGATGGAGATGATATCGGCTTACCCAGGGCCTTTCTCTGGCCTCAGGGAGCACAACAAGCACAAATGGGCCATCCAGAGCCAGTAGAGGAGATAGTGCGCTATGGAACGCAGGTGATTACCACCGGCTCTCACTCTGCCTGCCACAGAAGCAGTTAATACTACTACAGCCAAAAAATGTTGCTCAGTATGTGTGCGAATCACCTAACCGGACCACTTTTGGTGCGGATTCTTGGTTGTTAATATTTGAAACTCTGTCAGTTTGTGTGGACTGTGTGTGTCCAAGCATGTAAGATACATCAAAAGAAAAGGAGTGCAACTCAAGAGGAGATATTTACAGGAGCTGTGCTGGAGAAAAGGGAGGGGATAGATACTGTGGGAATGATACATGGAATAAAATTTAACAGCAGGGAGTTGGCAACTCAGTACAGTACAAACTGTAAGCAGCCAGACATTTAAAAAAAGAAAAGCTCGGCAACAATCCCCGCTTGCAGGCATTATAGTCTCAACAGGAGAAAACACCAGATGTATTACATCTTCTGGCTGACAGCTTGATGAGCCTTGTGCAAAAACCGTCTCTGTTATTTGTTCTTGCAGGATGTTTGGAGTCTTTAGCATACGCAGCCATACTTCTGAGAGAAATGAGCCAAAACGATGTTATTTTTCATGTTGCAGCTCTCCCCTTGAGTGCAACTTTGGAGGATTATTTTTTAGGGAGTTAGCTTTATTATGGAGCGTATTATTCTGCAGTGAACTTCTCCTTTTAATCCTTCTTTAACTCTCATATCCTGTTTGATGTTACTAATAAGAATTTATTAAGCTGCAGTATATCCAGTAGGCTGATGATTATTTTACATTTAATATTAAGGTCTGAGGGGCTTGGCCTTCTACGGTGTTGACTCTGTTTCTCTCTGCTGAAGAACTTCACAAATGCCTTTCAGCTTTTTATATGTGAAGATAATTTGCACACTATCTGCTTTGGTATGGTCTTATTTTTCTCTTAAAATTCATTAGTTGTAAATGTTAGCCTGTACCCCACTCAGCTTGTATACCCCTCAGTATCCCAGTCCTTTTTGTCTGCCCTCCGTGACTTTTAGAGGCTCGACTATAAAAGCAGATGTATAAATATTTGATAATCGCTGGTATGTTTTCATGACAGTGTGGTCACAAAGCCGAGCAGCTTCCTCAGATCGCCCACAGAGTACAAACTGCTTCCCTTCCTCATAGCTTTGAGCGTCTCATGCATTATAAGATAGTGGAGTGTGTTACTTTGGGTTCAACAGATTGTAGATTCTTGAGCAGATTAAGAAACACTCATAAAACTTGTACTATTTTAACATACACTGTCTGTTTTACAGTTCATTCAAGCACCTGATTGGTGGTTTGGAGGATGTGTCCAGTAAAGGCCATGAGGATGCAGATGCCAAAGCCAAGTAAGAAAACGATGGTTTATTTGTATGCATGAATTAATTAGAATACTAATTATGAAAGTCCGTCTCACTGCTCTATGCTTTCGGTTTGTGCTGTCTTTTTTTTTTAGCATTTTTTTTTTTATTCAATTAATTTACGCAAATGAATTTTCCATCTCAGTAACCTTTAAAACCATTAGTGCTGAGTTTTAAAAAAGAGACGCGCTCCAGGCTGGACATTTATGCATTGTGTCTTTAGGTCTGTTACATAACAACACAATACCCGTGTGGCAGGCCAGAAGCAGAGGCTATGACCTCCGCCTCTATTTCTGGAGGAATTAATATGTAGTCTATTTACCGTCGCTATGGAAACAAGAGACTACAGAAGACATAGGGCACCTTGGCAATGAGGTGGGCATCTTGGGGTTCAGGCGGTTACGTGTTGGCATAATCTGATACCTCGCTCATCCCGTGCTATGTTGTGAGTCAAGGTGAGGAGAAACAAGAAGCCGGTAATGACAGCTCACAGAGAAAGAGAGGGCAGGAATGGATTATCACCTCAGGAGAGATGGAGCACCAAGGGGAGAACAAGACGGGGGGCCAAGCAGACCGCACTTGTGTCTGGATTTCTAGCCGAGTGCCGAGAGTGTCAGTCATCTTTTGGAATCTAATGGGCAGAGAGCAGGACACAACCGCAAACTCCGGTGACACAGACCCTGTGGAGAGAGAGGGATGACAGGTTTAGTGGATGGCCTCTGGTATAGATGCCACGAGCCAGATGGTCCTTATAGCTTTTTACCTGATAGAGGGGGCCCGAAAGTGCTCATTCTCTATCTCATTTCTGCATCTCTTTGTCTTTGGGGGCTCTTTTTTTTTTTAAGACTGATATTATGCAAATTAGCAGCACGTTCAGTGTTCCTACTTCTGGTAGCCTTATTAAAAACCTGATTCTCTACAGAGTTACACCGCTGACTGCCACTGTGCTCCTCTGCTCACACTGAAACAGTTTTTTTTAATCCTGATTAAAGGTAGTTTCACCACTGTGTGTTCTGTGTGTGTGCTGTCCCCTCGCTCAGCTAAGCACATTTGTGTCTTGATGAGGAAAGCCTGAGTCAGATCCCACAGTGATGGAAACTATCTCTAATTGGTCACAGCGGATATGCACAATGCGGCTGTTCTGTTATTATATGGCAAACTAAAGCTGCTGTCTGAGGATGACAGCTACTTTCTCCAAAGACAACCTCCCTGTGAGTCTGAACCAGGCGCTGCTTCTTCTGCAGGAGGAGCTTCACGCCACACAAAGTTCAATGAACGCATCAATCACTGCTTCCACTTATTCTTTAGCATGCATACAACATTAACTGAGAGCTTTGATCAGTAAAAGACAAAATGTTATTAGTTATTGGTATTGGTAATAAGACTTGATAATGTTAGTGACAAATCCTCCATAAAATTTGACTGATTCTGTATTCCCTTGAGCAGTCTTCGTGTATTTCTCTCAGGGAATTGAAGCAGCACTCAAAAATTTCGACATTTTATAATGCCTGAACTCTCTCCTCTCGTATCTTCCCATTTTTACTGGTTGCTGTCTAATAGAGCCATAAAATAGTTCAAATCTCCATTCTCCTTGTGATCAAACTAAACGGGTGAACTATTTCATACTCTGAAAGGTTGAAAGCTGCTTTTGATTTCTCCTTTTTTTATGAAATTAGTCTCATTTTCCTTCCAAAACTTTTGGCAAGGTGTCTCAAAACTCTTATGCAATAAATCAAACTTCCGGAAGCCTTAAACTGAATATAAATACTTTCCCTCCCACTTACTCCGAATCACAGCCCATCTAGCATGAGTGAAGTTAGATGAGGAAAATAAGAGCCGGTGTGACTCAGCAAACCCCATGTCTCTCGATCAGGTGTGGGAGTTCAATAAGGAGAGGTAACCAGTAAATAAAGGTGCCAGTTAATGAGAGACAGCTTTAAGGTCAGTGCTGCTGTCCTCTCCTCTCTTTTCACTTGAGTCATGCAAGACCAAGACGCACCGGAGCAAAGGAAATGACGATATTAGTGCTCACACAGTTAGGAGTACACATGGGAATTGCATCATTTTTTATGATCTCATCCGCTCACTGATACAAATAATCATCCGCTGGGATGCTGCTTGACCTGCACTTTGTACTTCAGTGGTAGGAATTTATCTGCCGCGTTACACTTATAGGAACATGTTATTACAAACCTCAAAAGACTGCTTCTGCTATATAACTAAACGGTGATGTACTGCGGCGTTTGCTGGATGCAGTTGAGCTCTGTGTTCTGAGTCAAGGTCATGGTTTAGACGTATACTTAGATGGATCTATGGTTGCAGTCCCATTGGGTCTGCTTGCTTGTATCACATTCCATGTAGCGCTTCAGACATTGACACTAAAGTGCTGTTTGCTCTAAAACAGGGACATTGAAAAGTGTTGTTGACAGCTTTTCAATAGAAAGATAATCCACAAATATCTTAACTATTTGTCTACCAGCACTCAGATATGTTTTTAGTCACAATAGGAAGTGAGTTCCTACGAGGAAAATGCAACTGTTCATTATATTTGCATTCCTGTAAACTTGGCAAGTTGTTTCCAAGGTCATTTTTTTCCTCTTTATATTTAGAAAAAATGTTTTGAACATGAGAGAATGAATGAGTCTGTTCTTTCTCTTTTTTTTTCTCAATAACACACAAAAGATTCAATCAAAGGTTTTGTATTGGAAAGAGGTTTGCTTTTTACCATAATTCTTCTAATAGAACAATGACGCCACCTGCTGGTGAAATGGTATCATTACTTTAAATTCCACACGTTTTACTGTTAAAGAAGACACTTCTCTCAATCACTCTGGGGAAATTCATTTTTTACGCAGTTATGGGACAAGCATTGACCAGATTTATGTAAACTTGCACAAACAAATGTCCAGGAAAAGATCTGGCACATCTCTGGCCACCAACCCAATCCTCACTGAGATTTAAACTGACAACCCTCCAGTTCCTAGGCCAGCCTTAGCTACTTCCAACCCAGAAAACTGCAAATTATAGCTTTAAATTTTGAAAGAATATGCTAGACCTTGCTAATAATGTGACCCAAATACCCATGTCCTTGCTTCATAGGCTGTAACTGTATATTTCAGTCTCAGTGTACTCATAAATGCTCGAGCATGTGTCAGTTCTCCTGAAATTAATGATAATCCTGTCCTATACGCATTAATGTCATGCACTCTCAGTTACTCACTTACTTATCTGCTCCTGTAAACAGAGAGCATTTTGGGATTTGGAGTGTATCGTCTGGGCTGGTTTCCAGATTATGGGAGGGGCAGAAAAGATAAAGGGATCACCTAAGAATCCTACATGCTTGTAGTAGTGCCTATTCACACACAGAAATAAACAGTGACTGCCCTGGTAACCTGATGTGTTTCTGAGAAACGCAGCTCGGTAACGTGACAACGCTGCCTGCTGGTGTGCACCTTTCAAAATAAAAGGTTTTATTGTTCTCGTCCTGTGTGGAACTGATGTATGTGGTGGATGTGATGGAGTGAATTCTCTTCCCACATCCTAAGTGAACTAATGAGGTTGGAAAAAGTAAGAACGTCATGCGTTCTTTCACCAAGTTCAGACCGGGAGCAGGACTCCTCAGTGAGTCATTGTTTAACTTCTTTGTATACATAAGCTTAATCTCTGCCGCTTTACACAGGAGGTTTTATGTGTAATCTAAACAAGGCTTCTCTGCAAGGGTATGTTTTCATAAATGTCCTATAGGTTAGCTTCAGTGCTATTCAAGAAAGAGTTCGACGCTGAAGCCATCGTCTGTTCTGCGTGACCCAGAAAGAGCTCCCCATGTTCAGATCTGTCCTAAGCCCGCTGATCTAGAAAGTGAGCTGATGTAACTCTGTCTGGATCAAACAATAACCACAGAAGATACAAATGGAACATTTGGGGATAAAGGACAGACACGTGGAAACAATGTCCTCTGTTAGCATGTGAAGGTCTGTAGGGGCATTTAGAGCTGTTTGAAGGCAGAGCCAAGGCTTGTCTTTAGAGGCAGCTAAGCAGCTCATGTAACCAATGTCCCTGTCTTTGTTCTTTCCTATAAAAAATCTAAACAGGCCGGGTAAAGATAGTCTGTGCTCAAAGAAAGGTCAAAATGATTTGCTAGAAGACTAAACACAAACATCCTGTCCACAGGTTCATATGTACACACACATCTCCACTTCCTCAATAACATCCTTGAGAGCTTAATTCGAGGTGACTCGGCTAAGACTTGCAAACAAATGAGCCAAAGGAGAGATGGATGATTTGTCTAACACTGTTTAAAGTGGATTATTGCTTCTTTCATCCTTCATCTCATCTCTAATCCTGTTCCCTTTCTCTTTTTTTCTCTGGAACTCCAGGTATGAAGCGGAGAACGCCTTCTTCTTCAATCTAAATCTAGCCGACTTCAACATTATTGACACTCTGGGAGTCGGTGGCTTTGGCCGTGTAGAGCTGGTACTTTTTTCCCCCCACATCTTTACAAATCGTCTTGCCGGCTGTGCAACGTAATGGGGAGGCTGACCTTTGTGTGTGCACTTCTGTTTTCCTCCTCACTGCAGGTTCAGCTCAAGAGTGATGAGAACAAAACCTTCGCCATGAAGATCCTGAAGAAGCGGCACATTGTCGATACGAGACAACAGGAGCACATTCGCTCAGAGAAACTCATCATGCAAGAGGCGCACTCTGACTTCATTGTTAGGTATGACACTTGAACCGCTGTATTCATAGACAGTATGGGGAATTAGTGCCATATTTCCCTAGTACCTGTCCTTTATTACTTCAGGCACAGAGATAAAGGGATCTAATAATGAACACATCTTTCTGTGGAGTTTGAAGCATTCTTCATAATGTTTGTAGAGTTTCCCCCACTTAGGAAAATCAAGAACATCAGAAACCATTTACACTGAACAAGAAGTGCATATAGAAAAAATGTGGGCATGTGAACTCTACAGCATTGATACTATACACCCATGTAAAGGTATACATGCTCTATCAAATCCTCAAAATTCACTCACAGACCACACACCAGGATGTACCAAACAGCTTAGTTTTTAGTGTCTTGCGGTGTCATATGCTTGCAGAAATCTGCTTTAACTAGTTGTTGAAGTATTCAAATCCAACTGCTTTCAAGTCTTGCTTTGCTGTATCACAGTCAAATAAAAGTAAAATATACACAGAAACAAACAGATGACACTTTGAAGCTTTCACTTGAATTAAGAGCACGTCTATGTTCTGTATTTCTTGTCTAAAAGCGGTTTAATTTATGTTTTCAGACTTTACAGAACATTCAAGGACAGCAAGTACCTCTATATGTTGATGGAAGCATGTTTAGGAGGGGAGCTGTGGACCATTCTGCGAGACAGGTGAGCTCAAGTTCACCGTTTCAGTTATAAACATGGTGTTTTAGTTGTGTCTACTTCCTGGTCAGGCAAACACAATCAATACAACACAACAAAGGAGAATCTTGTGTCACTGTAATAGCTGTAATATTACCTTTAATGTTAGCCAGGGTTTTTCTCAAGATTTCTGGTGGTTTTTACTTTTTCAGTTTATCAAGAAAATAACTGCTTCTACGGAAATGATATGTCATTTTTGTTAGCAATCTGCCATGAGGATCTGTAAAGACATAAGCAGAGAGAAGGTCCTGGTCGATACAAGGGAAAATGTTTTTTGTTGACGGGTCTTTTCTCTCTTGGTGTGTTTCCAGGGGTTCATTCGAGGACTCAACCACCAGGTTTTACACAGCGTGTGTGGTGGAGGCCTTTGCCTACCTGCATTCCAAAGGAATCATCTACAGAGACCTCAAACCAGAGAACCTTATACTGGACCACAGGGGATATGCCAAACTGGTAAAGACATTGTTCAGGATTACCACAAAATTCACTCCCTTTTTTGGTAGAAGACATAGCTGCTGCCAAGTGAGAGACATTTTAGACATTTCGCATAAATCTGGTCTTTCTATGATGCTTCAATGAAGAATCAAATGAAATTTGAACACGTGTTTCTTGCTGGCTGCAAACTAAGGCATAAATATAGAATAGAGAAAGGCATAATTGAGGTTAAGTCATGTTCTGTGTTTCTTGGGGTGTTGCCATTCCCCTCACTCCTCATGGAGAAACCAGTTTGTAGCTTTTGGCAGGGCAGCAACCAGCTGCTCACTCCTTCTAACCATCATGAATAAGCATCGAGTGAAATACTCTAACACTGAAATGGTGACACAGTTTCTACCTTATTATCTGTGTATCTGTGTACTGGAGAATGAATTAAATCTGACAAAAACAAAACAAAACAATAAAATCAAATAAATCTGAATCACGAACCAGGTTTTTTCTCCTCTTATCCTCAGGTTGACTTTGGCTTTGCAAAGAAGATTGGATTTGGGAAGAAGACGTGGACCTTCTGTGGGACGCCGGAGTATGTAGCACCGGAGATCATTTTGAACAAAGGCCATGACATCTCAGCTGACTACTGGTCTCTAGGAATCCTCATGTTTGAGCTCCTAACTGGCAGGTACACACAAGCCTGGGCACGTCTGCAAAAAATACAAGAGAAAACAAAAAACCCCCAAAAGATCCCAACCAATAAAACCCATTAGGAAAACGTGTTAACACAGTTTGAGCCTTCATTAAATCGATTCTCATTTACATGTGTCACTCAAGATTGATATCTTTGCCTCTGTTCTGCAGCCCACCTTTCTCTGGCCCCGATCCAATGAAAACCTACAACATCATCCTGAGGGGCATTGACATGATCGAATTTCCAAAGAAAATAACCAAAAATGCTGCCAATCTAATCAAAAAGCTATGCAGGTGAGTGTTGACATTCAACCAGTTTGAGCTCAGTGGTTCTTTGAAGTGGTCTCTGAGCTGATTCATGGTTTTTTAATGTCTTGGGTTTTTTTCTGCTGCAGGGATAATCCGTCTGAACGTCTGGGTAACTTGAAAAATGGTGTCAAAGACATCCAAAAGCACAAGTAAGCATATTTTAAAATGGATTTAAATCTCATTCATACATACATTCCATATATTGTAAATGTGCGTATTGAAATAGGATAATAAAGGAGTGATTCTTTTTTTCCTGAAGATGGTTTGAGGGCTTTAACTGGGAGGGTTTGAAGAAGGGAACCTTGACACCACCTATTATTCCTAGTGTAAGTTCCTAATTGCCTCGAAGCTTTCTCTTTTTAACATTTCCTTTTCAAAAACTCACTTGTTGACTCCTCCCTGTGAATCGTTTCCTCGTCTTCCCTCCAGGTCACATCAGCAGTCGACACAAGTAACTTCGACAGTTTCCCAGAGGACAACGAGGACCCGCCTCCAGACGACAACTCCGGCTGGGACGTAGATTTTTGAAGTCCTCCTCTCTCACCTTAAAACCAAAAGGAACTCTTCTTTTGTTGGCTTGGAGGCCATCATGAGGACATGGCTGTGTTGTAAAAAGAAACTGCTTTAGAAACGAAAGAGAGCATATGGAAAAGGAGATAAAAACAGATGGATGGCAAACCCCTCTGGGTCACCGATATGCCTTTATTTCACTGTGGCTCTGGATCAAGCATTTATCACAGGACTTCTGTAGCACTTCTTCAGTGTTGTCTTACACTCCACTTTAAAGGAAAAGGAAAGAAAGTGCAGGGATACACACATTCACACAACACAACACAATAGAGGCTGATAATAGAGCCAGTTTTTCATGTAACAGGGATTCTAGTGAGTAGATGAACGTCGATAGCGTAACTTATGGTTTTAAGATGAATACGAGGGACAACTGTGATCATGGACTGCTCAAAAAGAGGAGAGGCTGAGTGTTGATTTTATTTTTTAATTGTGTTTGTTTCTCTGCAATATTTGGGTGAAACATCTGGTGGACTTTGGGAGGATTTAAGGTGTTACTGCAGTTGCGGTCTATTTTTTGATGTGCAGCTGCATGCTGCAGTCTCTGACAGTCTTCAGAGATCCACACACCACAGTTTGCAAGTAAAACTGATATCAAGTGCTCAAGACTTACCTGAATGTTACTGATTTTTCTTCTTATTTAACATCCATAGTGCAAACAGCATGTACGGTACGAAGTATTTGAAGTTACAAGCAACGATCTCACAAATCAAATACTTAGTTTACCTACCTTGAAAAGCACAAACACTGTGCGTTCAGCGAAGAGAGAGATGTGTCTCTTTAAGTGCCCTGCTTTAGATATAATGAATCACACACCGACACACATGAAATGTCAGCTACTATTTCCATTAAGCAATGTGTCATTATGCACCTAAGACCATAAACTGGGAAACCATTAGTAAGAGCTTCATTTGTTTTGTTCTTTTATATGCTTTTAATCACACACATGAATGCTTCACCACCAAGAAACATCTTTATTTCATCTTTAAATCACGCAAATGCCTCGTCCTCTGTTTGCTTCAAAAATAACTGTGAACATGGTTTCAATGTCTTTGGTGCTGTTGTTGATAAATTATGATACCTGACGGCAAGATAACAGTACTGGTTATTGTTTTCGTATAGTGATTATTTTGTGCTTGATTTCTTTGTAATGTACTTGACTCCCTTTAGAAATTTGGAGACCTGTGTCGATTCGTTTAATTGAGTGAAATTTTGCTTGCTATTACTTGACAACATGTTGTGCTATGTGGTATTCTGGAGGTTTTGAAACTATGTTGAGTTCATCCACAAACACTGAGTATCCTCTTTGGAGGTAAAATTATCACATTCATGTTGTCATAAAGCTATATTGACTATACATCATACAGAAATTTTAATGAGAAAAGATTTAAAAGGAGTTTTTATTTTGTGAAATTTGCTACTTTGACGGCAAACTACCAATATCATCCCATTCCACATCCCAAAGTGAGAGCGTAAAATCAGAAGTAAAGTGCCTTAAATCAATGGCATACAAAAATTATCATCAAGTCCTTTTCAATGCTGCATGCACACATATACACCTCAGAAACTGATGTGTCCTCCAAGACAGCTGCTTCTCATCCTTTGTTATATCTAATAAATACATTAATCACAGTGGAAAGAGAACTTTTAGTCATTTGATGGCTGACTAAGTGTATGAAATTAAAGCCCTGCTTACACCTGTGATTTACGTCAGAGAAAATTACACATATTTATCATCCCTGGTATGGCTGCAATGACATGCATTACTCTCTATATTGAATACTGTCTCAGAGTCAACCACATGGAAAGACAACAAATCAGCGCTTAGATGTTTTTCTTACGAAACGTGAGCGTTTAGAGATGGCAGGAATGATTTACAGCCTTCATGAAATTGACATCCTTATTTGCCGCTGGTGACAATCTTTGACGGCACAATAACATTGATCATAGAGTGAAATTATTTTATTACTTTATATAAATTATGAAGAATCTCTAATTTCACCTCAACAGACAGACACGCTTCCATTTATATCCATAAATCACTCAATGATGTAGACAGAGATTAACACATGAGAAAGACTTGTTGTTTCTGTGGGCAGACCATCGGTGTTTTAATGTATAACAGGCAGGTTATGTCAAACACAAAGCCTTATGTATGCCATCACTTTACAAACCACTGGTTTTCAGTCTTATATTGACCGCCTTCTGCAATGTTACCTGATATCTGCCTTGTGTTATGTTGTTTATTCTGCTGTAAATTGATTTTGCAGAGTGCCACGTGTAAGATTTTTAAAATTATAGAGTAAAAACAATACTTTTGAGTGGTGTTTGTCTCTGTCATTTGAAACAACTTAAACACTTAAAGTTTGTGCTGCCGTGGCGGTTTCATTAAACTCTTCTGCCACAAGAGGGAGCTGCAGGCAAGACGGACCCGTCTCAAATTCAGCTGAGAACTGATGTGAACTGCAGTGTTAAGGTTGCCTTAGATCTAATAATCAGTCCTAGCGTTGGTGTCATCCACTTAGCGGTAAGTGCAGATGATTCAGCTTCTCTGGTCTCAGTGTTGTTCGCACAACAAATCTGTTTAGGGGACAGGGGAACGGCTTCAGCCATAACAACAGGGTGACAACTCTGCCAGATCAAAGGGGATCAAAGTGCATCAAAGGAGCTCACCTTACCAGCACTGACATTTAGTAAAGTGGAGATAAAAGCTCCACTTCAAAAGATATACAGCGATTCAAACGCTCAAAGTGCTACAGTGTGTTTGTCAGGTGTCTATGGCGCATCTCTCTCGCTGTCTACCCTTTAGACACGCACATGAGCGCGCACGCATCCTCTCACTCCAAAACTACCTGACCAGCAGATGACGTCCAAGTGCCAAAATGTTTCCAAGAGAAAATACGCACTTTGGCGCAGCTTTGGCACCTGTGACTCTTCCTCAATTCGTCGAGTCACCAGATAAATCCAGCGCCAAAAATGCGGTATCATTTACAGGAAAATAAGTTAGAGAGAGAACAAATTATTGCAATAAAAACTGTGAATTGGACTTGATTCAGAACAATTATGTTCACTGGAGACAGAGGGTGAGTCTGCCACACTCAGGGTCAATTACGCGCCATTATGATTTAATTCGAACATTTCAGGGCACGTTTTGTCCCAGGTTGGACATGTCTTACCGCAGAGGAGCCCAAAGGGTAGGAGATCAGGACAGATCAGAGCTGCCTTTAATCTCAAAGTGCCAGTCAACCCTGAAAGGCCTCGCTGCGGAAGTCCATTAATTCGGTAAACTTTTCACACCCCTTAATGGTCTGCATATCCTACACATTGATGTCCGCCTCTGGTGTAATCAAGCACACTTTGGAGGATAATTGCCCCCTTTGCAATCAGAAGGATCAAATGAAGTAGTTAATCGACGCAAGTGACTTCAATCACTGTCTTCACACAGCCAAAGGGCAGTTTAGGCTACTTGAATGTCAAAGAAGGTGGAATAACCAAACACCTTTTTTCCAAAGGAAGCTAAACTGAGCTTACAAAGAAAGAAACACACACAATTCCGCACTGTTTGTGAGGCTTATGAAGTTAAACTGAGTGCTGCAATGACACACACACAAACACTTTAAAACTCCTAGATAGCCTGATTAAATGCTCATGAGAACATTTTTTATTGCATTTCTATCTGATTTTCTACATCAATGTGACAAATGAAGCTTAAGTCGAATCAATGAATGATAGAAAGGAGCACTTTTGTAAAAACCAAAAGTATAAATTCCAGTACAAGTGTGTGTTTAAGAAAGAAAAATGACTGTTTATCAAGATATTTATCCCGAAATGAGGCTTTGATGGAAAAACAAGACGATTAAAACCAAATCTGTGACTCAGATTTTTAAACACCATCTCACTAGTTTCTAACAAATTTAAGTCAGAAAAAAAGGAACCCAGTATTGTGAACCTTCATAAATATTCACTTGTTTATTCATTTTAAAAGTTAAAATGTAAGATGGACAGTGTTTTACTCTTTGTTAATAAAAGTTAAGGTAAGTTGTCCCGATTTTGGATCACTTCCTACCACGGTACGTCACTTAAAGATGGGCATTCAGACGGACCTCGCGGGTCATTATCATTACACAAACATTGTGAAATGCACTCCTGTGCACGGAGAATAGATGGCCATTTCCGTACAGTGGGGCTCTCTTTGAAATTCCACCCCTCCGCCTTTGTTGTGCACAGCGAGGGGCGGGAAGACAAACAGGTCCACATGTATAAAGAGATCATCCCAGGACTCAGAGGCAGGAGGCTTCGAAAGCATATCGTGCTGAAACTCTCTGGAAACTTTGGGATTCAGGATTCAAGGCCGCTTTGGAGTTTGTCTCTCACTCATTTATTTTTTATCCAGGGGATTTTTTTTCTCATCTTCACCACACAGCAGAGTTTAGGAAAGGAAACATGCAGCTCCCACCGGCGCATCGCTTCTTGGCTGTGTATCTCACGCTATTTGGATACTTTGGGGACGTTTACGCAGGGACAGTCCTGATGAACTCTAACGCCATCAAGAACTTGCCCGCTGCAGCAGGCAGTAAGGGGGCTGACACTGTCAGTCCGAGTCCACGCACGTCTCCGTCTAGTAGCATAGGACATAAATCCCCCGTGGACACCTTGCAGGTAATGCCCGTGCGTAAAAGTCATTTCTGTGCGCAACGGAAAAAAGTTGCATTCATGTGAGTTTTATGAGCGATATTTAGATACGTAAATGACACGCTGCGTCTTTATTTCTGTTTGACATTAGCAGTCAGGTGTTTGCACGGATGATGAAGACTGCGGGGGTGATGAATTCTGCAATGACGCCCGAGGCGCCTGTCTGCCGTGCCGTAAGAGCCGGAAGCGTTGCGCACGGGACTCTATGTGTTGTGCAGGAAACCGCTGCAGCAACGGTGAGTAAAGGCATGAAAACTGAAATATGAATGAATCCAGAAACTGTACTCATGAAGATGCCGGAGATAGTCATGGTTCCGTGCATAATCCACGAGTTACCATTCTGTCTTGTATATGAGCATTTTGTGGTATTCATTCCTGTTTGAGCAGAAGATGGATGATTTGATATTGATGGGACTTTAAACGGACCCAAAACCTAACTCTTACTTTTGATCATTTCGCTAGGTGTTTGCCAGGCCAATGACATAGTTGGCACAGATGCATCCATCATCACAAGCTGGCACAAAAACAACACTATGGAGCATCACGGCAAGAGGCCCCCCACAGCTCACAGCCATCAGCCTCATGCTGTGAAAGGTGAGTGTCCTCTTGATCTTTATTACCTTCAGGTGGCACCTCAAGCAGTTTTCTGTGAGCTCTGTGCCATAAAACAAATTGTCTCATCTCACCTCTTTCTCTATCTCTAGGCCAGGAAGGTGATACATGCCTGAGGTCTGCAGACTGCTCTGAGGGTCTGTGCTGTGCCCGACACTTCTGGTCTCGCATCTGCAAGCCCGTGCTGACAGAGGGCCAGGTGTGCACTCGCCACCGCAGGAAAGGCAACCACGGTTTGGAGCTGTTCCAGCGCTGCGACTGTGGCGACGGCATGGCCTGCCGACCGGAGAAAGGAGAGCGAGATCACAGTGTCAGCAGGACTGCAGCCCGGAACCTACACACCTGTCAGAGACGCTGACACAAACGTGGGGACACACACAGAGACAGAGATACACACACACACACACTCACACACACAGCAAGCAAACCCATAAATCAGTCACAGACACTGACAAACACTTTTCCGCCTTGCATACACCGGAGATGCTGACACACACACAGAGACACCCAACACCTAAGACATTCTTTCCTGCCAAAGTTGCTGACAAAAACAGCACCCGGAAGGATAGACATGATTCCTGGAAAATTGATACACCCAGAGGGATGCAACAGAGCAAGACGGACTGATCCAATTCCACATCAACAGATAAGGAGTCGGAAGTTAGGCAGTGACATTTCAGAAGTCTTGGGAAGATCGATTCATGTCGTCGGTAATGGCAGAGCTGTTTTGTTTCTCTTTTTATGGAACTTCAAGCCTCAGTTATTGCAGTAAATTACTGTTTTGTAAATAGTATCTTAGAGGTGGCACTTAATTGAGCTATTGAATTCTGTCAACACCAGTATTATAAGGACATGGTGCTGCATGCAATGTAAATGTGTTATATATTGTTTTATAAGAAAATGTTATATATAGAAAAGCTGGATATATTTGTTTTATTAAACATCATGTGATAACCTCATTTCTTCTTCTGCTTTAAATTTTTGCCAGTAGTTTTTGATGTTTATAAAAGAAAACAGAAGAAAATGTCTTTTGGAAAGCGTTCAAACCATTTTGTCCAAACAGTCACTCATCAGTCAGTACGTGCAGGAATCATTTTTGGCTAAAAAACAACCATCCAGTTCTGGAAAGGGAGAGTTATTTGAACGATCACTCAGCGCAGTTAAAGTCACAGCCCAGTCTACACGAATCAGCGGTTGAGGCTGTGAGGTTGGTTTTAATGTTTGGCTCGGATTGGAGTCTAAACCTCATTACACACAATTGTTGAAATATGTGCAGGCGAACACTCACAGAAACATACTTACAACAAACATACACGTTTAATGAGTCATTACTGGAGCATCAACAGGCCACATCCTGAAGTGGAAGCAGAAACTAAGTCCATCAGGGCTGTGTCATCAGACCGACACAAAAACAGAACAGGATGCTGTGATATCAAATGATAACAGCAAAGAGGTAATGACAAAGTATGTGTGTCCTGGTGAGTGTTTGCCAGCTAACCCTTTGGTGTTGCTGGCTAGTTTCTAATTATACCTTCCCTGCCTTCATGTGCAGCAGAGCAGATAGCTAGCTATCCAAACTAAAGCCTCTAATTACTTCATCTTACTCAATCTACACGAGGATTCATGAAATGAGGTGCACCACAGCACTCTTGAGTTTTTGTGATGCAACTCAAACAAACAAGAAAATAAAGGGATCTTGGCTCTCGATCTGTTCAATTGCACGACAGCACACCCCGTATCTTGGCTGTTGAGCAATGGATGCGCTCTAGTGTGTAGACGATGAATCCACCCAAATACACCTTGGTGCCTGTAATTAGAGCTGTTTAGATTAGAAGATGGTGAGGAAATTACTGTACTTTCTGCTTGATTCTCGTGTCAGATCAAAAGGAGCAAAAGATGTGCCTGATATTTGACCTGATAACCTCTTCTGTTTACATCCACAAGTAGACAAGGTGAGGTCAACTCTGACCTAAGTCCATGATTGAAAGACTACTTAAGTGTTGCACTTATACCTATTATCCTGATGTTTTTGAACTTCAATTTTGTATGGCTTCTACTTTTATTTTACAGCTTTTCACCATGAAACATTCCACAATTGCTTCGCTTCATTTATTACACGGCATCTGGAACGAGATGCTTCATAAATAAAGATTTTTATGATGCAAAACTAAACCTATTACACAGATTTCCAAACTTTTTCAATCAAAACCCCCTAAAAAATGTTGTGTTCCTCCAGGACTCAAATTTAGAAAAATACAACACGAGACACTGCTTATAACTATTAACCAATAAAAAAGAAAAAGAAAAGCATGAATTTAAAATGTGTATGAAATGTATTAATCACCTCTAGTCAAAGCTTTAACTGGGCCCGTTCACTCTAAACACAGTACTTGCACTTCCAAATGTAACCCCTAAGCATAATGGGGCTATTTCTGGAAAATTGGGACCAAACATCGTCTGCCATACCCTTTTCCTGTCCTCGCCACATTATAGTATTTTTAGGTGAAGCAGCAGAGGTGAGCATTGTGTCTCTTGGCACAGTGGACATTCACTGGCAGGTTTGTACCGAGCACATGGCTTAGTAAGGTTGTGAATTTTCATGTGGGAACTGAGAAGTATGACGAGAGGATTATTAGGGGTTAATGTCAAATTATATTTGAAATGCTGGGTTTTAACTAGACTGTATAATAACTAGATGCAGCGTCTGTGTTTGTGAAGCAGAGTTTTACAGCCTATAGGCAGAAGTCGCCATATCGGTAATGCTGACTTAATTAGTCAACCTACCAAAAGCGGGCCTCCTCCTTGTAGCTGCCCGTCAGTCAAGTCAGGTCATTTGACCATCTTGAATGCATTATAAAAAATGTCACTTCCTCTATTGAGGGTGCTGTAGGAGCCCTGAGCTGTACAGACCAAAACGATATTTTCGGTCTTGATTTTGAACCAGGCAAATTTGGCTCTTGTTGTCGTACGCTGTACATGGTTTTCAGTGCTTCTGCAGCCAAAAAACTCAGAGAACCGCAGTTTCTAGCTCTTATAGCCACATCGACCTAATTTGTCAACACCTGAGGTTGCTGCGTGGTTTTAACATAATGTCTAGCACTAACAGAATGCTGGTTGATGGGATTTGTTGTAGACTTTTGTGGGGAATTTCATTTGGCTATTGCAAGCTGCTGATTTAGGCTAACAGCTAACATGCTGCAACAAGTTCACGCAGAGCTAACTTTACCAGCCAAGTGTCACTGTAGGGCCACAGAAGGAATGAGGGGGGCGAGTGACGGCCACTCACACTGCCAATGTGTCGAACATTACTTGGTTTGATAAGGAAAATAAATTTAGGCATTTTACTCCAAGCAAGAACTCGCTGGCGGCCAAATTTTGAGTTCTGACCCTAAATTTGAGAAAGGTTGGCTCAAGAAAAATAGTTCATTGTTTTCTAGCAGTTTATGCTAATAGATGAAGATTGCTGTACACGTTAGAGTAAAAAGAAAAATAAACGAAATGTAGGACATTCATAAAAACATGATTTTTGCCAATTTTTCTGCATGATTAGAAATAGTTTTAATAAAATTGCATGTCTTTGGTCGTTGTTTGTAAAAATTTCAGTGAAGCCACTTGTTACTCGGAGGCAGTGATTGTACTTTTAATAAAGTCTGCTGAAATGGTGGTACGGCTCATTTTTCCCCTAGAGACGGAATGAGTTTAGGGTACACAAATTTGAAGTATGCAGGCAGACATACAGAAAAACACGCTCCATTTAAACTATTTAGTGTCCATTTTTCACAGTAATTAAGAGTAATGGGAGCATTGTCAGCAGTACAATATACCATGCAGGGGCAGCCAAGTCATGTTTGTGGGGGTCCTGGAATCTGTGTGTGTGTGGATGTGTGTGTGAGGCTGTCATCATTACTCCAACCACAGACTAACACAGGCCACAGGCATGTGCCCCAAACTCAACGAAGGCCAGTATATGTGTGTTTGTGTGTGTATATCTGTGTTTGTGTCAGACACGCAGCTACGGTACATTTAGTGGACTCCGCAGTTACAACAGCAGCAACAACAACGTGCACTCATGGCCTCACATACCAACACACAGCTATTACACACATACGCTGACACATGTCCACACATGTACTCACACACATACTAACACACCCTTATAGAAGCGAATCTAGGGGTGTGAGAGGTTTGGAGTTAACAGCACACTCGCCCACACAACTGTATCCAAACCAATTACATTTAGTGTTGTCATACCACAAGGATGAATCAGCAGCTCCACTGACATGCGTTTTTTCATGCTACTGTTGACTTCCACGAGCTGGAAACATGTACTACAGCAAAATGTAATCTCAAAGACACACATGCACACTATTAATCATAAACATACACATTTACACATGTAAGTTCAGGGAGTATGCATAACCCAAACGCAAAGCAGAACGGATTTTAATCTAACTGGGCTGACATTCATCAAAGTAAGTGCATCATGATAACATTTAATAGGCAATTATAGCTCAAACTTATTTGTTTATACCGCTGTCTTCAAATCTGCTATCACCTTTCAAGATCTAAGCCTTCACAATAAAGCTTTTCTCTGCTGGAGTACCTGGTGTATCTGCCATTGTTATTCTAACATCGCTGCCAAACACCCTTGACAGACAACCCTGAGTTAACAAACCCATGAGTGAACCATCAGAGATGAAAGGGTAAAGAAGCAGGGCTGTGTACACAGAGGCAATGCATGTTATTTTGTCAGATGAAAGAGATGGCATACTTCTGGAATGAGCATTCGGATCAAAAACAAGCTCTTATGTAAACATCATTTCACAGGGAGGTGTCAAACTTCTGGGCGCTGGCAACGAATCGCTTCATGGCGAAGAAGCACAATGCTCACTATTCATCTTTGTGGGATGACAATCTGCCTGGTTGAGCAACAACGGGAAATCTCCCCGTCCTTGGGAAATAATAATTAAACAAAGGACAACTCAGTCAGCACAATACGCTGAGTGTGTGAACACAGGTGGAGAACAGGTTTGCTCTGCTCATTTGACTTGGGAGCGACGTCAACAGAAGAGAGGAAACAAGGCTTTTACAGAGCGAGGTGGTGACGCGATGTTCTTTGAATGGGTTTCATGTTACGCTCCAGGTTATTTACCTGTGACTGTTGTTCTGTTTAACTCTTGCTCATTAGTTACTAGTATTTCACCTTTCCTGAACTCTCTGTCCTGACACTGGAGTTAGATTTCACCACAGTGATGTGTTTCGGGCAAGCAGCAACCCCCGTGAAAGGAAGCTGAAGGTTAAGTGCAAAAAAAAAAAATTGCAGTTCTTTAATTGTCCACTTGAGGCTGGTTGCAAGAGACAAGAAAACCTCACTGACATTCATGTGAAATCGTCCATTTTACGTCTGTTGCATAACTAGGGTAACCACTGAGACTAATGACAGGCAGGCATCTTTGTCCCTTTCTAGGTTGACTGAGAGTAAGGATTAGTCAGCGTCTCCTGAATGGTGACCAACATTACTTGGCTTCTACCACTGGGTAATTTCGTTGAAGCTATGTCTATGTTTTATACAGTTTATTGTCATGAAATTACTCTAGATGTGATTAGCTTAACTATGCATTACATAGAGGATGGATGCCAGCCTGCCCCTTCAGATTAGGGGCACACAAAAACATATGTGCTGTGACCACAGCGTAAAAGTGCTGTTTACGAACCACAAGCCTTTGTCAGTATGTTCAAATGTGGAAACTTGATAAAGCATGAGACCCGAGCAGGTAAGCATTAAATAGTCAAATTTTTTTATCAGTTGTAGAAGTGTTGGGAATCCACTTATCCATTCACATTAGTGTTAATCTGACAATAGTATTTAACTTGATGATGGACTTTAGTAAGATAGTGATCTTAATTCGATGACATCTTTGCTAACAGCCCCTGGGGCTATGAAACCCTCAAAAAGAACATCTTGTATTTTGACTGACAGAATACAAGTCTGCTTGGCGTCCTGCCAGCCGATGATTCAGAGATGAATCTTTAATTTTTGAAAGGCAGCCCACGAGAGAAGTTTGCCTTATACATCTGGTAAGCACCACTTTGTTTTTGAACAAGTAAAATAGCCCCATCTCTGGTGACAAGGTGTCATGATGCTGTACACAGTCACTGCGCCTGGATCACATTTGCCAAAAGAAAGGTCCAATATGTGTGAAACCTCAAACATAAATTTTTACACTTCTATTGTGTGTCTTTTTCCATGTGGCGGACACGAGGCCTGGCACGTCTCTGAGCACCATCCCCGGGACAGATCCGTGACACTGGGCTCCTTTACCAGGGGAGGCCTATAAATGACTGGTTTGATCCATCCTGGTGTTCCTTCCATCTGCAGCTGACACCTCCTCTGTGGTCTCAGGTCCCTCTACTATGATGTCATACAATGTTTGAGTCCTGGTTTACCACATGAAGGAAACTTGGCCACACTGACTTCAGCTGTAAAGGCCCATAGTCGGTAAGTGTGTTGGTCTTAAACAGAAACAAGTGGTCGTATTATGTTGCCTGAGCTGCCTGTTACAGTAACGCTTCATGAAAGCCTGAGTAAAGAGATACCTGACCACAATACCCAGTGTTTTGCTTTGCTCTGTTGCCTTCTGGACTCTATTTATTTTCAATTTGCCGCTGGCTTTCCTACCAAAGCCAGTGGTGGCACAACTGGAGGACAATGTACGCACTTCAATTCACACTACCACCTGTATCCTTCAGGTGGATTCTCACACACTCTCCCTCTCTCTCTCTCTCTCTCCATATGCAACATATCCCAGTGCTTGTACAGCTGCAACCAATTCACTGCAAACAAACAATCTGCCCATTGTTTTTACAAATAATATCCCAATATGCAGCGTCTACCCGCTCTGCCAGACGAGCATGAAGCAAACAGATGCTTCTGAAAAGTGGGGGCAGCATTACAGCTGGGGATAAAATGCCTACTCTTCATTATAGTTGGTCCAGAAGCTTGCTGCTGGCGGCTTGGGGCTGGTGCTAGGACAAGGGCCAGGACCAGCGCTGGCTCAGCTCCTGGCTGCTATGTTAAGTCTGCCTCAGCCACAACCACATTGCGCAAAGCTGCTTCACACATATAATTTACTCATTATTCAAGAAGTCTTCGAAGTAGTCAAAAAATATGCTGCCCAGTGAGAGACACGGTGGAAAACTAACACAGAGCGAGTCGCCATTCTGTGAGAAATAGAGTTGTATCCAGTTATATAATATTAAGAGATGGCAGGCTTATGGAGTCACAGTCAATTAGCACAGCTGATTGCATAGAGGAGACCACAGAAACCTTATACTTTAAAAATTCTTAATAGTACTCAAGGAGACAGATTTACCAATGATTGGCACACTCCAGTATGAGTGCATGCCATCAGCAGATACCGGTTACTGTGTCTGATTTAGTATGCTTACAGCGCTCGGATTACTTTTTACAGGGCAGGAAATAGACGTCTCAGAGTCCTTGGTTCGTTCCATGAAACATCCTTAACAGGAGATGAGCGAGTTTTTCAGACATGGGTGACTATTGTGGTGTTTAAGCAAGAGCATCAAAAGCCCTGAGAGTTGTGTAATGGAATACCTTTCCTTTCAGACAATGACAAAGTAACGGTCAAAGAAGTTGTCTCATTAGCAGTCATCAGGTCTTAATCACAGCCTTTACACCACTTGCTATCTCTTCCACGTCACCCTACCCCCCCCTTTAAACCCATTTCTTCTGCTTCATCAACCAAACTCTTTAATGTCCCTACTTGTTTTTCATCCTTTCAAAATCCTACTGTCTTTAACCCCGCCATAGAAAATGATTAAATGCACAGCCTCATTTGTGTAGGGACTTTGCAAAGGTGGAGTCTTTGGTAATAGAATGAAAGGGAGGAGGCTGGCGGGCTTTGATCTCTCTGGGGGGCAAATGGATTGGATTGTCTTGCCCCTGCTGGTGGGGCTAAGCTGGGGACAGTGTGAGACGCAGGGGGTCATATCAAAGGTGGTTACCTTCAGAGGGGCTCCTCGGCGGCACATTAGTACACTATCTAAATGTTGATTTGTTCGCACCAACATCAGAGGAGGACTAAATGAGCTGACAAAAGGGAACACCCTGTGAATGTGAATGAGCTAAGTGGTCAAGTTCACCTCTTTAGGGTCACATCTTTTTATCTTTCTCATCCTTTCAGCCAGTGTTTGATTCGAGGCCTTATTTAGATGAGAAGAGCTTCATTAAAAACTGACAAGTCTTTCCATCCATTTAAAAAAAAATCTGTTTCTTTGACACTGATATGAAAACGATGGCTGACCAGTTATTGGTGGTATAACTTTGTAACCAACACCATGAGCCTTCATTGTGGTCAGTAAAAGCCTGTTAAAAGTGTAAACTCAGTATAGTCTACATAAATATAACATAGACCAATATAAATGGATTCCCCATGGTGTTTTCAAAAGCTTTCACTGTGTAGCTCAGGCTCCAAATTTTGTTTCAGCTGTCAAAACAGCACAAGTTCACCATCTTGTGTAAACAGCTCCCAAAACTATCACGAGTAGACAATTTAAAAAGCTTCCGTCTATAACAGTCAGTCTCAAATAGATCTTATACGCCGATTCTTCCATTCATAGCACCCACTGTTAATAGCACAGCATGCTCATCGTCTATGTTGTGGTAAAGCAATGATTGGGAACACCCTATAGCCCCAGCAAAAAAGCCATGTTGAGGTCTGTCTGTGTGTGTGTGTTCCTCCATTGTGGGTGGGAAACATCATATTACTGTCACTCTCACAGCTGACATTTGGAGAAAAGGTATAAATCAAACACACACATACACCCCAGCAGCCACTGTCAGCCATAGACAGACAGACACAAAGAATGAACTTTATCATGCATGACATCTTTGCCTCTAATTTGATCATTTGTGGACATCGAAATGTTCACAAATATCCCTGCTGGTGCAAACCACAGACTTCTCATGCATCTGTTTGAGAGAACCACTGTTGCATTTTACACCCCCCTGAAGCCGCAGGGCTAACATTAGAGAAAAGAGTAGGTGGGTGTTTTGTTTTTGGATTTGAGAAAAAAAAAAGAATTGGACAAGAAACTTCTTAGAAGTTGAGTGACTCAAGATTTAATTATAACACAACTGCCAGAAGCTCTGAACCTGCGGAGTGACTGCTGTTCCTCACCAGTAAAAAGCAAGTCAAAGCATATAGTTCTATCTTTATTATTATAAGCCCTCCCAGGCTTGTTAGAATGAATTCTCAGCAATAACCATAAAAGAAGAAAATTAGACTCTTTCCCTGGTGTCACAGTTTGCCATTCTCTTTGTGCATGGCCCAAATGTGGGATTGCAAATAAGCATCTCTATTTTTAGGGATTTTAAGACCAGCAGCACCCGTGTGGGTCATTCCATATCATTAGAAACAGCTCCAGAGATGAACAAATGCTCATGGCGCTCGTATAATTCTGGTCTTTAACCTTATAGTACAGTGAAATCGAAGCCAAGCCTAAAACCTCCTTCCATCATTGGTGTTATTTTTGAATCTATACTGAAATTTGGGTTGACACATTGATTTAAAATGCCTACTTCTTTGGTTATCTCATGCATCAAATGTTCAACTCAGCACATTCTTCAGCAGCTTGAACCCAACTCAGAAGCCTCAGCCTAACCCCCTGTTCCTGACATGTACATTTCAGCTCTTCCCCATACTCAGTCATTAGCCCTGCTGTCTGACTTCTGAGCTCTTACTCCAGTCTGCTGCTGCTGGTGGTAAATATTTGCTAGAAAGAGATTGCGTTCTAAAATGGTACTCCAATGTCTCCTTTGCATAATAGTTGCTGTGAAGGCCTCCATTGTCTCGTTTAAACTGACCACAGAGTGTATTTTGGTGATGTCGGCAAGGCTTGGCTTCTCTACAACTCTAATTAGCATTCCTTCCAGATAAAACAATGATCACTTGAATACGACCGAGCTAAGCCTGCAGGAAGTGATCTAAAGAGCTGATAGGGAACCTGTGATTACCAAGCAACTAACTCCAGTCCTTCATGCATAATGTTTTAATTCAACATCACCCCCTGCCACCCCATGTTGTCCCATCACTAATCTTGTCCAATGTTATCTTCAAACTACTGCTTTGTCCCCGCAGCTACAGGCTTTATCATTTATTGATTATGTCTCTCAGATTAAAGGAGCTGCTTTCATTTCCACAAGAATGCGCCCCTCGCTTTGTGTCCATATGGAAGCATTTGCCGGACAGATGGGTTATTTTCCTAGGTCCCGCCGGTCAGAAAGAGATTCACAGGGACTTGGTAAGAAGTGGTGCTGCTGATGACCAATTGTCGCTCGCTTTGAAGTCCAACTCCAAGGTGATCTGAGCGTTTATGAGAAACGGGGGAAAGTGTGAAAAACATGCAGGAATATGTTAAAGTAAGGTGAAGCTGAAAATCTGAACCCTAAATCTCATGAGCCACTTTTAAAAGTCTTCATCTTAATTCCTCCAGACAATCCAGGCCTGTCAAATGGGCACATAATACCACCTCAAACCCCCTCAAGCCTTACAGACTTAATTCCATGTGCTGAGAAGCTGAATTGCCTGAATGTGGGTTACACACAAATGACGGACATTTTGTCTTGGGGTAAGTACTAATATGCCACTGTTGTTGCCCAGGCTGTCTGTATCTGGGTTTTGGTTTAAATGTTGGGTTTACTCTCCCTGGGCTGTGCGGTTTGCAGCAGCTTAATCACAAAGCCACAAGCATCTCAGCCATTTTGATAGGAGCCAAACTGGGGAGGCTTCGTATGTTACACTGTTTTTTGCTCGATATAGAGGTCTCTTTCTGCAGAGTCAGCAAGGCTAACGAGATTGAAATAGTTCTTGTTGACAAATTGAAAATGTGCAAATAAAAAGAGAGTAAACCTGAGAGAGTTATGGACTGTAAAATGTTACGGGCAGTAAATCTAGCGAGCAGGAGCTAGGTTCTGCTTGTGAAGAAATGGAAAGAACATTTAATTTTTTGAAATTCAACCTGGAAGGAAATACATAAGTATCAAAAACATTTAAAGATCCCCTGAATGGTGAAATTTAAACCAAATTATGCATTAATGTAGGGATTCGATATGGTTTTTGGACAGCTTCTTTTAGTTTTCGTGCTTGGACAAGTGGAGCATCTGGAGACAGTTTCCAGATCAGTCTCAGTCTGGGATGGAAGATGAGTGAGGAACCAAAGCATGGCTCTAAGATTAAAGAGAATGAGGAGATAAAAGATCTTCGAATTGACAATTACTACCACAAGCTTCTGAGAGATAACACAGATCACTAGTCTGCGAACACACACTCAACATCTTTTCACTTATCAGCTCCAGACAGGCGCTTCTCAATCCACGTGTCCTGATCACAAATAATATTTCCCAGCACGCAGGTGTTTACAATCCTTGCCGAACAACCGTGTTTACTAAAACATCAGCATTAAAAAAAAAAAAAAAAAAAAAGTTACAGGCAATGAGGCAATTAACGCCTGTGTACCACGACGAGTGCCTCATCTTACTTACTAATGGTTTGGGGCTGAGAACCAAGCCTGCTTTTATAGAGAGTCCTACTTGCGAGACGTCCAAAATATTGCCCACAAGGGAGGGTGTTTTGAGAAGTTGGATCACTGCAGACACACAGAGGCTTTTTTGTTGTGCTGTGCATGTAATTTACAATCACAACTGATGGACTCAGAGAAGCTGCTACTGTTGACTCCTGCAGAGAAAATCGCGTAAACTTGCTGCACTTTGGATGCTGTGCAGGAGTGGTGAGAAGTGTGTGCAGGCAGGAGCCAAGTTAGGCCCTCGGAATTTTTCCACGGAGGAGAATAGCTGATTCATTAGTGGCTCATTTACGATAAAGCCAATTTTAACCTGTTTTCTCTTTTTTTTTTTAAAGCAGTCTGAGCTGCTTGGCTTGTAAGTGGTACAATAAAGCTCAACACATTCAGACCTGTGATAAATCTTTATCACTAATGATATTTAGCTCTTCCTTTTGGAGTTTTAATGTGTCTTTTACCTCTCTTTTTGGTCCCTCTCTTCCCCTTAAGTGTTGCAAATCTCTCCAAGTCTCATCCCTTGTTTTCCCTTTCCTCTCATTCCTCTCTGATCTGTCACCCTTATTGCAGGGAAGCTAACCCCTGGTTCTTCAGAGATCTGTGAGTTCATGGAGAGGAATGTGTGTCCTTCCTGACATTACAACGCTCTTTATCAACTAACAAGATGAGGGGAAGGAGGAGGAGGAGGGAGCGGGAAGGAAGAGAGGAGGAGGATGTTAAGATGTTAGAAACGGTTTGAGAGCTTAGGGGAAAAAAAAGAGGGCTCTTTGTGGCTGCTTATCAGACAGGATATGAAGCAACTCAATGGCTTTGGCATTTGGCAAAATAGCTTCCTTCAATGGGCATTTACTACAAGAGGCATCCCCTGACATGAGGCCACATATGCCTGAGTGAGTGAGTGAGAGAGAGAGAGGGAGAGAATTTCAGGAAGAGGAAAGACAGCCGGAGGGTGTTTAAGAAGTTCCGTATTTTGTTAATTGCCCACGATAAGATGCAGCAATTTGCCGGTAGTTGTGATGATTATCAATTGCAGCAATTTAACAGATGTTGTTGCACTGTTTGAGCTTTCAAACACATCAGTCTTTTTTTTTCATTGCTGGCTAAAGGACACTTCTGACTAATTTCTGAATTTTGGAGAAACGCCACGAGAAGATGAGCCAAATTTATCTCACCAAAGGACACTTCTGCTTTCATGCACGAAAACTGTCTCTCTCTCACGCACACACACACACATGTTACAGTTTCTGAGTATTATTTTTGTTAATGGGATCTAAGGGGCATCGTTTTCCTGATGTGGTGTAATTGAAGCTGCTGTATTAAAGGGTTGTGTTCCTCTCCTGCTGCTGAGACACAAAGTACAGCAAAACCCCATCCCAGTTATTAACCCAGGAAGTCCCCATGGTGCACTGCACTCTAATGAGAGGCTGATATGTGTTTTATTTTTCTCTCTTTTTTTTTTCATTTACTTGTCAGCCTTTTGACCCCTCTGGAGCTCATCTGGTGCTCAGTGGTCCACCTCTGTCTCTTCATGGCGGCTTATAGGTTTAAAAGTTTGCCAGTTTTTCCTCTTCTAGAAGACACTTCTTAGTTTTTTTCACTGACTTTAAAATACTCTCACACTGATCCTTATATTGATGACCTGTGCAGTGAAATTAGAGAAGAGAGGCAGTACTGGTTGTTTCTATATAAGGAATTTTAGAGCAGTGGTTCTCAACTGGTGGGTCCCGACCCAAAAGTGGGTCGCGGACATGTTCTGGATGGGTCACAAACAGCTGGTCAAAAAAGTAAATATTTAAAGTGATATTTATTAGATATTTGATAATTTCTGTATATGCAACTTCAGTAGTTGTCTTCCTCATGTTGTCCCCTTCATGTGCTCTGAAATGCACTTCACTCAATAAATCAAGTGGATTTATGTTAAAGATTAGAGTCTTTAAAGGATTTTTTTCCTAAAAAATAAAATTTGCTTGGTTTGAATTCTATAAAAGTGACTTAAGAACCATGGGAAAATGTGGGTCCCAGAATTAGACCAGTTGAGAACCACTGTTTTAGAGCCTGCTATTCAAGAACTCTGAAGCACACATCATGACATCAGGGCTGAACTGGTATGTCTAGCAAATAGTGATTTATCTGCGCTAACAAAGTGTCGAACTGTTATGTTGCATGTCACATTCCCTCATTAGTCTGCATCCTGCTAAAGGTTACCTCGAACAAATGCTCAACTTGACAAGAGCCACATCTTAACGACAGTGGGGGTTGATTGGAAACGCACTATTCATCCCATAAAACACCACCAATTTGGTTGAAAGGGGTCACAAGAATCAGCTCAAACTCTTCACAGTGTGGGCCCAAAGGGTTAGAATATGAAATAAGTGTCCTCCACTTTTTCTCCTTTCTTTTTGGTTGTAGCACGACTTCCACTTCTGGGACAGTAAATATTGAAAATTGCAGGAAATAAAAGACAGCCTTTAATGCAGGTTCAAGCCACCTGCCACCTCATCAGGAGCCTTACCTTTTGAACTTCATGAGAAAATTACACAACAGATTTGCTGTTTGCAGGATTAGCTGTGACGTCTCAAAGAAACTTGTTTATACCATCTCATTATGTGGTTCAAACATGATTTGTATTCCTATCCCCGTTCCACCATTTAATTAATACTTCAATATCGAAATGTTTACACGTTTCTTTGCCTTATAGCCTGAAAACACACAATATTTTTAATTAATATTATCTATGGGTTTATTTAATCAACTGCACACAAATATTTTCCATTCATTAGCGATTGATGTTTCATTTGCCAACATTTGCAGATAAATCTAATTAATGCCGCCCACACCCTCAGTCTAAACACAATGGGCCTTCTTCTCACAACACAACAGCTCCTTGTCTTTAAACAAATTAACACTAATATATCTTAATAGGGTTGAAATTACAACCCCATACAGCCCGGGGCCCATTTCTGACAGCCGTTCTTCTTGTTCTTCACCATCTTCCTGAACATCTGGAGTTTCCCATGATGCTCTTTTTTATTGGTCCTCTGGCTCGCTCTCAATTTTTCACCTGATTGGTTGTCTTTTACACCATGTTCCTCCAGAGGAATGCCATCACTGTTGTGTATCCAAAGGAGAGATTAGCTCTACAATCACTCAAAACACTCAAGATTTTCTCACACAGGGCATAACAGCAGCCACGGTTGTATTGTCTGCTCCGCTTTGATGTAGGACTTTGAGCCGTGAAGGACGTATAATATCATTTACAGTCAAAATCCGGGGTGGTCTTTCCCAGTGTTAACAGCTCAGACCTGCTTTGTGTCCCACTGATTCCAAAAGAGTGGATTTTTCTCAGGCTGTTGAACGCTCACTGACTGGTTTAATTGCTAGCAGACTCAAAGAGATGGATATTTGAATCACGCTGAGTAAAATATTCCTCCATCTGGATTTGATAAGCTCATAAATGAATGCCATCTGATGCTGATTTTACACTTTACACTTCAAACAATTACATTAATTCGAGAGCACTTGCTGTACTTTTACTTAAAAGTGAAAGGACACTATCATAGAGTGGCTATGCGGTTGAACAAATGTGCAAATTCATGCTCTGAATGTCTTAAAGCAGCTTAAATACCCCCTGAAAACCTATATTTTAGTAAAGATTTGCACATTAAGGGCTAATATCAGCCTCTTTATTAGTGAGAACCATTCTGCAGGGACAGATAGTCTTCTCAGAGAAAAAGGGATTGATGCATTACCACTATTTTAACACCAAAACAGCTCTTAACTAATGTTGGGAAAACAACAAAAACAACTGCCAAAAGATCTCCTGCAATCCCTGACTCAATAACATTTACACACCAGTGGCTTGGATCACAAGAGTTCATGAAATATGTGTCAAAACAGGTAGAGCAGAGGAAGCATGAATCTATAATTATATAGACGGTATAATTACAAATCAAGCACGTACACAATTCATGGTATAATTATGAACCTTTGCAGTTTTAAGCCACTAATGGGAACTGGGAGTGAGGGGTTATTCAACACCCAGACAGCGAATTACGGTGTAGGCCTCGTTAATTGGTTATGCCCCCAGTTTAGAACGGGAACGTGAAAAGGTTGGCAGATTTATGGAGCAGTTGCACACTTACACATCGGTGGTGTTTTGAAGAAGCAGTTTTTTTTTTTGTGCGTGTCTTGTTCAGCGTTTACTGGAAAGATGTGTGACCACATAACACGAAGAAAGAGGCTGTCATGGAGGACTGACAGGTGAGTGATGTTTATAAGAAATGAAGATATGCCACCATGTTTCATTTTGAGACTTTCACACATGGTAAAATGATTTTTTTGTAGAAAAGCAGCCTTGCAAAAGCAGCCGAACGATTAGCTGTGGGAGAAAAGGGGAAAAAAAAACGCTCCGGCTCACCAAAGCAGCTTGGTTTTGTATGGAAACAACTGTGGCTGGATGTTTGGTTCTCATAGAAGCCACATGACAGGGAGGTCATGAGAGAGACAGCAGGCCCGGCACTGTGTGCGATCCCACCACACTTATTCCCTGCTGCACTTTTTGATGTTTCCCTCCTTGACTTTTATCACGGTTCCTCAAGAGACCCCTACTCTCACTGATGTCGAGGAAGCAGACACACACACGTTCGCAAACACACACACCGACTCCTGCACCATCTGAGCCGAATCCTGGCTAGTGCTGCCCATTTCCACCTTCAAAAACTCTTTTAACAAGCAGAGAAATCATTTAGCGGACACTTTCCTGGATCATAAAACACCAAATGATGGCTTTGGGAATCCTGCGCTTTATTGATCTGCACTCTTCGATTAAAATAAGAGTACTTCCTGGGCCAGTCCTGGTCAGCTTGGTGGAGAGGAAATGTTGGGAGGTAATGAAAAGGGGGGGGGGGGGGGGGGTTGCTCGTGTGAGGCTGAAATGTGATCTGGAGCCTGTGTCGCATTAGCCTTAAAGGCCGTGTGGCAGACGCACTGGCACCACAGAGCAGAGAGGATGGGTGGCGGAGGAGAAGGAGGAGGAAGACGAAGGAGGGGGAGGCAAATCGCCGGACACCCTGACGCAGGGAAGAGTAGGCTAAAGCAAAAAGAAGGATTTGCAGCATCCTCACTGGAAGATCTCTGGCCCCTCCTTCTAGAAATTGACAACAGAAGAGAGAGAGAAAGATGCTTATCCCTCAATCTAAGTCACCTTTGTACCTGCTGCACACACTTCATCACACTTCCCCCATCAGCCTGTCATCCCACAGGGGTCACGGTCAAGCTGGCGCTCCCTCTCTCTCTGTGTCATGTTGTCTCTCTCCTGCTCTGTAATTTCCTTTTTTTTTCCTCTCCTCTTTCCCGGAAAGAATGTGTCTCCTGTCGCTCCTCGAGTCAGAGTCAGAGTCAGGGGGTCTAAATAGCTCATTTGGGTGTCTGACTCAGTTACGGAGTCCCAGAGGTGCCTGGAGGATTCCAAGAATTCCAGCTTTTGCACCCACAACAGTGACGCCACCTGAGGGAATGTCATAGAGATCATACCAGACACGTCTTGCACACACTCTGGATTCATCTTCCAGCTCCAACATGAACCTCTGCATCACGTCCAGATAAGAGAAATCTAAGATAAGTGTGCAGCTGCATATGAAGCTTTTTTTAAAGTGGAATACTGTGAGAAACACTGTTGATGTGCACGTGAATGACTGAGTGATGATGACAGAGAGGATGAAGGAGTAGGGGAGGCAGAGAAGAAGGAGACACTGAGCCAGAGTGAGAAGAGTGGAGGGGGTAATGACTAGGTCTGCTCAGGACATAGGAGGCGACAGAGGGGGGAAGCGTCTCCGATCGTCTCCTCGTGGCTCCTCTTTGGCGTCTGTGATCCTCGGACCCTTCACGCAATCTCCCTTATTACAAGGCTTCCCCTCTCCACACGGGCACCACTACAAAATGGAGCAATTACATTTAATTAGGCTGCGGAGGGTAGCTCGCCTGCCCCATCCCAAAACCTCAGAGAAGCGCAGACTTCAGGTAACACAACGGTCGGGGAAGAACTTCAAAGAGATGCAAAATTACAGCGCCATTAGTGGAGCCACCACAGAACTGCTGTGAAGCCAGGGAATCATTTGACCCAGAGAGGTAGATTCAAAGGAGTTAAAAACTGAAAAAGCAGAGGAGAGGAGACAAAAACATCTCAGCAGCCAAAGATTAAGGGGCAGACGAAGCACTTCTCTAAACATTGTTTGTGTTGCATGGGAGACTTGAAAAATTAAGGAGTCTTTCCAACGCCTATTAGTTATCCCAGACCCCTTTGGCCCCCTCTGGAAAGATGCTTCGTTTGGGGCATGTCAAACATTTTGTGGTTTTATGTTTAAAAAGACATATTCCTGCTCCAAACAAACCAGGATTTACTGTCCTTATAAGTCACTCAGCCTGTACTAGGATGATGATATACGAGGCAATCCCATTTTATCTGCCTGCTACTCGCAACACTGGATTTTGGCTCACAGAGGGCACGATGGCCCTAAAAATTTTATTGATGCTGACTCACTAGGCCTCCAACCAGAGTGGAAAATTCTGACTTAAACGCTGCTGGATCTCCCGAGACAGAAGCACTCTTGTTTAAAAGCCACAGCGTTAACACACAGGTGAGCCAACAAACAAACAAACAAACAAATAAACAAACAAACGACCAGGAATCATTCTGCATTTTTTTCATTTTTCCTCTTGGTTGTAATGTAATTAAGCAGATTATGGAGTCAGGTGATGAGTCAGAGTTTTTTGTAATGACACACAATCATGCGCACACACACACACTCTCACACACACACACAATGAAAACAAACCTTGTGTTTATGACTACAGAAACATAAAATTGACATGCTTTTATTCAGGGTAATTGCAGGGTAATCGCAATTTTTGCATTCTCCTCATAGTATCTCCACCAGCACCGCTGCCCTGACGCATTATATTTTTATATTCTGGAAACCCAAAATTTAAAGTAGTCCTCCAACCATGTCATTTAGAGTTTAAAATAATGTATAAAAACAAGCATCTAAGCGCCAATGTCACGGAGGATTAGGGCTACATTTAGGCATAGATTTAATAGACATTTCATGAATGGTCTGAAATTGGCAAGGATTGTATCATAATATAAGAATAACTCTATTGAAGAGATCAGAATTGTTCATCGAAAAGAAGAGAGTCATGAATTTATGCAGTTTTATTTATAAATGTGAGAGAATAAAGTCATAAATTTAGAAGATAAAGTCAAATGTGAAAGAATAACATAATATTTTGAGGTCAAACTTTTAAATTAAAAAGGTTGAAGCCGCAAGCTACAAGATTAAAGTTTCACATGTACAAAGATGAGGTTGTAATTTAAAAGAGTAAAGGTGTTATTTTATGGTAAATAAGTTACAGAATTACGGACTACAGTTAATTGATATTGAGGCCAAAACAACATTTGGGATGATACCGTGAGGCAGATGGGTGTCAGTACCGAATAGTTCAGAATCCTGATGACAGTGAAGGACTGATGCGCTAAAAAACTAAAGGAGTATTCAGTTTTTAAAAACCACATTCAAGCATAATTTCCAAAGATACTTCACTTTCCTGGTTTTAGTTCAGGTGGTTAGCTGCACTTCTGGTCTTCTCTTCTAAAATAATAAAATGGCCAACCATTATTTTTTCTCCTGAATTGAATCTTAAATCTTCTAATATAACATCTTCATTCTTATAAATTTATGGCTTGGATCTTAAAATCTCAAATTCAAAAGATTACAGAAAAAAACCCTCTACTTTCAAAAGGTGGCACCACTCATCTGTCATACATGAAAGACAAGCATCAATCAAAACTCAAATGATTGTCTTATGTGTTTTTAAAAGTCTTTCTGATGTTGGCTTTGATGATGATGGAGCACTGATGTTTACTACATGACTGTACAACGATAGTCACATGGCTGTTTATAACGGGCTTTACACTTTCAGTTTATAATCATTCTAAGTAGTATGGCATTGAGTTGAGAACATAGTACATCCTGCAATGCTGTGTGCCTCCAGTACGCGGATGTATATACATAAAAGCCTTTTTTTGGTATTAGATAGAAGCGCACTGGTCATTTTGTATCTAACTGCCCAGAAATGCATCAAGACTCTTTAAACTACACAATAGTGGAGCTCCCCACTCCACAAGCCATAAGTGGGTTACAAATGGAAGTGGTATGTTTTCCATTGTGGTTAAAAAATATATTCTGTAGCTGTAACATTGAAGCCTATTTACCACTCTATGGTTGAGCCAACATATCCATTATAGCTTGAAAAAAGTGATTAATGGAGTCGGAGGATACATAAGTGTGTTATTTCAAGCATCCTAATCATCAAATTAGTTGGAAAAATGCATTATGTGCTATCTGAGGATGTAGCAGGAAGTATGTCAGTATGTGGTTTCAGACATGTCTAAAAGCTTCAATGAGTATGAGTCAAAGCAGTATGCCTTTATTATTTTACTGTAAAATTCTACCAGTTTTCAATAATGAAATGAGTCACTTTTGATGAATCTTTGCTGTTGAGTTTGTTTCTGACTGTTTCTGTAACAGGCTGTTAGTCTTGCCCGATATTGTACCCATAATAGTGGTTACAGGGATTTAAAATGACTCAATAGAAATGCTCTGTCTTGTCACTGATGGTCCCCTTTGCTTTTTCTGGTTGTAAAGAGACATCAGTGCTAAATTCAATCTGTTTTAAAAGCACTTAAAAACTCCTCACAGGGGCCTTAATGACCTTGAAGTATTATTTAAAGCAGCTGGGGTTCAGCGTCCACTCTGGTTGTCTAATTTTGGCTGCAGGAGTTATTTCAGACTGTAAATTATGTATTTTCAGAAGATTTAAGATACTGAGCGACAACAGAAATGGAGTTGTGTAAAACAGTACCACTGCCAACTCCAGCAATGGATTCATAGCTTTGAGATCAAATAGGGCACGTCGGTTGCATGCTTATGCCCGCTTTGACCATGATGCAGATTGCCAAGTCCTTCATAACTCACTATTCAATGACCTACTGAGTGAATTGTGTTATGGTGGCAGAGTGTCTGTTCCCTGATCTAATTCTGGAGCAGTTCATTCTTACATAAAGTTTGTGGCTGCACTATTTCCAAAATCACAATCACGATTAGTTGACTTGTAGTTGACTTTGACAAGCTCTACTTGAGGCTCATGGTGGCCCGACAGATGAGTGAAACACTTGATATTTCCTCTGATTAGCCACCCATCTGTAGCGAACATCACCTCAGCCGCACAAAGCTGAAAGTAGATTTTTCTTTCTCCTCTAATACGCTACTGAAATGTTCCTTCACGCTCTTAATGCGTCTTTTGTAGTTTACTGCGACTCCATAAAGAAAGGGCCAGGTCTTTTTTTCCCCCCACCGCCACAAATTAGTCTCATGCTGCGTCATGATTTACTGTCTCCGTTATAGTAATCACAACCAGATCTGTGCTCACCGTAGACTACAAGCTGGAAACTTTGACAGACAGCCAGTCGCACCGTTGTCGCCGCTGTCACCAAGGCATTGCATATGAAAGGAACGCCGCGGCTGACGGTTACTGTAATGTTCAAACGTATTCCACTACTGGATTTAATAATTAGTCTTCTTCATGTGGTCAGCGAGAATTAGTGCTCATAGTAAAATTACGTATAAAATACAGAACAGAAATGATCATAAAATATAATGGGTAATTGAGTTTTAACTGAAAGAAAAACAAGCCTTGTGGAAAAGACTGAGGTAGGCCTGTGTAACAAGCATGCTGGAACATTTAAATTAATGGGTCAGCAAGTACTGATGAGTCTCCTACAAAAAAAAAACGGGTTCCTAATAAGCCGCAAAGAAAAACAAAATGTTCTAAATTAATCTCAGCTGAAAAAACACGGTGAGTTGCCTCATCATTATGGCAGAGAAATTGGGATACATAATTGCCTGGGACCTAGCTACAAAGTACAATAATTGACCCTCGAAATGAAAAACTCCCAGACTCTACACCTAAACATGAAAGGTGTCATCTATCTTCTCGGTGGAGTCGCTTGAGTGACTTTCAGCTGTAAAAGCAGCAGAAGGAAATGTTGATTTAGAACGTGACTCACGGTGCAGCGCGAAACCTCGAGCTCAGGATGACATCGTGTCTCACTCGTGCATCCTGGGCTCGGCCCTGCGTGCTGCTGCGGCCGGATCGTGACGACAGCACGATAAGACCAAAAGCATTCCTGTGCTCATCAGCTGCTATCTGAACAAGGCCTGCCTCCACTTTAGACAGCGTGGATGTCTTTAAAGGGAACTTAAATGCAGTGTCTGCTGATGGGAGCAGTCTGTAGATACAGTGAGTGATATAAATCTTTGGATAAGAGAAAAAGACACAAATAGATGAGAAGCCAGTGGAGGATAACAAAGACGGGAGCAGTATCATGTCTCTGAATGCATCAAGGATATGAAGCATGTGGTGGCCAGCTGGGTATCGCCTCGAGCTAGTTGAGTCCTTCCTGGTAGAATACAATGCTGCAGTAAAGACGCTCTTACAGATCTTCTGTTTGGATAGATCGTATCTGATGGTATCAATGTCAGGCTCAAAACTTTGACACAAATTCCTATTTACAGATGATACTTTACTCTTTGGACGTAAGCTTGAAGATGTCGATTATTGTCCAACACTCGCAGCCAAACATCCAAACAATGTCAGGCACGTTACCCACACAATACGAACTTTGCCATACTTCTAACCGCCAACTGAGAGAGCACGCTGGCGCTCACTTATCTAAGCAAGCATGTCGCTGGCCACATGTGCATGGAATGAACAGAGACACAAACAAGACAGGGGTGTACCACAACCCTATGATTAAGCACAGTTATAAAGATATTAAGATGCACTTCACAAAAGTATGATTCACTTTCTTCAGAAAGCAAATGAGTATTTGATGTGGCGGCATTTCTTCACGACGTGGGATTGTTTTGAGTCACAGAGGCCACAAAAGCAGAGATTGAAAGATAAAGGAACTTATTTGAATATCTAAAGGTTATATATGATAAACCACTAAAGCCACAGGGTCAGTACAGCTTTAGGAATCCTCATCTTTGCTAAAGTGCCCTAACAATGGCATCTTCTTGACTGCAGTTCTCCATCACATCACCGATCAATGAAACCTAGACGGACAAAATACACTGTGGGCAGTGCTGCCACAAGGCCCCACTATATCATAAATCACCAGTGAGACCACCATGGCACCAAACCACACCAGGCTTAGAACCAAGCTGCTCCTAATGAGAATCACTTACTAAAAACCCCTGTAAATGATTAAAAGCTGAAGTCATGAGTCACATCTTACAAATCAACAGCTTCTTTTTCAGCTTAATTTTTTGTTTTTAAGTTCCAGATGCTGCTTTTCAACTTCAATTTCCCTGATATTTCGTAGAACTGCTTTCTCTCTTAGAGTGCCTGTCTTAACACTCTGATGCCCTACTTTCATTCCCAGGAAAACAATCATTCAATTCGCCACATTTTCATCACATTCAGAGATGTGCAATTTGGTCCTGTGTCAATATACTTCACTCAGGATTACATCCAGTCTTACCTCTCAACACCTCTGCTATTTCTGCCCACAGACTTTGAAACCAACTCTTGCCCTGATTGGCCAAATTTAGCAGCCCTGCTCCATGGGAAACACTGGACCATGCAGGTTGCATAACTCTCCCTCTCGCGAGGTCACTCCTTATTTCTTTCTCTCTCCCCTGTCCTCCTTTCAGTAAACACCTCTACTTTGACAGGAGTGGCAATTTTCATCTCACTGATTGAAGAGTAAAGCTGCTGCTGGTCCGCCACACAGACTCCTGCCCTGCCCTGCCTTGCTCCCTCTCTCACTTTGTGCTATCAGTCATTTAAAAGAAACCTCCCCCATAATCTTAATCCTTCAAGTTTCAAGGCCCCTTAAGAACCGAGTCTGAGCCCGCAATGTCTCTTCCACTTTGTTTTCATTCGTGCTTGAGATACAAAGCCGCGAAAAGAGCACAATTTAGCTGCTAAAATCTTCTTTACTCACAAAACCTATTTCCTAGAGTAGGACTTTGTGCACAAATCTGCACACTCAGCCTAATAAGTATATTTAGACCAGAGGACAAACAATCAAAACTTCATTAAGTCCACCTTTAATGAGCTGACTGCTCGCAATAACACAAAGAACCTCTTCATTTCTCCTCCCTTAATCTGCCAGTAGCCTGTCCCTTTAATAGCACTGCTTAATTGTAATGACTGTGTCTGTTTGTCTTGGGATGAATAAGGCTCTGGGATTGAAGGGAGGCGGCGGGCCTAGACCACAGCAGCAAGACTCGGCGGTGGTGACGACTAACAGCTCATCAGTATTGGAGACGCAGGGCAGCTCATCAAAGAGTAAATCATCTAAACTGCACCCCCACCCCAAGATTAGAGCTGCAAGTGGCCAAGGCCTCGGAGCAACGACTTTGGATAATCTTAACCTCACCAAAGCCTCAACTAATGTGAAGAGAAAACAAGATGCTAACCACGGATTGTGTCTAGACGGAGCCTTAATCTGATTTGATCACTTAATCTAAGAACTTGCAGCTGAGGATATTAACTTCGATGGTCCACTTTAGAAAAAGAATAAACACAGGAGGGCACAAGTAAAAAGCAAATATGTGACCGGGTAAACAAGTTGAAGTCAAATGTGTATACTTAGAGAATATGACAAGTGTACAAATACTTAGTTATGGTAAAAACAAATGACCACAACTGTGCAAAAGCTTCTTGAGGAAATCTAGTTTAGGGAGACGAATCCTCATAGTGGCACAAAAGCCGGTTTCAGATCATTTTAAAGACTAGCAGCTCTTGTTTTAGATCCAGACTTTAAAAGTCTATCAAAGATTTGCTAAAAGGCCCTCAAAGCTTTGCAGTAAAGTTTAGTTTCAGAAAAATCTGAGCCTTAAAGTCCAACAGTTACATATTATTTTTCATCCCAGACTTAGCTGACAGGGAGATGAGAGATATCATAAATGTGAACAGGTTGTCAACTAGAGCAATGATCTTATTCAGGCTGGAACATTATCAGAATGGGACTATTCCTATTATTTCTCCTTTTTTTACCCATGTTACTATATCCACAGTGATTGCCATTGATGAACAAGGCAGTGATTTCATGTAACCTAGTGTTAGCCTCATCCACAAAGGTTAACGTCCCCCAAAATTTGTGCTTAAATAATTACAGGAGACTAAGCCCATAAAAAAACAGCCAAAAATGAACTTTCCCAACTTCAGATGAAGGTCAACAACCTACTATAAGACAGTTTTTGATTCATCTTGGTATTAAAGAACATTAGCTTGAATATATATTTTCTATGTCCAGATGCTGTTTGTCACAAACAGAATACCTGTTTACGTACATGCTCCTCCTGAATTCACGATAGATCCTTAAATTTTATTTGTTTTATCACTAAACTGGCACCAGTTAATTTGATGGTATCTTAACGCTGGATTGAGCTTCTTCTGACTGGATCCAAGTAATGGGAAAGCACTCCATAAAACCCAGGCCTTCGTCTGACAGGTAAAATGTTATAAAAAAACTAGTGATTTTTCTCTTTTACTGCAACAAATTCTGACTTTTTCCATGTGTTTAGAACAAATTTGTTACACAAAGATGATGACAAAATTGTGATTTATTTCCCAGCCCTAACATCAGTATGTTGTGGTCTTGCCTTGACACGAAAGAGAACAGTGCTGAATCCAACAAAAAGTTATGATTAAATCTGTGTGTATGAACTTCAACGGTGATATCTTTCATGTAAGAGTACATGCGGCAGGAAAACTCAAAATCCAAATGAAGGGATATAATAAATAACCTATTGCTATTGGACGCACATTGACCCCTGATTTATATTAAATACACACTGCACACAGCCTAAGACAGAGGTAGAGGAAGATGGTAGAGCTTTGGGTTAGCTAAAAATACTCTATTTGTTTAGAAGGACAGAAGAGCAGCTACAAAATAATAATTAGCTCCAAGGATAACTCCTGACTGGGGCATCCATTATGGCATGTGATGATAACTCAATGTGTGATGAGAGGAGCAAAACAACATGCCTCCTTTGCATTTCCCCCACTGCTTTAGTTGATGTTCCTGCATGATGAAAGCATCCCATAATCCCGCTGGAATGACAGTGGACAAAACATGGATAAGAGTGGGGAGGAAATTGCAGTACAAACAGCCTGATGAGTGCCAGAGACACGGCCCAATGAGTCTGGTCTGATCTGTGTTTGCACAGGACCGCAGCATGCAGATTGAAGCTCAAAGCCTTTGTGTGAATATGTGTGTGTGTGAGCCGCACTGAGCAAAAAAAAGTTGAGGTTGGGGTAACAACAGCGAGCGGGGCCAACAGGTGATTCAAGAGATGACGTTTCTGCAGAGATGGATTCCCATGGGATTTGTGGGCATCTTTTTTTCCCCTCTGCCTATTTCTCAGATCCCAGAGGTGTGATCAGAATGACTTCAGCTGAGATCTGTTGTGGATTATTGACAAGCGGAATCTGACTCACAATGAAAACATGCTCCTTTTCACATGAATTGAGCAAGGCACAAGGTTTTGCATGATAATCTTTTCTTCCTCTCAGAAAGCGTCTAATTGCATTGGCTGGCAAGCCCACACAGAATGGCATGCAGTTATGAATGGTGTGTTTACGCAGGTTAGTTTTTATGTGAAGTGTATGTTTGCTCTCATATTGCATATAATTTGCCCAATAACACTCACATCTGCTATTAAGTTACCACAGAGTTACTTCAGGCAAAAACACAAGGGATTAACTCCTTGTGTCCTAGTCTGGACTGCAAGTTAAAAACAACAAAAAAAGTTGCATTTCAGCAGCAGAAATCAGATTGTAGGTTTAGAAGTAAGCGCCGTCACAGAGCAGACATCCCAAACATCGTGCTAAATTGCCATCTTTTGATCTCCATATATAACCAACCATCCAGTGGCCATTTAAACTCCTCCAGACACCACAAACACTAATATTAAAAAGACATTTACATCCAGATTCATTGCCATAGGTGCATTATGTCTATTCCCATGCTTGCATTGTCCCTCAATACACAGTCATGGCTAAATCAGTGGCGCCACAGCCACAGAAGCAGGTAATAATAAGGCTCTGGATGGTGGCCCATAGATGTGTTAGCTGATGTGTTACTCAGAGGGCCCCTATGAAAAGACCCCAGGCGCCTGTCCCAGGGCCTGTCTCCTCAGCACTAAAGCGACCATTAGGGCTGGATTTAAAGGGCAAGACATTTAGGCTGCTGTCATCTTGTGTCAGTCCACCACAGGGACCGCGCCGTGGTTAAACAGGCTCGTAAATAAACACCACACGCATGCAGGCGGGGAGCTGGGTTGTGGTGGTGGTGGTGGTGCTGCTGCTGGTGGTGGGGGAGCCGACCGCAGGTTTGGACCAAGTCTCCTTAAAATACCCCCCCTTCTCCCTGCCCCCAGCTGAATTGCCAGACTTAACCTTCAACTTCATCAGTCATCGAGCAGACTGACGGCTCCTGACACAGCCACTTTGTCCCCGTCTTGCTTTCACCCCTCCGTATTTCTCTCTCTTTTTGCTCTCCCACGAACACACACAAAAAACACATTTATGCATCTGCCTCACACTGTCCCCTGGCTCGGCTCAGAGGCAACACCACCACAGTGCTGGTGGCGACAGCAGTGATGGAAAAACTGAGGGCTTCTTTCTGAGCAGCCCTGGGGTACCACCAACCCTCCCCTCCCCTCACTCCCTGTCTCTCCCCTGTCTGTCTTCTTCTGGAGTGGGGACCACACAGATGTTCCAAACCACATCCAAGCAGTCTGGCTGTGATGAGCACATTTTACACACTGAGTGTAAGCTAACAATCTGCCAACAGCTAAAAAAGTGTCTGACTCTGGCCTTGCACTAATCTTTGTCTAAGACAACAGCCACTGGAACTCAATTTGAAGATGCTTACGTAACTCTGGTAGACTTACTGGGAGACTTGCACATAATGACAAATTATCACATGGAATATGGGATGAGCTGTTGCTCTGGCAACAACAGGAACAACTTAATAGCTTTTGGTTGCCTGTTCAAGACTCTCGTTTGTCAGCAGTAATGTTTTGATCATCAAAAATAAGACCACTGTTTGCAGAAAGGCTTGTGCCTGAAATCACTCAAGAAATGAATGTACTGAGCGAGAAAGCCGCGGATTAAGAGCGTATTACAGTCAGGAAAAAGCTTAAATGGAGCGATTCAGTCAAACTCCTCTGAATAAAGAGGAATAAAATAAGAGTTACTGAATGCCACGTCCTCTTTGAGTAATCAGCCATCTTTACCAGTCTCACAGACATCAATGCAAGTATGTCTCAGCCCCTGTCATTTAAAACAGCTACTGTTTTAATGCACCAAAAACTAGTCAAACCCCTCAATTACTCTTCATGTGAATACTGTGTGTGTGTGTCTCTGTGCGAGAGTGTGTGTGTGGTGCGCATACTCATCTGAAGTCTGTGGTTTGGTATGGTTTGGCGGGTGTGGGAAAGTGTGGTTAGAGCTACACTCACACAAATAGCGGTTTTCAGTGTGAGCAGACAGTGAAATTCTCATTTTAAGACAACAACACAGTGTGTACCTCGAGGCTCGCCAATGGCCAAACCGCACAATGTTTAAATCATTTTGGCTTAATTGCTTTTTAACAAGGCTCCCTACTGCGTTGACATTATACATTAACACTGTGGGTGCTGAGAGCTCGCAGTCTGGCAAGCCCGGCCACGTAAAGCTGCATCTGACTCAGAATAATAGTTTTTGAAAAACTGCATTAGGTGTTTTTTTTTTATTAAAGAAACAATGGTGGCAGCAGAAAGTGCTCCCAGAATACATCAAATTATATTTTTTTTGCCTCAAGAGTAATCAAAATCTTTCAGTTTTGAAAAGCCGCTTCATGTTCCAAAATAATGTCTCCACTTTGTCTGATAGACTGAGCTCTGATTGCAGACTTGCACGGCTGGCAGATATAGGATGAGATATGATCTGACCTTGTATCCAGTGATAGAGCGGTGCATGATACATGGTACAAACACAGGACTACCAGTCATAAACCCCTTCATTAGAAGAGCCAGACAGTGTGGAGCATGTATTTTACTACACACCCAACATTTCGGATAGAATATAACCTTTGGGCGGGATGTCGTAGGACTGGGCTCACAGAGCTACACTCTGTGTGTGTGTGTGTGTGTGTGTGTGTGTGTGTGTGTGTGAGACCTGTCTGTCAGTTAAGCCTTACTTTGGGTTTTGAGAACATTTCCAAAATAACAATGTGCAGCATAGAAATTATAAAGCACTCAAGATGTACAATATATAGTTATGGGAACCTAAAAACATCTGAGCCGACTTCTAAAATGGCATTAAGTCAGATGGCACACGCTTCGTGCACACGACCGACTAGTGAAGGTATAGAAATGTCAAAACAAAACACTCAGAGACATCCTAATATCCTCAAATTAGTTTGAAAGCAGGTCCCCAGATAGCTCCGGCTGCGGTCATCGGGCGCCTATTTTTGAGAGGCACAGTCTTAAATAGCTGCAGGAAATGAGGAGATGATGATGGACTTGAATCTACCGTCTGCCTAAGCACTGCTCTCCTAAAATAGGAGTGATCTGTTGTCCTCTACATGCCAGACAGAGAGAAGAAAATAATCAGATTGAAAGAAATGTTAAGTAATTGGGCCGACAAGAGAAGCAACAAATCACTGATGTAAACAGTATCATTACGCGGGCATTTACAAAGAAGAGAAAGCATCAAAATGTCAATTAAATTAAAAGGTGATTGAGCGATAGTGACTTCATTTCTCTTCTCTGGTCGAAGATAACTCATTGTTGTCAAAATGTCATCACTTAGTGGAGAAATAAACTCACTCCATACTGCAGGGTCTATAATATTCAAAGAGAGCAACATTAAAATATCTTATCTCTAATTTCCACTTGGTCAATTCAGGATTCACAAACACCTTTAGAAAAGCAATTTACATCACTCCATTTACTATCTCATCTCAAGAGCTGATATCAGGTCACAGCTGTAGGTTTCTCATGCCATCTTGTGGCCTGAAGTGTCACAGCAGCTCTATTCACTGAGTCAATACAATAGCCTGACTGCTTTCAAGGCATGGTGAAGGCACAGGGCAAGAATGCACTCAAAGCATTTTAAATTTTTCACACTCAAGGAATTAATTCTGAAGAATGTAGAAACAAGACAAGTCTTTTCAAGTCATATGCAAGATGAAGTAGTAGTTTTCCATTAAATTCTACTTCTTAGGGTCTGTCTTTAGCAAGACTCAAATATATGTTACATATGGAGTTTTAATAAAAGGGGACAAGATTAGCCCTCTGTGATATGGAGAGATTATTTACAGATCAGAACATGATATCAGACAGCTGAGCACTGACAAATACAGGGTATGTACTGCACATGTATTAACAGGTATTCTGTATTTTTCGAAGTTACTTTTTTGGGGGGGAGATTTTATGCCTTTTTTAAAGAAGAAAAATGTAGAGAATAGAGCAGGAAACCAGAGAAGGGAATGGGAAAAGACGTGCAAGACAGGAGCTGCAGGTTGAAATTGAATCTGGGCTGGACTACAGCCTCTGTATATTGGATGCGCAACCCAACCATGAGGCCAAACCGGCACCTCCAGTAACAGGTAATTTTTTGTCATGTGTATCACTCAGGTGTGAATGAAGTGTCAGAATGATGACTCTGTCAGCTCTGTCTGTCAGGCTTGTTACCTTAGGGCTGCTGCTTTCTCTGCAGCCTGGCATTGCAGGAGGGGATGCTGGTATACTGTGTCCTGGATCCTTGAATTGTTTAATGTGATGATGTTGGTCCTATCCCTTCATTTCAGTCAGCTCTCCTGATGTGTGCTGCAGCTTTCACTTCCCCCCTGTGGAGCCATATGGTTGCAGGCGGTTCATGTGCCATTCCAGGCAGTGATGCAGTCAGTCAGGATTGTATCAGTGATGCACCTGCATAAGTTGACAAAGAAGGATGTATATTTCTGCCTTTTGCTTATGAAGTCTACAATCAGCCTGTCTGTTCTGCATACTGAAAGATTGAGTGTCAGGCCTCTGTAAAGTTATCTGAACATAGCATTTACATTAGTGTTTTGTATTATGTAGTGCATCGGTTGACAGCTTATCTTATTTGCTCAGTTTCTTAATAATGGAGCCAAGTTGATAGGTACCCCTTGTGGGTGATTCAGTTTTTGTTGAAAACCTCTCAAAAGCCCACGGCACAAAAGCTTAAGCTACCTCTTCAAGCTGTGGGTTGTATCTAGCAGCAAAGCAGAGATGATAAAAATGGAAAATAATATTTATATGTTAAACAGGCAAACTAGTAGGCCAACTGCTGAAGAAGAAGAGGAAAATAAATAGAGAAAAATAGAAAATAGAGAAAAATCAATCCAGTATGTGCTACAAAATTGTGATTGGGTTTGAAATGAAGGGACTGCACCTTGAATGTAATGTAATAGCTTATGCAAATAATTCATGAGTCAACAAAAATTAACAGTTACGTAACTTTTAGAGATTCATTTGCTGAAATATATTAAACAGAATCGATGTCACTAAGTGTACAAGGCGAGCACAATGAAATAAAAGGCATAAGAATGACAATATTAAACCAAAGAAACCGCAACATTTCCGTGGTTTGCAATAACAGTGTAGACAAAGTAATGTACCTATAGTTGGCATAGTACGAGAAGTGCAAAGCTAGCTAGGGAGCAACTTTTTAGTAGCTCCTTGTAGCTAACTTCGGTGGGGTGCAGAAAGACATGACAAAGGTTACTTACTTTCATTGGAAGACTGCGACTTTCATGGGCTTTAGGTGTTCAGACAGGTGTCGTGTTTACTCCACTTTAGCGTCCTTATTTATCGCCATGTTTGGCATCACAAGTCCACCACGTTAGCAGCTTCTTCTTCTTCTTCTTCTTCTTCTTCTTCTTCTTCTTCTTCTTCTTCTTCTTCTTCTTCTTCTTCTTCTTCTTCTTCTTCTTCTTCTTCTTCTTCTTCTTCTTCTTCTTCTTCTTCTTCTTCTTCTTCTTCTTCTTCTTCTTCTGTGTAAACGAATGTATTTAGTTTTTACTGTAATAAAACAGAAGACAACTTGATGTCTTGCTGTGTTACACTTTCTCCCCCTGAGACTGTTTGATGTAAATTTGTTAATTTTCTTCTCCATAATGCATCATATATTAAAATGCTGCAAAAATGACAGCCAGGCACTGGTTTGTGTATCAATGACTAATGTGTCTGGAAGCAAATTGCTATCTGTAACTGGCTCATCACATATTCATCATCAACTCTGCCCTCATTTTTTGATGGAAAAATCTGATGTTTTCCAAATTCTGAATGACCGACGGCAGAAATAATGACTAAGAAATGACTAACATTTCATGAAACATTTCACTTTCACAAATGAAAATAGGCAAGCTAAGTCATGGAAAGGTTACAGAAAGTACATGATAGATTCTAGGCCCCTTGCGGCAAATATTGTGCATTTTATTCACTTTCCCCCCTCCTAAAAAACATGTTTCTGATCACCATTTATCATTTTTAGCTTCCAAAGGGTCTTGCAGGGATTCCCAGAGTTATTCTGTGATAGTTCCTCCTGTTATCTCTTCAATCAGTGTTTGGACTCCACAGTGCTTTAGTGGAAATCTAATTAGCAGGCAGTGATGTGCTGAAATGTGAAGAAGGTGGGTTAAGTGTAATCCTCACAGGTGGCTGAGCTGCAGGCTAAAACTGAAAAGGTGAGAGCCAAATTGATCACAGGTGAAATTAGTAGCTTCTGGGTGCCCTGAGGAGGAATAGCAAAATGTTTATGAATTGGACTTAAGTGTGGGTAATCAAGTTATGCCAACGGGAAGGCTTTGATGAATTTAGTATCGATCTGAGAAGGCCGGAGCTCCAACAATACCATCATCTGTCAGAGGAATGAATAATAACAATAGGACTCAATAAATGTCTCTATAAAAGCAGTGAAAGGGCACACGTACACTTCAGTATTTATTTAACTTCATCTGGACACAAAACACACCTGTGTGTAAGGAATGAAGTAATCATAAATTTGTATTGGTGAGTATTTGTACATTTATTTATCAATCAAATCTTTAAAATCGCTCCATAAAAAGATCTCATAAACTACAGGCAACTTCATGCACCAGCTCTACACTCTATCTCCCTCAATATCCCAGTTTGTCCTTGGCAACTTCCACCACAGCAATTTATAATCCATGCTCTCCCACTCAAGTGCATCACCTGCTCTCCCAAAGCATGGAAACAAAATTTGACCTTTGTTATGGTCCCATTAAAGATGCACATAAATCTCTGGCTGCCACCCCTCGCAGGTCAACTGAATCTTATTGAAATTTCCAAGCTATGTCAAGAATACTGACACAATGCTGCAGCTGTAGCACGAGATCTGAATATTGTTTTTTTTGCAGTGACCCCTTGAATTGAAACATGTCTATTTATCACCGGCAGCATCTGTCTGTTGACCTCTTAAAAAGTAACGGTAATGCAGTGAGACAGAACTCGTGTCTCTATTTATGATGTTTTAGTTGCCTGGAGAACTAGAATTTAACAATGGTTCACGAAAAAGTCAAAGATCAGATCAGAGACTGAGAAAATAACATGTTTTGCATGATCTTTCTAGTCTCTGTCCTGATGCTCATCGAGGATAAGTGAGGTATCACTAACTCCTCATGACCCCTTTGTGGTGGTCTTGACCCTTAGCATGAACCCCCCCGGGCTGATTTTCACAGGAGCTGGTGTTTATTGCCTGTATTTTGATGGAAAAAATCTAGCTGGTGTAGCTTTCGTACAATTTTTCAGCGTGTCCTCTGCTTGGGTTTTGACCAGAGGTTTTTGGCTATTAAATTTCACACCTAAAAAAATCCATCAACAGCTCATTATTATAAACCTGTGAATAATCTGTCTGTACAGGGAACAGCCTCATTCTCACATTGCACACTTATTACTGTGTATTTGTGTTTGTGTGTACCCAAACCCCAGAATCAGGCAAGCAACCAGCGTGCAGCTTGTTTACCTTCAAAGAAAATCATCAAAGCTTTTCAGCTTGTTAATAATAAAAGAAGGCCCTCACCTTACAGTTTGTGCTGTATTTCAAAGAAATAACCTCTGCACCAGAAGGAGCGCTCGGCATAAACACTATTGCACAGCACCCTCTAATGTGGCTCCTCTGTAATAACCAAACCTGTGACCAGACCCCGTCCTTCCTGCTGCATTTACTCCCCTCATCTGTTTCTACAAGGATGGACCTGATGTGGTTTAATAAGAGCCAGAGTTCATTGGAAAGAAAATTAATGACACATCAGATGTACTGGATGGGATGTAATTTTGCAAGAGGGCACAGAAAACAAAATATGCAACAAAAACAAACTCATCACCCCTGTATTTTGGCTCAGGAATATGAGATTTGTCCTGACTCTCCCTCAGTTGTATGTTCATCCTCAGCTTACTTTGCTAAATGAAATAACATGTAAACTCTAACTTAAAGAAAGAAGGAGTTAAAATCATGATTTTATTTCAGGAAAGCAGATATTCCTGCCCTCCAGGTTGAAGCATGCAATAAGCAATGGTGACAGAAAGGTATTATGAGGAGTTACTCCTGCCTCCGTTGGGGATTTGTTGTAATCTCCTCTACAATGAGTCATGGCTAAATTATCATATTGCCTGCTGTAGGCCAGGATATCCTATATAGGCTATGGTAATAGGTGAAACTCAGGAGGCCGGCCAGTGAGAACAGTACTTACCTGTACCTGGGAAACTCATTCCTGTCAGTGTGCAGCAGTATGAATCCATCAGCTGCTCTTCCTGAGCACACTAAAAATCAAATCTGCATTCTCATGTCATGGCCCCAGCTATCAAACATCCCTTTACACATTTATGACATTCAGTATTTACACCCATTTGCTTTTCCACAAACATCAGGAGAGGAGATCAACAAACAAGGATGCACAAATCAAATAGTAATCTGAATACTGTCTCTCCCATGCATGATAATGCAAAGACCAAGGAGTATGCATGAGGAACCTTCATTCTTTCTGACAGTCTTCAATCTAAAACGCATCATTTTTATAAATACAGAATATAGTGGATTTTTCATAACTTTCCCATCAATGTTTTAAAATTGCAGCCTCAAAATAATCTTTTTTCCCCCTTTGGGTATAGTTTGCCGGCTTTGCAAGAGGGCCCTGAAATATGAATCGTGTTGAAATACTGCCAATAAGAAGAGGAATTCCAGCATTTGCAATGGCATGATGAGCAAACACTGCTATGTTTTAACCTTCATGTAGAGTGCATTTCCTCAAGAACTCAATTCTTTACACATAAAGGAAATCATTTGTTCAAAAAGCGTCTACTTATCAAACTTAGGTGCTTGTACACTTAAAAAAATGAAAAACTCCTGTTGAGCTTATGTTCCTATTTTCCATTCACTGTGAATAGTTGATTACAAGGTGCTTTAATATTGATGAATTTCTGTGAAGTTGCTCCCACTCCATCCTGTCAAATTGGATGTTCAACACCAGGAGCGATGTGGCTCTGTCTGCCGCAGCGAAGAGTCTACTACCTACACCCTCAGCAAGCCAATGAGTTTGTTCACTCGTTAGCAAAGCATCGGGTGTGTCTGAATGCATGCCGGAGCTTGTTGTACTGATTATACTAAAGCCGGGAACAAGGCCTCAAATGGCTACTCAGAATAAGCAAACCGTCACAGGCGAGCATTGGGATGGAGCACAGCCATGTATCTTTGTGTGGTGCATACATCACATCACAAAGTCTGCACCTTCCTTTGGGGTGAGAATAATCTTCCTCCATTAAAGCTTTGCAGATTTATGAATCTCTGTGAAGTACGGCAATAACTGTCATGATTTATGTCCACAGATCTTTTGCAGAATTACTGCTGCAGAAAATGACTTCTGTGGCAGATGCTGTTTTGTTGGATGTATAAATACATTTAGATATCATCTGAGGTGAAAATCTTATGATACGGGGATGCAGGAGTACTGCTTGCCACTTTTTGATCAGTTCATAAAACTGCATTTCTAGTTGTCTACCTATAAATCTGCACACTGCATCGGCTACAGATGTCAACTGTTAGTACCAACTTTTGTGACTACTTTTCATGTTTGGAATAAATAGAGGTGCATCTCCATATCTGAAATGATTTCATATCTATGAGGCACAGCATTGCTCTGAGCATTGCTTTACAGCAGTCACACTCTCACTCACCACCCTTCCTCATCATTTTAGCATCCTAACTTTTGTTGATTACCAATAACTACATGCTATCAATGTAAATCCATGACGCTGATGATGTTTACAACTTTATAAGTATCTGCCTCATGGTGGCTGCAAACTCGATATCTCCAATGATGTTTTTGGATCGGAATAAATTTGTTTTGCAATTAGCTTATAAATCCAAAATCCCACTTGAGGACTGTGAATCTTTTCCAGATTTAAACTAGTGTATGTTTAAAATCAATTGCATGCGGACAAGGTACTAAGTTCATTGTCCTACATAACAACTTATTCAGGTTTGTACTTTCTTCATCCTGATTGCAATTTAAATTCAGTCAGACAACTCAAAATAACTGGTTTGAAATGCTCATTAAGCACCAGAATTTTCATTTTTTTAAATGTGTGAAATTACTTGTCAGGGTAGGTGTCAAAATGATTGATGCTCCAGACATGGCCTTTGTTTAGGCCTCTGTTTTCCATGGGATAGGGTTAGTTTCTCAATGAGTACTGACATTTGATTATTATTATTATATAGCTGGTTAAGTGTTTTTGTTAACAGAACAAAATGAGCTTTAAACAAACCACCAAAATGGGACTATACTGTCTGTCATCCAACTATGAAATCAACAAATCAGATTTCAGTTGTTTGAAATCAATGCAGCTCACCTGAACTGGTATCTCTCCATTG